ATTACTAAAATATACTTTCTCTAACTTTTAATATAAGACAATCCCAACGTAGTCACGTATTAATAAAAATAGTTAATTTGGTTTAGTTTTAGAAAAATGTTACTGATTATTAAATTAATATTTATCATTCATGACTTTTAAAATTATCCTTTTACGCTATGAATTGATACAAAATATAAATACTCAAAATACTTAATATGAATAAACAAGAAAAACAATTTTTTTCTTAAATATCTCATGTTATAAAAACCAGAGGAGAAACAAGGTTTAATTGAAATTTTGATCTGCATATTTTAGGAAATATTTAATTTTGGTTCATATATTTTTCCTGAGTTTTTAATCTTTCAGTGTTTAATTATTCATAATTTTTGGAAATTGTTTTTCGATACAATTTTTCTTTTTTAATTATGTGTTATTAGTGGCGTTGTACATTTTTTATTTAATTATTTTGAACTTCTTTATTATTGTAGAAGCCATATGTTAAAACTAAGTGGGAAAGCACAACGCACATGACTTCTTATAAAAATAAAAAAGGATAGCAGATTCAGATACTTGTTACAAAATACAATTAGATGTTATTAAATATATTTTTGAAACTAAAGATTGAATAAAGATATAAATCAAAGACCAAAATTTACAAATAATAAAAAATTAAAGGGTTAAGTTTATTGAATACACTAAATTGACGAATTTGTAAAATATAGAGATCAAAATTACAATTAATATGTTTGTTTAAATTTGTTTTACAAAATATATAACAATTTGTTTGTCTAATGTTTACGTATAATACTTTTTTACACGATTGTTTGAAAATTCTAAAATAAAGTAAAAATAACGTGATAGATGATTTTTTTTTCAGACGTATAATATTAATTTTAGTAGATTATTTACACTTCTCTTTTTATGGCATCATTAGACCAATTAAATGTGCCAATTTTTTATTTTATTTTAATAATTATATGCTTACCTTTAATATTCATCAATTTTTTCTTATTATTATATAAAAGTGATAATGGTGAGAATGATGGATAAGTGGTTGAAGTGATAATATATATATATATATATATATATATATATATATATATATATATATATATATATTACCATAAAAGGTTGAAAAGGGGATGATTATTATTGGCAGAGGAGGGTGTGTTGAGTGAGTGGTGAATAGAAGAGGGACTGACAAATAATAAGTGAGAAGATGAGAAAAGCTTCGAAGTTTGAGCCATGCGATGATGAAGAGTGGTGAAGGGAGATGTCAAACATTAGGTACGTAGTCTATTCCATGTAAATGCCTTCAGCCACCACGATTCCCGATTCTGGCCCCCCAACCCCAACGCTGTACTTCCCTCTCATTTTCATCCTGCATTTCTCTTCCACACCACCATTTTCTCTCCTTAATTTGATTTCATTTCGAACACTAATCTATTCAAATTTTCAATCTGAATAACTATATTGCTCGTATGTTCTGCAAATGACCTTCGTTTTGAGCTTCTTCCAATACATTCCACCTAAGCTCAGATCACCCACTCCCTGCACTTTTCTATCAGATCTAATTAATCAATCGATTTATTTAATGAAACACTTTTTCATATCGTTGGATTGGAATGTTCCGTCAAAGTCAGATCAGCATAAATTAACATGGTAAAGTTGGTTCTTGCTAGACAGAATCTCTCTTTTTTTCTTCGTCAAACAGTTGATATACACCTTTTAGGCCGAAAAGAATGATAATGAGTATAATTGGGAAAATTTGTTCGATTAACCATGAAACTGTTTTCATTCTGTGCTTTAGGTTTACCTTTAATGACTATATTCAACTAATGTGATATTGCTAAAACTAGTGAATTTAAGTTCATTGACTTGTCTTGAATCCAGTTTTTTTTTGGGGCGTTTGAATTCATGAACATGCACTATATATAGTTATGATGTTAAATATCTAAATATTATAAGATTTTGATTTGAAGTTGATAAGATTATCTCTTCACTAGTTCTTAATTCAATTGTGATTTTAAGAAACTAACTTCAAGATCATTAATTAAATTGTAGTTTTAACTACTCAGCTTTTTTAGTTTGCGATCTAATCATAAACAAATAGTTAGACCTATTTAAATATTTGCAACTAATTAAAAAAACTACGTACCCAGTAATTTAACCTAAATATTAATAGTCTCATAATGCATATATAATATATAATTATTTTATCTCTTTGTTTAAAAATGCATTTAATTGTTTTATTTTCACTCCTAATTTTAATTTTGTAAAAACGATTGTAAAATGAATTGAGGATGATAAGGGAATGAAATCAGAAAAAAAAAAATCTCACTTCGACGCGTCAACCCCCGTCACATAACTTATTATTTAGGATAAACTATATTTTCAGGTTTTATTTTTTTTATTTAATATAATTAAATAATCACTTTCATATGATATATATTTATTGTATTTAGGTTTTAAGAGGTTATATTAATTGGACTGTTAACCGTTCATAAAGATGATTTGACATAGATAATTTAAAAATTAATTGTAAGGTTAACCGTGCGTAGATTGTATTTTTTTCATTAGTATTTTGAATTGAAAAATAATATTTTTTTTTAAATTTGACCTACGAAATACTAGTCCTTGTCTTATATTTTTATTATTTTTAAATTCTAAAAACAAAAGATTAATAAAAATGAATTGAATATTTTGTGTGGCTTTTAGTCGCCAGTGTTTTTCTTAATCTTCATAACGACGTTCATAGAAAAAATCAAATAAGATAGAAAAATGTGATAAAAGTAGCTGTGATGATGTGATAAATATACTGTACTATTAAAATTAAAACTATCTATTTTTTTGTATAAAAAAAATCAAATAAATAATTATTACGTTATTTTAATTGTTTACCTTTAACGAGTCATTTAATAAAACAGATTAAAATCTAAAGAAAAATTTCATTGTAGGAAAAACCAGTGAATTGTTATTATATTAAAAAATAAAAATCATATTACGTCATCTTTATTTAATGCACACTGTCATTTTTATTCTTTAACAACTTTATCATTCTATTTTCTTAATTTCAATTACACAAAACAAGTTGCTGTTATTGTTGTCATAGTTTTCGTGTATTTTTTATTAAAATTTTTAAAATTTACAATTTCAATATGAATATAATTATATATGTTATCATATAAATATATTTTTTTTACTAGCAAATACCCAACAATTTCTTATCTAAGACATTATTAGAAAATGTCACTCAAATTATATATCCCATCCTTTTATTTAAAAAAAAAAGTTAAACAACCCTATAACACGCAGAGACACATAAATCAATTATTGGAACCAGGTTGATTTAGTGTTATATACATATTATTATTTAGTTATATAGATGGATTTGGTTCACTATTAGATGAAAGATTTTAAATTGTGATTTTTTTTATAAGTATTTCAAAAAAGCGAATTTTATTTTTTTTAAACTACATTACAAATAATATTATTGCTAGATACTCATATTCAGGAAATATTTATGATAAAAAATGATATATCAATAAAAGGAAATTACATAAAAAAAATTGAGAATTCAAAGAGTTTAAAGTCTAAGTTAAATAAAATAAAAAAATTTAAATAACTTATAAAATAGAAAAACTATTTAATTTTTAGATCAAAATGATTTCTTACCTTTTATATAATTTACTCATTTATATGATTGGTCCTTGGGCTCTCTAGTATTTATAAAAATCAAACCCCTGGAAGATAGGCAGTGTAATATGCATATTATTAGTTGAGAGCATGAGGTGAATAGTTTTATAGGTGATGAGAAGGATAATTATGGAATATTTGGTTAAAGAAATGAAGATGATGCTTGATGGAAAACAAATGGGAATAGGTTCACGTTCACGTCTACCTAACTGGTATGATTAAGAAAGGTGTGTTGGCTTTAAGCTAAATTATGGCAGCCTCCACAAAGATGCTGCTGCTGCTGCTAAAAAGCAAGTAAAGTAATGAAAAGGTTAAGTCTCAAGTACTGTGCACCCGTCACCATTCATCGTCTCATCCTCTGCCATTTGTCTCTCTCTCACTGCCTCAAACATATATATATATATATATATATATATATATATATAAATTTTTGTTAATTAACAACAATTCTTTGTCACTCTACAACAAGATCCACTTGATGAATAAGGAAAACCATTTGATGAAGGTACTTTTATATCTCCTAGGTATGGAAGAAGAAAGCATGACCCTAAGAGGAACCTATAATATACACTTTCCCAACCAAGTACTTCAATCCTTACTATTTAAATCACCTTCTTTAATTACCTTCTCTTTCTCTCATGGTCTGAGCCAGAGTGAGTCTAACTTTTAAGACTTGCGGTAGACTCGGATCCTGTCCCCTCGTCTCAAATAATAATAATAAGTTACTAAAACAATCAACGTCCGTTTCGTCCTTCACAATTAATACTCATGTTATTACTGTATACACTTTTTTTTTTTTTTTCTTCCTCTCGTTCTGTTTACGTCACGTTACTTTTTCTCACCTCCTCATTCTAAATATACGAGTATAAAGTTTAAAATCAAATTAACTTTTCCTTTTTAACCATGAAAAATCCACCTTTTAATTCTTGTACACAGTTCAATATCGTTGTTCCCTATGAACTCATTAGAGTCACGTTGAATTCAAATTATTTACATTTTTGTGAAAGATTCAAGTTCAATGTTAACTGATTAATTAGACTAACCTTAATTAATTAAATATTGTTATCTATTTTAGTAAAGATAATTTAGTATTTTGAATGTGTATTTATTATTTTTCTATTAGCAAGGAGTAAAGTGGCTGCCGTCAAATTTGTGAAAGATGAAATAGAGGGTGAAAAGGTAAATAAAACCAAATAAAATAAAAAAAATCTCACTTCTTGTATGATAGAACCAAGTGAGACCCTTCTCTCATCCTCCTGTTTCTTCTGTACACTTTCTTTTCCTTTTCCTTTTCCTTTTTTCTCTCACTGTCTTCAGTGCACATGGCTGACCCATATGGGTTGCCGGAGGATCTCCGGCGTCTTATACCACCCAGAACCCATTTGAACCCTTCAAACACGCACCTACTTGAGCCACTGTGTCTTCACCATGGTCTAAGTGTTGTTGCTGCTTCTACTAATCCTCCCAACACCTATGACCCCAACATGGTTGGGGACGTTTTCTTCCCTCGTACCTTCACTCACTTTGCTCATCATCATGACTATTCCTCTTCAACTGGTATAAACCCTACTAATACTGCCACTGCTGCCGTCTCGGATCATGCATTCTGCAGCATGGAGAGTGCAGAGAAAGGATGGTTTGGGTTCGATTCCGGGAACAACAGGTGGCCTAGACAGGAGACCCTTTCGCTTCTAGAGATCAGATCTCGTCTTGATTCCAAGTTCAGAGAGAATAATCAGAAAGCACCCTTGTGGAATGAAATTTCTAGGTATATATTTACATGTACATGTATGTACTGAACTTCAGAAAAAAAAAAAAAAAAAAAAGGAAGAAAAACACTGTTTTTGCTTTTTGTTTTGTTTTCAGTCTCAGGATGGGTAGGGGCTGTATAGTTATGTGAGGAGTGAAGAAATATGGCTGTTCTTTCTGTCTTTTCTTTTTGTCTTGCTGGTTTACAAATTTTTGGGGGGTGGGAGGCTAATTTCCTCTTTGCATTTGAAAATGACAGGCCATTACTTACAGATAACTGAGAGATCCATGTGGCTTTTGTAACTATTTCTAGTTTTGTCCAAGAAATCCACTGACTCAATGTGTATACCTGCACTGGTTTTTCTGTGAGTAAATAATTATGGGTGCAAGGAGTTTTCAGCACCCTGAAAGCCTGTCTTTGTTTTAGTACTATTAAACCTAGCTAGCTACTTTGCTCAGCTAGTTAGGGCTATATATTGGAGTTTATTTTGTCGATTGAACTCGGATAATTGTGTTGATGTTTCTGACATCTTTAATGAAGAGAGAATGTTTCCATTATTTTAATCCTTCAGGAAACATGGTTAATATACAAATAACAAAGGAGATATATAATGATAAACATAAGGAGAAATCTTAAATGGATTTACATTTATATGAATGTTAATTCCATGCATGCATGTCTAGAAAGGAAAAAAACTTATGTGGTGTTATAATTTATAATTAGTACGGTTAGTTTTAACCAGATAAAATTGTCCTATTTCTCTCACTCCAAATTTTATCCAAGAGAAAAGGATGGGAAAAATAAAAGAGGAAACGTGATGTGTTATTTATGTGCTAACTAATCTCCACTTCCATTTTTATCGTGCATGATAATTAATTGCTGTACTGTATGATCCACGTGTTTAGGATAATGGCTGAGGAATTTGGGTACCAAAGAAGTGGAAAGAAATGCAAAGAGAAGTTTGAGAATTTGTACAAGTATTACAAGAAGACGAAGGAAGGTAAAGCTAGTAGACAAGATGGGAAGCACTACAGGTTCTTCAGGCAGCTTGAAGCAATATGTGGAGACCAAGCAAACACAAATCATGCCTCAACTTCAGATAAAGCCCATCGTGCTGGTGGAAACAATGCTAATATTCAAACACCTACCATCACAATCAACCAAGACCATAATGGAGATTCTAATAATAACCCCAAGTGCTCAGAGAGCCTCAGCATCTCAAATTCATCTGAATTCGAGACATCCTCTTCTGAAAACAACGAGGAGGATCTTTCAGCCATTGCATTCATGATGAAGCAGTCAAGGGAGAAGCAGAAAGGGTTAGATAAAAATCACAGTGATCATAGGAGGGTAAAAAAAAGCTGGAGAGCCAAAGTGGAGGAGATTGTGGATTCCCACATGAGGAAGATCATAGAGACTCAAGATGCTTGGATGGAGAGAATGTTGAGCGTTGTTGAACAAAGAGAGCAAGAGATGACATCTAAGGAGGAAGAAAGGAAGAGGAAAGAGTCAATGTGGTTTGACCAACAGGTGCATGAACTGTGGGCTAAAGAGAAAGCATGGGTTGAAGCAAGAGATGCTGCATTAATAGAGGTTGTGAGGAAACACATTGGGATAGGACTTGAAGCACTGCCCCTGGATGAAGCTATGGTTGAAGAACCAGCAAATACTAAGAACAAGACCCAAGGAAACATTGATACCAATGAATTTCCCTCCGAGGGTGTTGATCAAAGAAGTAGCAGTAGGTGGACAGAAATGGAGATTTCAAATCTGATACAGCTAAGGACTGGTTTTGAGCAACGATTCAGAGAAAATGGGTACTTGGAGAGTGGCCTCTGGGATGAAATATCAGCAAAACTGGTTTGTTTGGGGTTTGATAGGAGTGGAAGTGAGTGCAAGCAAATATGGGATGAGATCAGCATCTCTCTGAGAAGGACAGTGGATGAGCGTGATGGTGCCAAAAGAAGGCCTTGGTATTTGGGACTTAAGGTGACGGATGATGATGATCTTTGACACATTCTTGTTATAACGCAGACATCAGAAAGGTTAAGTATATATGACACTTGCTTTTGAGTTCTGAACCTTGGAAGGAAACTTGTGGGAGAAACAAGCTAGGTCGTGAAAGGGTTATTAAATAGGATTTAGCAAGTTTGGATCATTGCCAAATCACAAGGTGTTCTAGGCCTTGTGTTTAACTTTATATTTAATATATAACGTATGAGGACTCCTGCTTCAGTGTAAGCATTAACTTTGTTGGTTATGAATTTTATCCATGCATGCATCCAATGCTAGAGTTTAGTTATTAATTGTGAACTTTTTCCATATTCTGATGTTTAATTAGTTTATATATCTATGTATATGCATCTGTGTAATTACTATAAGTATCTTCTGCAATCATGTGATTTGTCATAAATTACAGTTTCAAGTTGTTGTTAAAAGACTCTTGGACAATGATTTTAGACTTATAAGAAAAGTAAAGGAGGAAAACTAATTGGAAATAGAAGAAAAAAAAAAAAAACAAGTTAGAAATTAAAAAAAAAAAAAGGCTATCGGGTAATCTTTGCATTGGATTTTCGTTACCATTTCTTTTAAAAAATGGAACGCTACAGTTTATATGGAAATGTACACTTGAAAAGATGCTTATTACTGGAAAGCAATAACTGGGTATTTGGATTTGAATTTGTAACTATTTTCTGTACGCATTTATTTATGTTCATCTGATAGAGAATATAAAAGACATGTGAGAGAAGAATGCTGTAATCAAGAACATGACCAAATCTTGAGATATATATATATATATATATATATATATATATATATATATATATATATATATATATATATATATAATATTTATGTAGAAAAATTCACTTACTTTTTTATTTAATGATTAATAAAAAATATTTTTAATTATTAAATAAAAATAAAAATAAGTATTTAATTTTTTTAGGTGAATGATCTCTCTTTTATATATAAAAGAAGAAAGGTTTATTTTCTCCAGATTTATTTCTCGTTTTTATTATATATTTTTTATAATTTAATAATTTAAAATAGTAATTTATTTTAATTATTAGATTATAAAAATTAAATAGATGCGAAAGATAGAGGTGAAAAATAAGCAGAATGTACCAAATTGATAAGATTCGGTGTTTCAATTAGCATTAGTGTTGGGATGCACATTTTCTTGTATATTTTTGGAAAATTACATTAACAACCCAAATCAAGCTTAATAAGATGATAAAATTACTTACTATTCTCGTATTATTTTAAGGATTAGTGCATCTTTCTTATTTGTAAACAGTAACTAATCTTAGATCGCTATGGGGATATAACTCTGATTATTTTTTAAGTTCATAATTTTAAAAAATCATTTGTATCTCATACATTAATTAATAAAGAGCATCATGATTTTAACTTATCAAATAATTTATTGTAAAATATTTTTTAGAAAGAGGTAAAACTTATTTTACATTTTAAAAATAGTTTTTAGTTTAGTTTTAAAAAACTACAAAAATTTGTTTAAAAATTATTTTCTTAATTTTTTTAACAATTAAAAAAATGATAAATAAAATTTAATTTTTTTATTATATATAATAATAATTATTAAGTTATCAAAATAATTTTTAAATATTTATCAGAATACTTTTTTATTATGAACTATAACATATTTTGATTAAAATATTTTTTAAATTAAAATTATTAAATAATTTTAATATTTATTTTATACATATAAAACTTATTAAAAAAAGGAAAATGATACTTTGACAACCCAAATCCATACAACTTCTGTAAACAACTCTGTTTTAATATTATAATAATAGTTTTACTTTATTTTTATTTTTATTAAATCAGTCTATAGAATATTATATTAATAAAAGTGAGTTGTTTGAAAGGTTGTATGGTTTCTAGTTGTCAAAATATCACCACTCTTAAAAAATAAAGATAATGCATGGAAAATAGCGATTTTCATTAAAAAAATAAACATCTAATAGTACAACCCATTTTAAGATTTTCCATATCTCTAGTGTCATGTAAAAAAAAATATATTATTCAATGTTTTATTTAATGATAAATTTTATTACATTCTCGACTAATTTTAAGAATATATATAATTTTAAAAAATATATTATTATTATTATTTTTAGATTTTATTTTTTTAAAATAATTTATTATTATTATTATATTTTAGATTTTAGATTTTTTTTTAATAATTTGATCTTTTATGTTGTAAATCCTGTCGTTTCTTTCTTACAAAACTTTAAAAATAATAAATCTTATATTTAAAAATCTATAATAATAACATTGTTCCTACAGAAATTACGATTCTATGGTAAAAGTTTTTGCAACTTTTACTATAGTGCCCACAGCTATGCATAAAATTTACTGGAGCTTGTAAAATGTAAAATTGAAATAATCACCTCAATTTTTTATTTATTTTCAGTTTAAAATTGAAATAAATTTTTTTAGAAAAAATATAGTTATAAAAATTAAAAAAGAATCTATTTTTCAGATCGATTTAATTTTAAATTTGTTTTAATACAAGCCAAAACCTGTTTAATTAGTAGCGGCAGAATTATCTGAACCAAAAGAACTGAAAAATAAAACTAAACTTGTACCAATTTCTTAGCTGCATTAATTAACTTATTACAGATAAAAGGTCAGACATTGACTTTATTAAATAAAGTTTTAAGTACTTTTTTCTGATATTTAATAATTATTTTTAAAATTTTAGTATTTAATAAATTGTACAGTTTTCATCTAAGTCTATGATCATTTTTAATATTATTTATTTAAATGTTACGTTTATCATTGTATTAATTAATTTAGTTAAATTTTAAAATATTTATATTTTATTTTTCAACATATTTGTATCATAATAAATTATATATATATATATATATATATATATATATATATATATTATATTACCTTCAATGATGTAACTCGTGTTTTAACTTCGAAAATACCTACAATAGTATTAACTTACATAACAAAAATAATTTCAATAATGTATTTACTTTATTACATACTTAACTTTTTTCAAAAAATATTAAATACATAAAACAAAAAATTAAAAATATGAATCTTACTTAAGCTATAATTAATAGCGTGGATTTATCTAATTTTTCTGGCATTTTGAAGTGATGACGAAGGATACGAGGTTATCCATCAAAACACTATGCTCCGGGTTCTGGCTCCGGTGTGACATTTGTTGTATAAATTATGCAGAAGATGATGCATGTGGTTGATAAATAACCTTGGACTTGTAGGAAATAACTCGCTGCCCAAGATGCATTATTGTCATGAATGTTATGCAGAGTAAAATCATGGACCAAATATCTCTGGAGCATGTCTTGAAATGCTCAATCACAAAGCCCACTTAAAATAGAGAGAGAGATATGCTCCTCTTGTTTCAATAAATATTTAAAATAAGAATAGTTTAATACCTTCTGCTCGCAATTGGTTTTTGTATTTTTTAATAATATATATATATATATATATATATATTTTTTTTTTTATTGCTGTAACACTCGTTATTTTTTCAATTTCTAATTTGACATTAGAAGTGAATAAAATAAAAGAAGAGAAATGTATTTGAAAAGTGGAACATTTTTTTATATAGATTTTGTTATAACTGAGACATGATTTCTATGTTCGTCGTCATGACGTATTAGATTAAATGCATCTTTTAAAAAGTTTTTGGTACAGAATTTGGTGCAGTTCATAAGTGTGCTTGTTACTGTCATTTTGCCATTCATAATGTTTTTCCCAAAAAAATTATTTTCAAGATTTATAAAATTTTAGATTATTTTAATTATATTTTTAATAAAAATTAGACATTATTAAAAATAATTTATAAAAAGAATATTAAAATAATAATAATATTAATAAAAATTAGTAAACTTATTATTTTTTAATATCAAGAAAATGACAAATTATTAAAATGATTTATAATAGAGAATATCAAGATAATAATGTTAATAAAAAAAGAGTAATAAATTTATTTAAAATAACAAAAAACTAATATTTATCCTATCTTAAATGATTTATATTCCGACAGTTTAAAAAAATATATTTTTATTTTCTTAATAAATGTTTAAAATATTAATTAGTATTTATCTTTAAAATAAATAATGCTATTTTTTTTTCAAATTATCATAGTTATAGTACTGAATATTTATAACTTTTTTTTTATTAAAAACATATTGCGAGTCTATTCTTAATTCTCATGGAGTACTTATTAACAACGACTTTAAAATAATTCGCTACAAAATGCACTTTGATTAGAGATAGTTGCATTCCCATTTTATTTAAGGTTCTTGGCAATTGATGTTATCTCTAATAGTTTGAATGAATCTCAAAATTTAAGTGAAGGACAATATTTTACTTCGACGTTTAAGTGAAATATTTTCCCATGTACGTAATTCCAATATTTAATAAATGTAAAGCGGTTTCTTTTAGGGGGTCTACAAAATGATTTGAGTGTACTTATCTTAACGTAGCAGAACATTTTTTTTAAAGCATTTAAAGAAATTCTCTTGAGTATGTATGAATTCAAGAGGCCACCCACTTTACCATTTATTTTAGTTCCAAAAAGTTGTGTCTGGATTTTAGTATTGGGACCAAACTTGGTGACCTTAATTCACTGTGCAAGGAGACTCGCATCAAACTAATTAAGGAACAAAACTGATCAATTAAATTTCGCCGCCAAATTTGGCGTGACAAAGGGGAAAGAAAAGTAGATCACACTTAAGCATGAAACAAATAATTGATGTATTTGTTTGGAACATTGTAAATTAATTACAACTCACAAGTTCAAAATAGTAGATAGATTCACAGAAAGAAAGTCATATTTTTGTAAAGTTTGTTACTTTATCAACAATGTTATTCTTAAAATATGTTGTCTTCTAATCAGAAGACAATTATTAGCTGAACTGAGACTATGTATGGGCAAGACAACATCAGTTAAAGCCGAAAGATGTATTGAATGATTAAATAGTTTAGTGAGGAAGATAGTTGGCTTTTTAAGAATTTAAGGATATTTTTTAGATGGAGACCTAGAAGCTAAGGATATGTGTATGCTTAGTTTAGAGCAGTACATTTTATTTCATAACATGATTACTTTGGAATCTATGTTTGCATCTTACAATTTTGTATAGAAACTCAATTTTATAGAATTAAAAATTGAATTGCTTTTACAAAACCAGATCGTAAACTTAATCTTAATTTAAATTTATGCAACTTTAATCTATAATTTAGCTTAATAAACTATTTATAGATAATATTATATATATATATATATATATTAAATATTCATAAAGAAAATATTTTATATATAAAATTACGAACTAACTATATAAAAAAATATAATTCTATTTTTATTTTTAAATTTAAAAATATAATTTCCAAATTCATGATATTATATAACAAAAATATTTTTTATATTAATAAATATTATGATAATAATATATAATAAATAAATATAATTATATATAATATTATATTAAATATCTAATAATTAACATTAAAATGAGAGGATCTCTTTACTATTTATAATTTATTTTAATTTAAAAATTTCTTTATTTTTTCTATATTCATTTTTTTATATTCATTTTTTTTATATTGTTAAGGTGTTAAAGTGTCTTTGAAAGTAAATTTTATTTTTTATTTTCCAGGATTTAGTAGAACTCAATTTAATAAATTCTAAAATAATAATATTTATAATTTAAAAAAAAAATTACAGTCTTTTTAATTTATATATTACTAAAATTTATAATTTTTAATATAAATTTAATTTTTTTAGCTCTAATAATTTACACTTGTAAAGAATTTTTATAGTTTTAATTAAGTTTTGATAAAATAAATATATTTTATTCTAAAAGATTAAGTATTCTTGAAAAAAATATTGATGAATAATTTGGGAAAAATTGATTTTGATAAATAATTTAGAATAAAATAATATATTATTAATAAATAATAAAAAAATATATGAAAATGTGTTAAATTAAATTTATAAATACACAAATAAGTATATTCAATTTGAGAAATCAGATATAAATATACATATGTAAATTATAAAATTTTAAAGAATAATCACCCACTCCCCTCCTAAAAAAACTCCTTTAGTCAAATTTAAGTTCAATCCTCCTAAATTACTCTTAGTCAAATTTAAGTTCAACTTAAGAATGAAACCATAAAACCCAATTCCTCTTATATTAATTTCATAAAAACCCACACTTATTTATCCAATATAAAGAAATCATAAATTTAAATCATTAAGTAGTTTAGATTCAGGCAACATAAACTAAAATTAATAAGAAATTAATTTTTATATGAATATTAAAATATATTTTTATTTAAATATATAGTTCAAACCTTGTTACTCAATAATAATCTTATTATTACAACATTAAAATAATTGTTTTATAGTTTGAAAAGTTATAAAAAAATAAAGCATGAAAATAATTATATAAAAAATATATTTTATATTCATTTGACGTGATGTTTGCATTCATAAGTCATATTAAGTAAAAAAAATCTTTTTTATATATTTTATAAAAAGTTTGTATTCGATACGATGATGTGTAAAATCAATAAAATAACTTATATTAATAAAATAATATTATTATTTTTTGAATAGTTTTATAACTTTTTGATTTTTTTTTTAAATTTGGTTTCATACTATTTCTAGTGTTAATTTAGTTTTTATTTTTTAAGTAAGATAATACTACATTTTTAATAATATTATTAAAATATGAGATTGATGTGATGCTGACTTACGTTTCATTTATATGGTACATCATATATGTCACGTCAATATCATATTAATAAAAATACTTATTTAAAAAAATTTTACATTTTTAAACAAATAACTTAATAATTACGATAAAAGGATAGTATTTATTCACTTGTAATACTATTAGTGAGATTAAATTTAAAATAAATTATTTAACTTATTTTTTAAATATAAATATTATTTTATAAAATCAATAAATAGGCAAGTAAATTTAGAATGAATCATTCAATTTTGTTAGCCTAGTTTATATAAAAAATAAAAATTATAAGTTGTCTCATCAAACTTAATATGTTGTGTCAAAAATATGTTTTAGAAATTTAATACAATAAATATTATTGTTATTATAATTAAATAATTATAATAATATAATTATGTACGAGGTGGGATATATTTATTTAAATAATATATTTCAAGGATTTATTTATTATCATAATTATTTTTTTTAAAAGCAGTAATTTAAATATTAATTGTTTCAATTATTATATTATAAGAAAATAAATGGTGAGATAAAGACTAAGTTTTATCAATTATTTTCTTGATTACGATGAATTTATATTTTATATATTTATTATTAAAAAACAATAAAAAAGAAAAATATGTTCTTAATTTTTTTTAAAATGATGTATATATATATATATTTAACACGTAAAAAATCAATTTAAAATATAAAATAAATATTTTTATAACTATAAATGTATATCTCCTAAAAGTATTTAAATAATTTAGTTAAATTTATTATTTTTTATTCTATTAACAATCATAAAATACAAATAAAAAGAAATACAGAGGACATGCATTATTTTATAAGAAACATTGTTTGATTTTCCTCTCTTTCTTTACTTTGTATCATATCAATTAAAGATTATAAAAGTCAAGTGAATTTTTTGTTGTGATTATAACCGTTTAAATGTCACTGCCAGACTATTTTGTCGAAAAGACTTTCAAGCAAAACTATCTTAATTTGTGTCAAATTCATGATTTAGGATTTGTGAAATTCTAAACCATACATGCCATGATGGAGGAGATGTTAAACCCTTACAAGAGTCTGTTTCTTATCTTAAGAACCATGCTTTGCTTAGGCACAAATTTATCGTTGACCACGGTCAACAAGACTGTGCTGTGAGTGGCTGCAACCAAACTTAAACTTTCAGAGGGTGTTATGTATAAGGGTAACTCCAATAGATAAAAATTATGATAAAAAAAGATTGTTTGTGTTAAAAAAAATGATTGAATTATTTAAAAAAAGAAATGCTATAAAAGTGTTAAATATAATAGAAAAGAAACTTTGGTGCGGTAAGTCTGTGGGTGGGTTGAAGGTGACCGAAGGAAGAATCTGTGGTTGACTTTGTTTTCAACTTTGATGTAGAGTGCATGGCAATTACTACGATGGTCAGTGATGCATTTAATGTTTTTAACCCCTTACCTGTGAGCGGCACCATTTGTTTTGTTATGGTTAGTAATAAATTTTGCATAATCTCTTCAAATCGTGCCATGTCCAAGTTCATCAACCAAAGTGGTTGAGTCCATTAAGTAGCAGTCAGTATCAGAAACCGTCTCAACACAACTAGGGCAGTAACCAAAAAGCACACACACCAACACAACTACCTTCTTCTCTGCTCTTCAAAGTGCTTTAATTACCTCACCTACAATTTCACGCTACCTTCCATTTTTATACCCTCCATGCATTCTCCCCCTCACTTATTAATCATCTCCTCCACTATCCCTCCCTCCCTCTCTCTCTCTCAAAAATGGCCACACTTTCTTCCTATGATGATCACCTCATCTTCACTGCCTTGGCCTTCGTCATATCTAGCCTAATTTTCCTCCTTGCTTTCAAAACGAAGTCCAGAAAGTTAAACCTCCCTCCAGGACCCCCCGGATGGCCTATTGTGGGAAACCTTTTCCAAGTTGCTCGTTCCGGGAAACCTTTCTTTGAGTATGTCAACGAGGTGAGGCTCAAATATGGCTCAATCTTCACCCTCAAGATGGGGACGAGGACCATGATCATTCTCACCGATGCAAAGCTGGTCCACGAGGCCATGATAAAACAGGGGGCTACCTATGCCACCAGGCCTCCCGAGAACCCCACCAGAACCATCTTCAGTGAAAACAAGTTCACTGTGAATGCGGCACTGTATGGCCCCGTTTGGAAGTCACTCAGAAGGAACATGGTGCAGAACATGCTGAGCTCCACTAGGCTCAAGGAGTTTCGCGCTGTGAGGGATAACGCAATGGACAGGCTCATCAACAGGCTCAAGGCTGAAGCGGAGAAGAACAGCGGGGTGGTTTGGGTGCTCAAAGATGCCAGGTTTGCTGTGTTTTGCATACTTGTTGCTATGTGTTTTGGTCTAGAGATGGATGAGGAAACAGTGGAGAGAATAGACCAGGTTATGAAGAATGTTCTCATTACCTTGGATCCGAGAATTGATGACTATCTTCCAATCCTAAGTCCCTTTTTCTCAAAGCAAAGAAAGAAAGCATTGGAGGTGCGTAGAGAACAGATTGAGTTTCTAGCCCCTATCATTGAGCAGAGAAGGAGGGCAATCCAAAACCCCGGGTCAGATCACACTGCCACAACATTTTCCTACCTGGACACACTCTTCGATCTGAAAATTGAAGGGAAGAAATCAGCCCCCTCTGATGCTGAATTGGTCTCACTATGCTCAGAGTTTCTTAACGGAGGTACAGACACAACAGCCACTGCGGTTGAGTGGGGCATGGCACAGCTCATAGCCAACCCTCACGTTCAGACAAAGCTGTATGAGGAAATTAAGAGGACGGTGGGAGACAAGAAGGTGGATGAGAAGGACGTTGAGAAAATGCCTTACCTACATGCTGTGGTGAAGGAACTCCTAAGGAAGCACCCTCCGACACACTTTGTGCTCACACATGCTGTCACTGAGCCTACCACTTTGGGAGGGTATGACATACCCGTTGATGCAAATGTTGAGGTGTTCACTCCATCAATTGCTGAGGACCCCAAATTTTGGTCCAATCCTGAGAAGTTTGACCCTGACAGGTTCATCTCTGGGGGAGAGGAGGCTGACATAACCGGGGTCACAGGAGTGAAGATGATCCCATTTGGGGCGGGGAGAAGGATATGCCCTGGCTTGGGAATGGCCACGGTGCATATTCACCTCATGATGGCTAGGATGGTGCAGGAGTTTGAGTGGGGTGCTTACCCTCCAGAGAAGAAGTTGGACTTCAGTGGCAAGTGGGAGTTCACTGTGGTCATGAAGGAATCTCTAAGAGCAACCATCAAACCAAGAGAAGAAACACTGCAGTTGTAAAATTTTGCTGCTTCTGGTATTTACAGATAACATAAAAATATTATTATTATTACTACTATATATATATATATATATATATATATATATATATATATATATATTATATATATACATAATCATGTTTGTGTTTATCAGCATACAACTGCAAGTTAATTTCCTTCCTATTGTCTTAATTTGTCTGGTTTGTCGGAGAAACTTGTTTTAGAGTTATCACAAAATGAATCTGTAGTGGATATTTAAATTTAATTTATCTTGTTTATCATGTGAACATCCTTCTGTCATGTGAACATCCTTCTGTCATGCGAACATCCTTCTGTCATGCGAACATCCTTTCTGAAATCCGGAATTAAAGTTCATTTGAAATCTCATTTTGAAACATGAAAAAAGGAAATTTGAAGTAACACACAACGAAACAAAAAAAAAAAAAAAAGAAGACCCGTATATCATTTTGGTTTGAACATTGTATCTTACCTTCTACATTATCTCTGAACACTATCTAACAACTGGAATGAGGTGAAAACTTTTATTAGTGCGTTTTTTAACCTTCTCTGTTAAATAACAATAGGGTGTTGGAAGGCAAACTATGGATATCTATTGACTTTATTTTTTTTATTAATAACGAATAAAACATTTAGCCTTTAAAAGCTATCACAACGATGATATCAACTTGGTTTAGTAAGGACTGTTGAGGTGTAAAGATCGGTCAAAGATAGGGAACTTCCTCGTAAGTTCCTGGTCAAAGGAAGGCTACTTCCTTGCAACTTCCTGGTCAAAGGAAGGGAGCTTCCTCTCAACTTCCTCTCAAGAAGGATTTGTTTGGCTATAAATATCTCATTTTGTAACCTCATTTGTATCCAATCCAAGTGTGAAGAAAGAGTAGAGAGATTGTATTCATACGAGCTTGTGTGAATTGTAACATCTCGGTTTATCCTCTTATTCTAGTTCATTCTCCTGGCTTGGTTCGCCCTCGGATGTAGGATTTAATCCGAACCGGGTTAACAAATATTCGTGTCTTTTATTGATCTCACATTGGTGTATTATTATTATTCCATCTTATCCGACCTTATTTCCCAACAACCGGTATCGAGCCAGGAGGTTGGAGATAAGATGGAGGGAAAGATTCAAGTCGAACGGTTCAATGGTTCCGACTTTGGATTCCGGCGAATGCAAATGGAGGCTTACCTATACGGGAAGGACCTCTACGCACCTCTTGGGGAAAAACCCGAGAAGATGAGCGATGATGAATGGAAGGTGCTCGATCGGAAGGCGATGAGTGCTATAATTCTTTCGCTCTCTCTGAACGTCGCCTACCATGTGAAGGGAGCAAAAAGCACGAAGAAGGTCTTGCGGATACTCGCCGACATGTATGAAAAACCATCAGCAATAAACAAGGTGATGCCGATGAAAAAGCCGTTCAAATTGCAAATGGAGGAGCGAAAGTCAGTGGCCGATCATCTCAACGATTTCAACCAACTCACTACGCAGTTGGCATCGGTGGATATTTCGTTTGATGATGAGGTAAAAGCCCTAATCTTGCTCTCATCATTGCTTGGACAGTTGGGACGTGGTCGTTACTTCGGTGAGCACTTCTTCCGGCAAGGAGAAGATGAAGTTCGACAACATAAGAGATATGATGTTGAACGAGGAGACCCGCAGAATCGAGCGGGTGGGTCGTCCGGCTCAGCCCTACATACGAGTCCGGAGGGAGACCCGAAACACGAGGGAAAATCCGTGGGAGGTCAAAATCCAGGGGAAGGAATAAAGGCAAGAAAGAGATGGTGTGTTGGAACTGCGAGAAGCCTGGGCATATGAAAAGCGAATGCCGGCACCAAGGAAAGACAAAGAAGGTCTGGACGGCCCAATGCCGCGACGGAGGACACGGCGGATGCACTCTTGCTGAGTGTGAGAAGCTCGCTCGATGACCGGATCGTGGACTCGGGGGCCTCATTTCACTCATGCAAGAGCAGAGACATCATGGAGCCATACACCGCAGGTGATTTTGGCTTGGTATATCTTGCGAGACAACAAATCCCTAAAAATTGTAGGGAAGGGAGATGTGCGGATCAAGTCCGCAAATGGGTCATGTTGGACCCTACGTGATGTGAGACACATTCCGGGACCGAAGAGGAATCTCATCTCGGTTGGACAACTGGACAATGACGACTTCCACACAATGTTTGGAGACGGAAAGTGGAAGGTCGCCGAGGAGCTATGACTTTGGCAAGAGGGCTGAAGTCGGAACGCTTTACACGGCGAGTAGATCCAGCTTCAAACATTCTCCTGGCAGGAGTTGTCTCACAATCGCACTTATGGCACGGCCGCTTGGGCCACATGAGCGAAAAAGGAATGAAGGTACTAAAGTCGAGAGGACTTTTGCCCGAGTTGGAGTCGGTGGACGTGGGTCTCGCGAGCAATGCGTGCTTGGAAAGCGAAGCGAGTGAGCTTCATAACCACCGAAGAGCTCCAAAGACAGAAAAACCGGAGCTAGTGCACACCGACTTATGGGGGCCAAGACCGGTGACATCTCTTGGAGGATCGATGTACTACATGACGTTCGTCGATGACCGCACAAGAAAGGTATGGGTGTACTTTCCGAAAAGAAAATCCGAAGCCTTTGATACTTTCGGGAGATGGAGAGCACTCGTGGAGAAAGAGACAGTCCGGAAGTGAAATGTCTCGCATCCGACAACGGTGGCGAGTACAACAATGAAGCCATCAAAGAATACTCGCGACGATCATGGGATCCGGATGCGTAAGACGGTCCCAGTGGACACCTCAACAAAATGGCATTGCGGAGAGGATGAACAGAACACCGAATGAGCGTGCGAGATGCATGCGATTGAAGAGTGGACTGCCCAAGATGTTTTGGGCGTAAGCGCCAAGCACGACCGCTTTCTTGATCAACCGGGGCCTTCTGTCCCATCGAACAACAAAATTCCAGAAGAGGTGCTGGAGTGGTAAGAAAGTTGATCTCTCTTTCTTACGTACCTTTGGTTGTTTGGCTTACGTTTTGAATGACGACCGGACAAAGCTGGATGCTAAGTCCGTCAAATGTACATTCATTGGATATGGGACTCGACGAATTTGGGTATAGATTTTGGGATGATCAAAATCGGAAAATTATTCGCAATCGTAATGTGGTGTTCAATGAAGGCATAATGTACAAGGACCTAAGGAATACCCGGACGATGACAAGACCATGCAGGAGTATGTTGGTCTCGATATTTCAAATACCGAATCATGAGACCAAGCAGATACAGTGGGAGCTCGGATAGATGAGATCGAGCGTACGTAAGAAGAGGCGTAACCGGAATCGGATGAACCGATTGCCGAGAGCAACGACGCCTCCGCACCGGGCCGAGAACCAAGGATGAGAAGGGCCCTGGATAGGTACTCCCCTTCTCTTTATTACCTACTTTTATCCGATTCTGGGAACCCGACCGTTATGCAGAGGCGGCTAAAGATGCCCACAAGAGCAAGTGGGAGCTTGCGATGGAAGACGAGATGAACTCGTTGAAGAAGAACCACACATGGGATTTGTGTGATCTCCCACAAGGAAAGAAGGCTCTTCAAAACAGATGGGTCTATCGAGTCAAGGAGGAATCGGATGGAACAAAACGGTACAAGGCCGGACTTGTAGTAAAGGGATTCCAACAGAGATACTGGTATTGACTTTACCGATGTTTTTACACTCGTTGTTAAGTTAACCACTATACGTTTAGTGTTAAGCATCGTAGCGGCGGAAAACTTGGAGTTGCAACAGCTAGATGTGAAGACGGCCTTTCGCATGGGGATCTCGAGGAGGAAATTTACATGGTGCAACCGAGAGGGATATAGAGGAAATGATCGGCAGGTCTGTCGCCTAAAGAAGAGCTTGTACGGATCGAAACAGGCTCCTCGACGAGTGGTACCGAAAATTCGATAATTTCATGCCGGAGATAGGATACTCCGGTGTAATGCCGATCATTGTTGCTATGTGAAGAAGTTCGGTAACTCTTTCATTATTTTATCGCTATATGTGGATGACATGCCGATAGCGAGGATCGGATGTCAAGGAGATCGAGAGGCTCAAAGATCGCCTATCAAGGAGATTTGATATGAAGGATCTAGGAGAAGCGAGACGGACATCGGGCATGAAAATCACGAGGGACGTAAATGCTTGGTAAACTTTGGCTTTCTCAATTTGATTATATTGAGAAGGTGTTGTGCGAGATTCAATATGAATATTGCAAAGTCGGCTCGAGTTCCATTGGGAAGCCGGCTCAAGTTGTCCAACAAGGATTCGCCCAGGATGACTCTGAAAAAGAAAAGATGAGAGTTACGCCGTATGCTTCGGCTATCGGGAGCCTAATGTACGCTATGGTCCGCACCCGCCGGACATAGCACATGCAAGTGGGAGTAGTCGGTCGGCTCATGAGCAATCCCGGAGTGATGCACTCGGGAGGCGGTAAAGTGGATCCTTAGGTACCCGAGGGGTACTAAGGACCGGGCATTAGTATTTGGCAGGGGTACCCTTACCCCGTCCGGGTATGTCGATGCCGATTTTGCAGGAAGTGATCTTGACAAGAGGAGGAGTACTACCGGGTACGTATTCACTTACGGCGGGACGGCCGTATCCCGGATCTCAAAGTCTGCAGAAGATAGTCACATTGTCCACAACTGAAGCCGAGTACGTGGCGGTGACGGAGGCGGCCAAGGAGCTCGTTTGGCCGCAAAACTTCTTGAATGAACTTGGGAGACCTCAAGAGGATGTGGCTCTATACAGCCGATAGCCGAGTGCAATCCATCCGGCAAAGAACCCCGCGTTTCACTCGCGAACGAAGCACATCGAGGTTAAGTATCATTTCATCCCAAGCAACTTCTAGAGAAGAAGATGCTGCAAGCTGAAAAAGGTTCGGGAGATAGGAATCCCGCAGACATGTCGACCAAGGCGGTAACTTTGGAAAAGTTGAAGTCGTGTGTAGCTTCGACCGGCCTTGATGATTAAAACAGCGGACTTAGCGGAACCAAGAGCAGAGATGAACAGGTTGACCAATCTTCAAGTGGGAGATTGTTGAGGTGTAAAGATCGGTCAAAGATAGGGAACTTCCTCGTAAGTTCCTGGTCAAAGGAAGACTACTTCCTTGCAACTTCCTGGTCAAAGGAAGGCTACTTCCTTGCAACTTCCTGGTCAAAGGAAGGGAGCTTCCTCTCAACTTCCTCTCAAGAAGGATTTGTTTGGCTATAAATACCTCATTTTGTAACCTCATTTGTATCCAATCCAAGTGTGAAGAAAGAGTAGAGAGAGTGTATTCATACGGGCTTGTGTGAATTGTAATATTCGGTTTATCCTCTTATTCTAGTTCATTCTCCTGGCTTGGTTCGCCCCCAGATGTAGGATTTAATCCGAACTGGGTTAACAAATATTCGTGTCTTTTATTGATCTCACATTGGTGTATTATTATTATTGCATCTTATCCGACCTTATTTCCCAACAAGGACGACTATATGATTCTCATATAGTTGAAAAGGGAAGTGAGTGATACAGTGAGCAAATAGTGAAAATGATTTTGACCACGTTTGTTTATGAAACTTAATTTTAATTATAGTAAAGCCAAGGGGGCAGAATTTGTAGTTAAGAAATTAAGCTTGAAAAAGAAAGTTGATGTAATGAATCTACTTTTGTAGGCTTTTATTTCGTATGAATGTGCCACCTAACCGAGACGATTTGGACGTAGACATGGATAGCAATGGTTGAAGAAAATAACTAACTGGCTGGTTAAACGTTTTGCAGTGAGATGCTATGTACGTCGCTCTCTCTTTCTCATGTGCCAATCATTAATGCATCTCTTCTTTTTACAATCACTATTTTTCTCTTCTTTTTTCCTTTTTAAATCACTTTAGTAGCCAATACTCTCATGCTTAAAAAACAATTTACGTCATTTTTATCTCTTAATCTCTATTACTAAATTTATGAAGTAAATCATGTTGAGAATTTATATCTTTTCAAATTTTCGAGTCTTTAATCATTATTTTTATCTATGAGATTAAAATAATATATTAAAAAAAAAAACATAGATGGTCAAACATGCCACAAAATGGTGAAGGGATTAGTGTGGTCCACACTCCTCTGTTTCTCTGTGTTAGATTGTATTTTTACGGGTTGCGCAGTGAGCACCGTCCAACACATCATCACCACACTCCATATAGTCAACCCAAGCTTGTTCTTTGAGGCTATGATATTCAACCTATTATCACCCACTTTATAATTTTAAATTCAAATTAAACCTAAAATCGAACTACTTTATGCTTCTATTTTTATTAATAAGAGTACAAAAATAATATAAACTAAAATAATTCAATTATTTAGTTCAGTTTAGCCTAATTTTAATCATTTGTTTAACTCAACACATGAATTGATAAAAGATAATTTACTTATTGAAGGTATAAAAATGATTGCAAGATTCATCGGTCTAATTAATGGTGACAGATTCGATGTCTTATCATAGCGATTAATATTTTCAAACTAATTTTACATGTATGAAACTAATGAATAACCCTCGTGCCCTCACATGCTACAAGAGAACATATATTCTCACTCGTTATTTATAATAAACTAATTATTGTTTTTTTTATTATTATGTTTAATATAAATTTATATTTTTAAAAATAAATTAATGTTTGTTATCATAGTTATTGAATCGTATAGAATAATAATTTGAAAACATGATATGAATAAAAAGATATTGTTTCATTGAAAACAAATTATATTAAAAAAAAAATGTAACCAACATTCTAGAGAGACAATTGTAGAATTCAGTTTGAATTCCGAAAAGAGTGTATTGTTGGAAAGAAAGTTGTGAGAGTTGGATAAAACCTAGTAAGAAAGAATAGTAGGATCATTAAAGACAGTGAAAAACAGGTACTACAAATCCTGTGGGCTGTGGAACTAACTGTGGACGATGAAATTGTCTTCCCTTTTTTACTTTTGTTGTTGGTTGGAGTGATGGCAAAAGCAATGACCTATGCATGGCTATGGAGGAATTGGGCAGTGATCAATTAATGGTGAGAGACTGAAGGTTCTTGTTCACATGAGGATTAGAATTACAACGCTTCTTGCTTCCAATTTTCTGCTAAACACAAAAAGCAACCTATTCACAATTAATGGGTTGTTGTTATTGTTCTGTTTAAAAACTTTTACTTCGTTATTTTTTGGATATTTGTAAATTATTTTATTCTGCGCTAAATATATCTGTGGAAATATTTAAAACAAAATTACACACAAAATATAGAGTTAAATAAAACTAGTGTTTTTAGAAATAAATTCAATTTAACAAATTTAAATAAAAAACACAATTTTATAAAACATTTTTTTCAATAGTTCTTTCATGATTAATATTTTTCCTCTTTCATAACTTTATTCTAATTAAAGGATTTCAAAAAATATTAAAAAAGAATTATTGACAATAAATACTCCTTACATTTCAAAATACATGATGTATAGAAAAATTTATTTCTGAATATATAGTATTTATAAAGTTTACTTTTTTATCAATTGTATTTATGTCTTTTAATTATATTTATTATATGGAGATAGAGATAACAAATTACATAAAATTAGTTTGATTAGAAAAAAATATATTAAAATGATAAGATCTTAATGAAAAGAGACTAATAAATTTATTAAAAATAATAAAATTAAAGCTTATATGAGCTTGTTGTTGTCAAACCTTAAACCATTTAAAGTATTTTGGAACTCATGGAGTAACAAGTTAGACATTCCTATTTAAAACATATATTAAAGAGTTTCAAAATATAGAAAAATTTATTTCATATACATTTGTAGTTACTTAAGAGTATTTCCATTAGAGAATATTAAAATGATAACAGTGTCAAGGGAAAAAAACATAATAAATTTATTAAAATTAATGGAAATTAATGATTATATTAGCTTGTGGAATCAAACCTTAAACCACCTATATTTTAAAATTGAGAGAGTAATAAACTAGATAGTGGTACTTAAAACACGTATTAAAGAGTTTTCTTCCGTGTCAAAATATATATAACGTGTCTGGATAAAGAAGAAGAAGTTTATGTATGTTTGTAAAGTTTAAAATTGTATTAATAATTTTTTTATCAATTATATTTCTGTCTTTAATTATATTTTATTTATTATAAAGAAAAAATATCAAATTACTTAAGCATGATTAAAAAGTGTTAAAATAATAAAGGTATTAATATAAAAAACAATACATTTAGTAAAAATAATAAAAATTAATACTTAGTCATGTGTAATATAATATTAAAGAAAAATTGAATAGAGAAACTAATAAAATATGCAACATTAATTATTTTTTTCACTCACACATAGAAAAATATAAATAAGAAATCTAATTTTGTACCTTCCTGTACTTTGTTTTCTTTACATGTTCTATAGATTTGTAAGAAAAATAATAATAATAACAATAACGTGATTCTTCTCCTTGATAATCTTTAATTTGTTTTATTTTTCTTATATTTTGTCCAATAGAAAGTGTCAATGATTTTTTTTAATTTTTATTATAATGATATAAGTGATTTTTTATATATTTTTTTGTTTTTTATATTTTGTTTAATTTTTTTTTATTATTATATAATTTTTAAATTCATTTATTTTTATTTTTAAATATATATAATTATGAATAAGTAAAAATTATAAGAAAAAAATGAATTAATAAAATAATAATAATAATTAAGAAAAAAATAAATTAATAAAATAAAAAGTAATTAATACTCTTTGTGAAGACACACATTAACTAAACCGTTAATTATTTTCATCCTAACGTGGACCATATTCTCCTAACTTTTGCGACATTAACTCCCATCATTAAATATTTACAATTATCATTTACAAAACCCTGAAACCAGAACATTTGATTGACCACAACATTTATTTTACTAGTTTTAGCTTTTTAGTTTCTAAAACTATTTTAACAAAATAGTTAGTAATCTTAATGTAGTTTAAATAAAAAGTAAAAAATAATTTTCGAAAGCAATAACCCCACCAAACCCTTGTATTTTAATGTTTGTCAAACTTAATTAACTTAAACCTGTTCCAGTACTCAACTTTTTTTCCACCCCAACCACAAAAAAGTGAAGACCAATTCCTTCTTTTAATACCGTTGTTATAGACTGGCCCTTCCCCTAATCACAATTCACAAATAGTTAACTACCAACTATTTTCACAAGAAACCAAGTGCCATAATTATTGCATCTTCCTTCAAATAAAAATCACCATTTTAACCTTGTTGGAACAATTCATGCTATAAAAAGCCAAGATACATTAATTGCTGCATATAGATTGCATTGGTACAAAGGTTTGCTGGGGGAAGAACACAGCTATAACTCCACCTGATCTTCAACTAATTCTGGTCTTACAACTACTACAATTAGGAAGGGAAAAGAGAGAGAGAATTCAAATACTATCTAGTATTGAGGATCAACAAAATAACAATGGAGAAAACAGTAAAGGGAAGCCCTAGGGAGGGGGGTATTCTCTGCTATATATACAGTAAAAGATATTAACCATCCTTTTTCAGCATGCCAATGTCTCTCACATTTTCACTCCAATTTTGGGACATTAACTTTTATATTGAATGTGTGATTTGAAAGTATCATATTGAAGCATCGCTTTCCATGAAAACAATCAATTCTGGAAGTTTGATGGACTCTCTACATGCTTCTTCCCTTCATCTTTTGTGAAGTTACCCTCACTTAAACAGGTGATATTGTCCACAGAAACTGCTCCACCACCCTCAGAAGGAAAGTGATCTTCTTCTACAGGATTCAACCCATGGTTGTGTGGGGTTGTTGATGATAGTCCATTATCAGCCATCATACAGTGATAATGATGTGTGTCAAAGGATTCTATGCCATAGTGAGGTTGCAAAGCAGAGCTGAACATGGGCTGCATTAACCGCTTTCTGTCTGGGAATTCGCGCAACGATATTCGACAAACAGGACATGTGGAGTTCTGCTGCAGCCATAGGTCTATGCAGGTCACATGGAAAGAGTGTCCACAATAAGGAAGGATACGCAACATATCCTCCCCTTGGTATTCTGAGAGGCAGACTGTGCATCTACAAATACAATGAAATTGAATGTTCAAAACCAGAAAATATTTATCTGAATGAGAAATGTCATCAATAATCATGTGGGAGGTCTGCGCAATAAATTGCCATGTTCAAATTTGTTAACATTTGTTGATATGCCATGTTCAAATTTGTGCTATCTCTTTCCTAACAAATACTGTAAGATAGTTCCCACCTATTTACATTGTCTACCAAAAAAGAGATGGACTTAAAATTTGAACATGACCATGACATGGTAAGAGTATACATGAGAGGATCCATTCCCAATAGTATACACATATAGAGCAAAGAAATGCACTCTAATATAAGAAATCAACAAAAGAAATGGTGATAGCACAATCTAATCAAGACCCTGTCAAGAGTTAGTCCTATGCCAATGGAACATGTCATCATATTTCACTTTCTATTGTGAGATACATACATGTTCAAATTAAAGAACATAGGAATAAATGTGCCATCCGAACCCACAGAAAAAATGACCACAAACCCCTTACAAGATGCATAACCTTTTGTAGTTTAAATGTCTTGCAATATTTGTGATTGAAACCTTCATTACAGATTCCTTTCCATGCAATCCTTTTCAACTTAATATGTTGCCAAAAGAGTATCATACAGTAATTAACAAGAGATTATTTAATTAACATCATATTCGGGTTGGATAAAATGAATGAATAAATAGATCAGAATCAGAGATTCAAACATACTGAGAATTTTCTGCTGCAGCAAAAAACTTGTCACTGTACATCTTTGTTGGAAATTGGGCTACAGTTACACGTTCAAGACCATGGCAACCCCGCTCCATCTGCACCAAGGGAAAAAAAAGTCCGATTGATAAAAAACCAATTCAAATAAAATGACATCATACTCACTGGGAAAACAACACAAAGTTTGCACTACATCAATTTACATAAATAATAATAAAAAAAGTTTAATTACTATGCTCTTAAACTGTAAAATCTTATTTATCGCCGCATTTCATGATTAGTAGCACTTTTAAGATGATTAGTATCACTTTTAAGATAATTGTTGTAAAATTTAATATATTTTGTAATTGGATGATATCGTCAAACCCTTTGCTGTCAGGAGCATGACTATTTGATCAAAAATGGAAAAATATTTTATAAATAAGGTGCAAAACTATTTAACCAAAAATGAAAAAAATATATAAATAGTGTTTACTCTATCAACCAACTAATTAGAAACCATGTCTAATTTGTTGACTTTCAAAGGAATTTAATTTACATTAAAAGTCATAACTTCTAATTGTTTGAGAGTGTGATTTTTTACACTATCTGGATAGAACTTGAACTCCCAAAAAGAATTATTCAAGCAACGAAAAATTTAAGATTAACTTGAAAACTGAAAAAAATGGTCACCATGCTGAGATTGGATCTGGAGACAATAGGAAAGGATCTCCTTGCAGCATTTAAGTGAATTCGAGCACATATGAGCCTGGTGCAGACGAAAACAATGAACATGGTGCTCACCGCAAACCCAATCACAGTCATCACCAAGTTGATCCCAGAAGAAATCATCTTGCAAAAACAATCCCAAATTGATAAAGAACCCTCCAATTTCAGATTTCAGATGAAAAGGCCGAATTGAACAGTGAACACTAACAAACACCGCCAACAACACCCTCCGTGGGTTTCAGAGGAGAATCTGAAGTGGGTTTGTCGCAGTGGCACCAAAGATGCATGCTTTTCACGGTGGGTATGGAGATGGAGGGTGAATCAGAAAATGGTGGAGTGAAAGGGTGAGAATAGGGACTGTTGTATTGTCCCAGTGACATACAGAAAGGAAACCCTAGAAGGCATGGTGGGTGAGTAGGTGAGAGTGAGAGTGACAAAGGGGTGAAAGATCTAAGGGTAATGATGGTTATGATCAAGATTTTGAGATCTAAGTCAAGTTGTGATTAATGTTCTTTAGCAATGGAATAGAGAAGATGAGAGAGGACTCGCTGGTTGGGTTTAAGCAAGTGTTGTGATAATATTTAATATTTAATATTTTTATGTAATCATATTTTTTATTTTTACTAAGGAGACTGTGAATTAAGTGATCAATGAACAACCCATATAACTTATATATAACTGAAAATATTAATATAACGAGTGTTGTTTGATTATATTAAATAAACTTTTTTTCAATACAGAATTGACTTAGTTTGTGGTTTTCGTTAGTTTAACAAATTTTGAACAAAAGAAACGTTTCATGTATATGATTTTGACTCAAACAAGAAAATTTTCTTTCTTTCCTCTTTTTCTCTTCGATCCAAACGAGGTACAGCATAGTGATTAAACAATTCACTAATGCATTAAAAAGTGAAGAATGGTTTAATTATTTTAATATTAAAGGGTGATAAAGCGTTAACATAGCCTAAATTAATTATAGGAAGATTTTTTAAGGAATACTTCTTTTATTTCAAAAAGCACGTAAAAAAATTTGTTTCTAAATATATTAGTATTGAAAAATTTAAAATTATATTGATTTTTTTATCAATTATATTTTTGTCTTTAATTATATTTATTATAAAAAATAATAAATTACTTAAAATTATTTTAATATGAGAAACGTATTAAAATAATAAAAATATTAATATTTTTTATTAAAATAATAAAAATTAACATTTATATTAATTTGCATAATCAAATCTTAAACATCATATCTAGGGAATAATATGTAATAATTAATTTATATTTCTCCTTTTTCAGTGTCATGAATTTCAAGTTTTTTATTATATTAGTTTAATATATATATATATATATATATATATATATATATATATATATATATAAACGAATTAAATATAATACGTAAAACTACTTGAAATTAAAAATAAAAATGGAAATTATTTTAAACAATTATTTTAATTTATTTAAAAATCAAGATTAAATTAAAACATATACATTAATTATTCTATCATATGTTAATTTTATATTTAATTCTTCTAAATTGAGATATTAAACTATAAAATTCATTTACAATCCTTAATTTAAAAGTAACAATTAAAAAATAATAAAATCAAATTAAATTTAACAAAATTTAAAATGAATCATAATTTCAATTATTAATTTTTTGCTTAATAGATATCATATTTCTATTCTAAGATACATTTTTTTCCCATGTAGCACCATGGTGGAACATTGTTATTTAATATGAAGAAAAAAACAGTTGAAAAATAGAGAACTACTCATATTTTGAGTATTTTTATATTTCTTCAAAGGTGTTATTCGAATGATAAAAAATGACAAAAGTTGACTTTATATCAGATAGAGATGGATGGAAACTGAGTGGTCTGGACTCTAATAACTCCTCTGCTTTAACTATTGACCAACAAAAATCTCACCTCCCAAATCTTTTGCTAGGGATTTCACCCACCATTTGTGCTACCAATCCACAACAATTTCACTTGGTTATATTTTTGGGTTAAAAAATTATTAATTTCTAAATAATAATTTATTGTTACTCAACAATAGATTTCTTATTTTTTTGTATTAAGTTTTAAAATTTATTCCAAATCAATCCTTTATTTTACTTTTTGTAGTCATAACTTTAGGGTGTGAAAAAAAAAAGTGAGAAGTGTATTAAACAGATTTTGTCGGTTGCTTTTGTCAGTATATCTGAAATCTTTAATTATGAGCTTGATTATTGGGAAGCATGACATGATATGGAGGAAGTAAAGTTGAAAAGGATGTTGAAATTTTGCAAGACAAGGACAGGGGTGATGGGTGAGGACTGAGGAGGAAGATCTCAGGAGACAAAGGTGGGACAAGAAGCTTGAGAATGTTGAAGAAAAGGGTTTTTTTTTTCTTAACAAAGGCTAAGCTTTTGTAGAATGCATATTCTACACTGAAAGTTTTAGTTTGGAAAGTCTATTAAAATCAATTTCCTTCCACCTTCACACATGTCTCAATCTGTTTGAATATAAGACTACAACTTTGGAGAAATTCTCCACTAGAAAGAATGCATATTTCCAGAAAAAAAGCTCTCAATCACTTATATTCAAACAAACTCCCCTAGTTTTGTGACTGAGATTAATTTGCTCACATATAAACTTGCATTCAATAATTTAAATTCAATTATACCAAGTTTAAATTTATTTTATATTTTCGTTTTCAACTTACCTAAGGATATGTTTAATTCAGCGAGAGGGAATGAGAGATTTTAAAAGAGGGACCGGTAGTGAAAGGGACAGGGCGTATTTTTTTTTAGTAGAACATTATGTGTAGTTGAGAGGATAGAAATTTTAATAGAGAAGAAGCAAAATAATCCTTCTTCTAACTTGATTCTAAAGAAAAGGAAAATATTAAAAAAAATAGTTTTCTTTCACACTCGCATAATTTTTATTAAAAAATATAATTTTTATTTATCAATACACTTTAAATGTTTTAAATCACCTATTTTCTCCAAATCCTTCCAATATTGAAGGCGAACAAAAATAAGAGATAATTTTGTTCTCCTAAAAATTCAACTGAACAAGAAAGTTAAAAGAAATCTCATCTCCTTCAACCCAAACTCCATGTAAGACTAACACATCGAAATATGTTTCACATTATCAAAATTTAATCTCAGTTTAAATTATCAAAATCTAGAGATAAATCTACAACAGAGAAAAAATCTTGATAACCAATAAATAGTTCACTTTGGTAGATACTGCGGCGATTGAAGTAAAAAACACAGTCCAGATGAATGGAAGAATGTCATACAAAATCTCTTCCCAACACAACTAGAGAATACAGAGAATCACCATAAAGTACATAACAAATAAAACCATTACCTTTACACCAAGCTTAGCTGCTAGCAACCTAATGGTATTATATATACATGTTTCATCTTAAATGATCGCCATTAAATGAGAAACGATTTGCAAGAGGAAACCCAACTGTGCTATTTGAATAGGGTCTTGAAACTTCACTACCAAATGGCATCTGTGGGGTTGCATTTTGATAGGACGGATTGATGGGAAACGTGGGATACGAGTATTTACTGGAAGAGAGTGGACCGCCATTAGAGAAAGGATCAAAAGGGGACTTATGAGAACTAAATCTTGACCCATTTTCCAAGTATCGGGTGGCAAGAGCTTGATCATCAGCACACAAGCTCAACGTTGAGCCAGAGTAAGGAGGATTGATGAAAGACTGACCATCAGAAGTTCCAGACATGGCTCTATCAAGATGAAAGTTTGAACCAAATCCAGTAGTTGGATCACGGACATTCAAACTAGCAGTTGCTCCATCAGAAAGATCTGTTGGTAGTCTGAAGAGACCAGAACACCCAATAGGAATTTCAAATCTATCCTCACTTTTACTAACAGAAGGTGATGGTTTAGCAGTGTACCCACCCTCTACCACTGGCAACCTATTGAGTTCCTGTTGTAGCGATATTCTAGCTTGTTTAAGAGATTCAAGAACACCATTGAACTTGTGAGATTGTTCACGAGTAACTAATGCATAGAGATCCTTTTCGTTTCTTGAAGCATCATTTTGGTGCTGGACACCATGAGTATCAGTTGGAAAGGAACAAGAAGGCCTGGAATCAGAGTAACTATGCCTACCTGGATCTTGATGGTTCATATCAGGAGACTGAAAGTGGCCATTTACCAAGCTCTCATTTTGGTTTTCCTTCAGTGGGGAATGTGAATTTTCTTGACCAAGCAAATCAGAAGTGATAAAAGTTGTACTGTTCTGGTTGCTGTAACCTGTGTCATCATGTGTTCTTGGCATAATTTCTCGGCCCTCAGCTTTGAATTTTTCTTCAGATAAACAGACACCTCTGGGTTCTCCTTTACACTCTTCAGCATTTGAGGGGTCCACCTTAGCAACATATGGAATCTGAGCCTTGCCTTCATCTTTATCCTCAGTCATATCTGAGTGATTCCCCGGATCACATGAATCCTGTAAAGTTTAGGATCCAAAACTAAATTTGAGACTTCAGGTGATTTTACATGGACTGAAAAAGCAGTAAGAATCTATTCTGAATCATAAAATCATTTGGTGTACAAAGTTAACAGAAAAAAAATGTCATGAACTATATTAACTGAACCATCAGGAGAATGAAATTATTACTTGGTCAATACAGTGGAAGAATATATTAGAAGGCAGACATATAATAGACAACAAACACCCTACCTCAAACATTTTGATTCAAGTCGAGGTACATGTGTCCATTCAATTTATTCTCTACTTCCCTTTTGACAAAGAAAGGTCCTACATATTTTTGCAGGTGAGCTTATTTTAATCCTTGGATCAAAAAACAATTTTCCTAGCTACTTAATAAGTTACTTCACTACTTACTCTAATGGTATTTTTGGTCGGAGGGACAACAGAGGACATTGAGAGGATGGATTTAAGTTAGTATGTTTGGTGAGAAAGAAACAGGGAAGAGAAAAATAAAAGGCAGGTGGTCTCAGCAATACTTTTCTACTTTATTTCTCACTTGTTTCCACTCTTCTCTCTATCTCTCTCATTTTCTCTTTGTTTCTCTTCAACCAAACACATTTAATTTTTATTTTATTTCTCCTCATCAATTTTATTTCCATGTACTCTATTTCTTTTCACTATACCAAACAGACCATAATGACAAAATCTACAAAATAAGTTGGTAAAAATAAGAGATATAAGACTAATCTTGAAACCTTCATCTTAAACTTCTATTAAAACATCCATAGGAATATGTCGTCTAGAGCTTTATTCTTGTAAACTACATTCTTCTAATTGAATTTGAATTTTAAACAAGGCAGATTGTTCTCATTTGAATTTTAACGAATATATTGAACTAGAAATGCAAATTAAATTATAACATACATGTATATTTCAACAATAACACTTTAAGCCTTTCGGGACCTAAAGGATTGTCCAATGCACAAATTATTTTATGTTCTAGATGTTATTTCTATGTAATATAAAGCATTAAGGACTTTGCATATAATTCCTGTATTAAATTTGCAAATTGCAATTACTCACATCAAAGTAAAGAGAATTGACTTTTACTCGACATTGACTGACAGTCAATACTGTACAATTAGTATATTGCATGTGATCACTGTCCTTCCCTCCCTTTAACCAAACTCTTCTAAGAAAAAAGAATACAAACAATAAATAACACAATAAAAACCAGTGAAACAAAGCTAACAAATCCCTCGATAATTAAGGAAAGGGAAACCACCTCAGGAACAACATTTTTTACCCCAAATAGAAGTCAATCACCTATGCTATGTTTGGAATCACATTGATATCGTGGTGCCACCACAGTTCTCCCACCACACTAGAGAGTATTTTAAAGCTACCACGGCTTTTACACGTGATCCAACACACTTCCAATCATTCAGCTAATCTAATCCCAATGTGATCCAATGAAATCTCCTTATAGATACATGTGTTATGCTCCAACCAAATGTAGCAAAATTTTGAATAAATAGTGCATTGTCGCAAATTAAATGATATTCTCTAGATAAAATGTTAACAAACTAAACTGGAGCCTCTACTTCTGCTTTAATGTCACATGTCAATCTTACTGCAATTGTCATAAATGCACCAACCAAACATCAAGTTTCAAGCAAAAGCACATAGAATATGGTAAGACTAGGTGAAGCATACTGGTGTTGTGCTGTTATTCTCTCTAAATTTCTCCTCCCATTCTCTTTGAGCCTTTTCCATTGCTTCATATTGGTCAATAAGTTGGGCTTGGTGTTCAAGAGCCTTTTCCATGTCCTTCTCTCTTCCATACCCATCTATGTGATGATTTTTGTCAAGTTGGTTTGCCTCTGATCCATCCAGTTCTTGAATTTTAGATTCTATTTTCAGGATGTTAGACCCACCATCTGAGAAATTTGGAAATCCTTCAGAAGATGATAAAAGTTCCTTTTGTTGGCAGTTAACTTGAGCAAATTTGTCTCTAGATTCCTCCATTACTGACCTGGGAAAACACAACATCTTTATCAACTTCACAAGCCATCCGGAAGTTAAGTGTTACAAGAGAAAAATAAATGCAAATAACATTCAGGGGCTATTCATATCATGAATTTGGAGCACATAGGACAAGACTACAAAAGGTAATATACTAAAACATTCCATTCTCAAGCATAAAAACTTAATTTATTAGTATTTTTAGCATTAATAATTTTCTAAGACACACACTTCCTCAAAAGATGTAAAACAATAAATGAGGGACCAAGAATTTATCAAAAGAAACAGCAAATTTACAGGCACGGTCTTCTTAAAATCAGATTTCATTGCAAAACAGTAAGTCAGCAACCAGAGGTACAATATAACCCTGGTAATTTAGGGGCCCTAAGCCTATGAGTTGGAACCAAGTCCAAAGTAGAAACGAGCAGATTTTTTTGTTTATTGTTGGTTACCTTGCATATAAACATTAAGAACAAGAAGAAGGAAAATATCATTGTTTGCTGTGGAACCTAGTAACATAAATGGGGATAAAAACAAGTTTAATCAGAAAAAGAAAAGGTTACAACTTACCTGGGCTGTCTATGTTTTATCTTGCGACATGACTTTCCTAGACGATGCTTTGGTGAAGAACTGAAAGATGAGAAACTGCTTTGCCTCCTCAAATTAGAAGTGTTGGTCTTGTACTTTTCAAGAGAATGGGACAAGTTATGGCGTCCTTTCCATGACAAACTTTTACTGGATACTAGTGAAGAATCTACATTGGAACCAGACATTTCATCTGACCCATGCTGTCTTCCTTTTGAGTTCATAGGCCCCTCCCCCTCTTTTGCACACTCATTACTCATACTAGAATCAAAAGGATTTTCAAGATCTGAGCCTGAATCAAATTCTTCAGATATACCACTTATCCCTTGATTCTCCAAAATGGCAAGAACATCAGCAGTGGCCTTCTCTGCCATCTTCCTCTGAAGAATCACCATCCTCAGTTGTTCCTCCAATTCCACGACCTGATTAAATATTGGAGAAAACATTTAAAGAGTCAAGAAGATGGCATTAAAGGCCAGTTTGGATACAAAGCTAAAAAAGTTTTTGAGAGCTTCTCTACTGAAAAAAAAAAGCTCTCTATTTCTGTAGAGAACTCAAAAACTCTTCTATCCTGTATCCAAACAGGCCTGAAAAAAGATAAGGTAAGTTTGATTCTACAATATAGCAAACGTAAACTTTACATGCCTTTTTTGCCAGTTCATCGGCTCTCTGTCTAGCACTTCTTGATATGGACCTTTCAGAAAGCAATCTTGCCCGCAGGAATTCAATAGTCATTGCAGTGGAATCTTCCGTACAGGAAGTAATCCTAAGTAACAAACATCTAATTAATATAGCTAAAAACATATCCAATATAGAAGAAAAATGAAAGAAATCTGATCATAATGCTAATTCTGGTAGAGAAAAAAGTCCTAAACAACTATTCCTTAATTTATGCTGACAAAATTTGGAGGGAGGAAGGACCTACATGGTTACTTTGTCATATTCTTCCTTTCTTTTCTTTCCTTTCACTGCCTTACCTTGTCCCAATCTCTCCCTCCAGCCAAAGAAAAATAACAATGAAGTTCAATAACAAATGAAAATACAGGAGTTCATGCACGTTAAAAAATAAAGAAAAAATCCATTCTTCCCTGCCAAAGAAAATGTCCACTTATTTTAAGACTGTTTAAGGAAAACAATAAATGTCCTATAATATGCTATACCCAGCATTGAGAAAATAAGAAAACTGAATGTGGTACTTAAGCCATAAGACTCTCTCATCCAATAGGCTAGCATTTTGGGGGATAAGCTCTCTTCATAGACTAGTGATCCGAGAACAATAAAAAAGTAAATAACTAATAGAAGATTTATCCTAATATTTTTAATGCTGGACCAGTTATTGAGCTATTAAAATATCTGGTTCACATTGGTTGGTTCAATTTCTGTCTAACTATGGTTGAACAGTGTCTCATGTGTGTGTTGTTCAAAAAGAAGATGGATACACACAAATAGAGTTCAAATTTCTTGTGGCCAATTTTAAGCATTTTTTCAGCATAATGCATTGAATAGTTTCACTTGTTTTCAGCTGGTCCAATGGTTGAGGCCATTTCATAAACCAACAGTTTATATAGATAGACAAGACAGGCCAATGGTCCAATTAAAGTTTTAATTATGTTAGAGTATGCGAGCTTGCTTATTGTTTGGTCATTGGATCAGATCCTCGATATTTAAGGGTATTTTATGATATAAGTAATCGTAACAAGTTTTGTTAGAATGACAGATGTCAGAGAGATTTGAGATTCTGTGTGAACAGTCTCTGACAGCTGTAACTAGCTCACTTATGTAGGATTATGTTTGAGACTGTACAAAGAGAAAATAATAGACAGGACAGATGATCAGAACTGTGTGTATGGACTACACAGCAGAATCCATTTTATATAAGCTGATGACAATAAATACAATTAATTATAGGATATTTTATTCCTATATACATGATATATGACAAACCTATAAATCACATTCCAATAAATCTGATTCCAATAAAATATTCCTATAATTATAAAGATCCTAATTAAATAACGAAACAAGTCGAAATATAAAAGAAGAATCAAAACAAAGAGATTACCTAAAATGCTCTAAAACATTCTAAGATGATATCTTTAGATATTTCTTATATTTCTAACAGAGACTATATAGTTCCCATCATTCAGCGATACTAGTTTCAACTTTCTAATCAGAGCACTTCTACGGCTAGATTTAGATCTCTCTCCCTGTCTCCTTCACATTCTTACATTTTCTCTCTCTTTCTTGCCCGCTCCATTTATAAAAAGTTGAATCAACCAGACTGGTTTTTGACTTACTGGTCTTAATATTTTCAAGCTATTTTAGGGCCTGTTAATGTGCTTTTAAAATAAAAGGTGCTTTGAAATTAAAAGACATGTTTAAAGATTTTATATTAATTATGTAAGTTTTTCAAGTTTTATTTAACTTAAACAAACAAGCCCATCTATATTGGTAGCTTCAAGTAATGGATAATGGGTAGAATTTAGATCATATATATGTTGATTCTATACTCCATTGGTTGTATGTCCAAGTCCAAGGATTCCTAATGTGTTTGGGTTAGTAGTTAGATTCAAGGATTACATTTGGTAGTTGTAGTTTAATGATTGTAATGGTAATTCGTAAGAGATAGGCTGGCAAACGTGTAACCTAGAAGGACTTGGGTTGCACTATAAAAGCAAAACGTCAAGAGTTGTATGGCAGACCTTTTACTTGAAACATAGATCCATAATCATCAATAACTTTCTTTTCATGGTTTGTTACACAGAAGGAACAGCCTGTTCATTGGCTGTGTTTGATAGTTCATCTCTCAATCCTTGTTTCCTTGGTAAAACCCTATCTAGAATCCTTGTACTACATCAGCTTGTGAGCTATGAAAGTTAGTTCCTTTGCTGAGACCAGAGAGTTGGGGCAAAGTGGGAGAGGCAACTAATAAAGGAGAGACCAGTGGAAGGACTACTGAGTGTGTATCTATAGTTGACCACTTTGGATCCTAGATTTGGAAGGGATACGTAACTTTATGTCCCAGACAAAGAAGCTCAACATGGTATTAAAGCCATGAGATTCTCCCAGAGTCCCCCACCCCTTTCCTAACGAATTTGAATAATTATATAATCTGTCCAGAAAATTGGGTTCAAAACTTGAATTCCAAGGATAGATGAAGTCAACTAGTCCTAGAGTTTCAAAACTAATGTGAGGAATAAATCCCTGGGAATTGAGCATTCTCACCCATGTGTCAGTAACAATCAACTAGTCGCCGAAGTGGAACCCCCACAAGGTCCTAGTTCTAGAATTAGAAGATTATAATTCTCAAGAACAGACCCAAAACGTCTCTCTAGAGCCATCTCATAGTTAGGTTCACAAATCTCAAATAGATCTTAAAATTTCTCTGTATTACTTCGAATAGTAAAAACATGTCATAAGAACGAAGCTAAAAAGTAAAAAGTATTGTCGGGTCCAACCATATTCCCCCTTAAAAAAACATATTCCTAACACAACAAAGGCACCAAAACACAACCGATAAATTTAAAAACACGAAACCACTACGCAAAAGGTAACATCATCAAACCCCTCCCCAAGCAGTAAACTAAAAGAAAACAAGCTGGGAAACACTGTTAAAAACTCCAAAATGATCAAACACCACTCACAGCCGAAAACCAAAAAAATGAATACAACAATAAAACGAAGGGGGAAGCAACATAATTAAGAGGGGAGACACGAGGGAAAATCGAAAGTACCTCTGATCTTGCGGATCGAGCACGAAGTTTTGCATGATCGCGAGCAAACTAGGATGTCCAAGCTGGTCGAGCAAAACCCCAGAAATATGAATTCTGTAAGATTGTCAAAATTGTGAAATTAGAGTGATGGAAGAGATGTGAAGATAAAGAAAAAGAAGTTGTGGGGTGAGTTGAGGAAGTGAAGAAAAGAGAAAGAAGGTGGGAAGGGAACTATGGAAGGAAGGTTCTTGTCTCGGTAACCATTGCCCCAAACATCCCCCACCTTCTCCTTCGTCACTTTCCTTTTTCTTAACTAGTGTTATTTGTATTTGTTTATTGCTTATTGTGTTTTATAAATTCATTTTCCTATATACAGTTGTATTTTGGATAATGTTATGTTTATGTAATAAAGTTTATAATAAATAAATAATTTTAATTTGTAAATTATATTTTTAATTTATAACGAATCATTGTTATACTTCGGACGAGAGTTGTAACTAAAAGAGAATAAATACACTTGTGTTTTTAGTTTTAAATTGTATTACATGATAGATATGGGAAATAATAAAATAAAATAGTTTATATTTTAGCTGTGAAAGTAAGAAAATAATAATAATTGGAAAATAATGCACAAGAGTCGTTATAAATTTTGTCATGCATAAATTTTTGTCAAATAAAATTTAAATGCACGCGTTTTAATATATATACATATATATATATATATATATATATATATTTGGATAAAAATGAATATTAAGTTTATCAAATATTTTTATTAATAAAATTAATTATCTCATAATATTTTTAATATATCTGAAGTTATCTGTTAAATGCATCAGACAAAATTTTCATTTTTTTAACACAACAATATTTGCTTTTGTCCCTTTGAATTGGCGAAAATTTCTCAATTATTTAGGTAGAACCACAAATTGTCTTTTAATCGTTACAAAATATTTTTAATCATTACAACATATTTTTATCCAATTATTATGTAAATTCCAGACAAATCTTATTTTCAGAAAATTATTATTTATTTTAATATTTTTAAAATTAGAAAACAATTATCTCTATCATACAATTTGTTCTTTTATTTATCTAATCTATATTAAATTTGTTAATTACTTCACATTCACTTCATGCCCTGGTTCATTCAGATTTAAATTTGTGAATGATTGGTTCCTTACAGGTTAGAAGAAGCACAGTGCAGCGGTGGAAGCAAGTTTGATTCAAGATTAGTATTGTTTCATCACAAACCTTTGATTTGAATCGAAGGAATTACTAACGAAACATAATAAAAGAAGAAAAATGCATTACTGGGTTAGAGCTAATTTTTCTGATTTCGCCGGAACCCCTCCGCAACGTCGCAGGTAATGAATTGATAAATCATGTCTCTTGTTTTCTTTGTTGGTGGTTTGTTCTCCATAATCTCAGTTCGTTTCATTCGTATCATTGTCAGTGGTCACTCCGCTGTTAATATCGGGAAATCCAAGGTTGTCGTGTTCGGAGGCCTAGTCGACAAGAAGTTTCTCAGTGACATCGCTGTCTATGATATTGGTACCGCAACCCCTTTTCTTATTTTCGTTGTTTTTCATTAAAATTGAAGAGTTACATTTTATGCATAGTTATTGGTATAAATTGTACACGCTCAATCAGTCAGAAATTATAGTTGACTTTACTTTGACTTGAATGGTAATTATTGGACAAGTGAACAAATTTATCATAGTGATTTGTGATTGTGATTCGATGCCAATATTCACACAAAATTGAACCCTTCATTCATTTACCATACATATTAGAGGCCAAGCAATGGTTTCAGCCTGAGTGCACTGGAAGTGGTTCAGACGGGCATGTGGGTCCCAGCCCTCGGGCTTTCCATGTTGCCGTTGCCATCGATTGTCACATGTTCATTTTTGGTGGTCGTTTTGGGAGTCAAAGGTCTGTGTTGCATCATGATGTTTTGTTTCTTTCATTACTATAATATGTGGTATAATTCGTTGGTGTTTGAATGTTACAGGTTGGGGGACTTTTGGGTTTTGGATACTGGTATGTATGGCATTTTGTGTGGTCTTTGTTGAGTTTATGCTCTGAGGGAACTCTCTGACATTTTTGGCACTGATGTTGTTTTGGCGTGCTGGCACTTTGAATGAATGGTGCTGCTCCAGACATATGGCAATGGTCTGAACTAACTGGTTTTGGTGACTTGCCATCCTCGCGAGATTTCGCAGCAGCTTCAGCTGTTGGAAACCGGAAAATTATTATGTGAGATCTGTAGATTTTGATTTTTACTTTTATTTGTGCTAATTAGCTTGAGTTTGAGGAAATTAAAATATGTAATGAGGTGTATTCTGTGTGATGCAGGTATGGTGGATGGGACGGAAAAAAGTGGTTATCTGATGTTTATGTCTTGGATACTAGTATTTTTATGAGACTAATTTTTATTTCCTACAATGTAATTACGTCCTTATCCAGTTGTGACGTTCTATAACATTGTTTTCTTACTCTCACAGTTTCCCTCGAGTGGATGGAGCTCTCAGTTTCTGGCACTTTGCCACCCCCTAGATGTGGACATACTGCCACAATGGTTGAAAAACGGTTGCTTGTTTATGGTGGAAGAGGTGGGTGACACAGCTCTTCTTATTTGGATGTTGATCTAATTTTGAGATTGTTTGTCCTTCTATTAAATAAAAAGAATACATTCCGTTATTACTAGGCAATTTCCATTTGTCATGAGTATTTGATCATGAGAATATTTATTCTTTTCCCCATATTTTGTTTCTATTTATATTTTTGTCAATTTCAATGTTAAGAAGAGTGTTCTTAATTTCTCAAACAATGATCTATTTGTGCCGTTCGGTGCATTTCATCACTTTCACTATCATTTCAGTTTTAAGCAAGTAGTTTTAATATAATAGTTTGGGAACAAGGTTAGCTCTTTTTTGGTTTAAATTTAGGGGCAAGATTGGTGAAATTTTAGATCAGTATGATGGTTATGAAGTTTTATTGAAGATACACAATTCTCTTAATGGAACTAATAAAGTTCAACTCGTTCAAGTGTTGGTTAATTTTTCCATATTCAGAGATGCACTGTTGTTGCATTGCTAAACATCACAAAACTTATCTAAAACTCCAAAAACCCATTCTATAGTTTATTTCTTTCACTGACACGAATTTTGTTAAAACTTAGTTTTGAATCTGCAACTTTTATTCTTCTCTAACTTATGTAAATAAGTTACTGATCTGAATTAATGAAGGGGGCATACATACTGATTGCTGTAATGTCAATTTTCACAAGACTTCATTAGCTGAAGTGAGTGCTATATGCTGAAATAAGTGCTGTATCCTGCTTTTAACAGGAGGAGGTGGACCTATTATGGGTGATTTATGGGCATTGAAGGGCCTCATTGAAGAAGGTATCCATATTTACCATCTTTATAATTCAATTATGTCTACTGCTTTTATTTCGTTGCCTGCTGGTAGTTGTTGTTGTCATATGTCTTTCCTATGCTTCAGGTCAGGTGGTATATCTTCCTTTCTTGTGAAATTTATTTATTTTATTCTAGTTTAAATTTGATATGTATCTGTTACCAGTATGAAACTTCTTACACTATTGGTTTGCTTCTATATTTTGCTTTTGCAATTGTCATGGCAACATCTCACTTCTTTCAATGTTATTAAGAGAAAGAACGAAAGACATAAGATGAATTTTGTGCATCTCAGTTACACAACAGAGACTATTATATATAATAGGTCTTATTAAATGCATGTTTTAGTTACCCTATTGAACATGATTACTTAATATCTTAAAACACACAATTACCATATTCACATTAATTCTAACAATTTCTGAGATATTAAACTGTCAATATCCTAAAGTCGAATGTCTATTTCCAGCCTAGTTTTCATTTGTAAAACAAATTACTTGAGCATGTACTTTATCTTCAGTCTTCGTGGAAGTCCTTGGCTTGGTGCTCATATTAATGCCCGAGTGGGCTAGTATGATATGACTATTGCGGAAGCTTGTAGAATTTGTTAAGCACACTTACAGCTAAAAGGATACTTGGTCAGGTAATGGTGGAATACTTAGTTTTATAACAAGTCTTCAATCTGTTTAGGTTTGCTAATGGATCCCTTGTTACAGATAAAAGCTTGACATTTAAATCCATTGTTCCCACTCTAATTTGCTGTATTACTTTCCAAGATGTTCCAATATATTTAAAGTGTATTTCCTCTGAGAGATTACAACATTGGTAGAAAGACCACTTGATATTGCCATTTCATTCACAACATAGCATGGGTCAATGCCAAAATAAATAGAGGCAGAGAACATAGTGGTGACAGAAAAAAATGCAGGGAACACAGACAGTGATAGTTTAAAAAGCATAAATGGATGAGGATTATGAAGTGAACAAGTATTATGAATGGAAACTGGAGAATTGGCAGCTAGAGACCTCCATTTTGTAATATGTCTTCAGTTGCAAAGTATAGGCTATCATTGGTTTTAATTTAAGTGTCTGTTGTTTCAAGGGATTTTACATTTTTGACATGCAAAGTGGTTAGATGGAATTGGAACATTTTCAATCTTTATTGTCTTTGTTTCCTTTTATTTTATTTGGAAAAAGACTTTTGATTTGTCTGCTAATACTTTCTTTCTCATGTCTTTAATAAATTTCTTATACTAAGAAACATTTATTTCTTGGTAGCTTCTTAATAAGATGGGTTATGTGCTTATAATGAGTATTTGTTATGGAGGAAAGAAAATGAAGCACCTGGGTGGACTCAATTAAAGCTTCCAGGTCAAGCACCTTCTCCTCGATGCGGCCATACAGTTACATCTGGTGGACACTATGTAATCTCATTTGCAAAATTCTTCTCTTTCAAGTTTTGCTATTTTTGTAGATTGCTTTTAGATTTATACTCTAAAATATGAATTTTTATACTGTTTCCACCTTATCCTGTAATAGAGTGATCTACATTTAAATGTCATGATCATTATTTTTTTTTATGGTGGGTTGGGTGTTAAAAAGATTGGCATGTCTGTGTATGTTAAGCATGTATTGATATAGGACAAACTACATGTGGGATGATGTGTAGGAGGGATCATCTGCCACTTGTGACTTTTTAGATTAGTTGAGGCCTGAGGGTTATTAGCTATCAACTAGTATAGAAATTAATCCTTACCCCATAAGAAGGGGTTGTAAGTCAAATCAATGAATCCCATTGGGCAATCAAAAAACATATTTTCGATAGAATCATTTAAAGTCTATTGTTATTATTTCTCTTAAAGTTTTAGTCTTACTCTACCCTTTCTAATAAAACTATCTTCTATGTGGTCCTCTTTTTTGATTAAAGTATTTATTAGTCTTTTTAAAACATAGCCAAGCCGACATGAGGTGATATTTGAGAGTTGAAGGCAATCAGCTTCATTATAAAATTAATAACTGTTAGTGCTAGGAGTTTAGAAATGTCTCAACTACTTCTAGTTATGGATTAAATGTGATTGTCCTCTGTGCACCTTACCTTGATAGTTTAAGGTAGCATATTTGCTACAAAGGAGCTTTGACTGCTCATAGCCCTGGTGACCAGTGAACTGAACATGTTGATTGTTGGTGTAGGTTACTTAAGTTTAAAGAGCTGCAGAAAAACTTGTTTATTTCTGCGGGATATAGGATTTCCTTTATAAGGTACTAGGAAGTTAGTTATTTTTTTTTCCCCTTTTGCAATTTTCCTTAGCGATAAATTCTCTGCCTTAATTGTCATATATGACTTTGTTAGATTCATGTGCTCCTGCTCAAGGGATATCAAATGTTCACTTTTAATGAAGTTTTACCACTCAGAAAGAAGTTTATATTTATCAACTTGAATTATAAGATAAAAATTACATTATGGTTGTTGTCATCAAATAATTTTTTATGCAATGGTGATTCGCCTTTTCTGCTCTAGGCTCTTTATTACTTCTTAATCCTTTGTCAGAATTGTATAAATTTATTGCTTTAACCTGAAATCCTGTCATTCATTTATTTCTTTTATTTTTATTGGAGAGGATTTTACAGTTATTGATGTTTGGAGGGCATGGGACTGGTGGATGGTTGAGTCGTTATGATATCTATTACAATGATTGCATTATATTAGACAGAGGTGAGAACTTTCGCTATACCTATAGGTGTATCTATCACAACTGTCATACTATGAACCATTGCAAAACTGTTGTTGCTCTGTTAATCTATTTTATTAAAGACAACTTGTTAATGGTCTATGACATCCTTGCACATACATTTCTCACAGAATATGATCAGGAATTTTGCTCAATGTTTTGAGGGAGAAAAATGGATGATATATGTTAGTTTTCATGAACTTCATGAGATAGGGAGTTACAAACTCATCCTTTATTCTTAATGATACCCTGAAGCATTTTCTATTCTGGTTCAAAGAGTAATTTTCATTTTGAGGTTTTGGATTAGTTACATTATTTTTGGAAAGAAGCCATAAACTTATGATGCACACAATACTGTCCTTGAATGAAAATTCAATGTATGTTGCATGTTGCTTTAATTTTTACTGAAGATGCTTGTCTGTAAATTATGATATTCAAATGCATGATTTTTGAGACAAATCATAAATGGTAGCATTATTTGTTATACAAATTATGACAAAGTCATGCACAAAATCAAAGTTTTTACTGGAAAAGTAACCAATAGTAAATTCAATTACTTGTTGGTTTGGGTTGAATATCTTTCCTTCTATTCTTTTGCATACAGTTTCAGCACAGTGGAAGCGGCTATCCATAGGCAATGAACCCCCTCCTGCTAGAGCATACCACTCCATGTCAGTTGTTGGTTCCCGGTATCTGCTAATTGGTGGTTTTGATGGGAAAACAACTTATGGTGATCCGTGGTGGTTAGTCCCTCAAGGTATTCATTGTTCTACCATGGTCTACAAAGCTATTTGCTTTTGTTGTCAAATGCTCTTTTTTCAATTCTAGATATTTTAATGAAAAACTGTGAAAATAAGGTAATTGATTGTTTTTTATTGGAGTACTGTTTTTGAGTTGAATGGAAGGAATATTCTACTCTTTGAACTTTCTATTTTGTCTTGTACTGTAATTTAAATACTCAATCCAGAATCCTGCTTTCTAGAAATACCTTTTTTAATGGAGAATTTTCAGTAAGAAGCTGAAACCTTTCAACCTTATGAATAGTGTAAAAAGAACCTGACTATTCAGAGGCTAAAAATGGCATCCTAAATTTCTCTCACTTCTTTTGCATGTTTCATAGAGGACCCAATTGCAAATAGATTAACTGCATCTCCACCCAGAAATATTCCTGAAAGTAAGGATGTTGATTCTTTTACTGATGATTTTCAACCTCAATTCAAGGTATTGGTTAATCTTGTTTCGTTTGCACCCATCTCTTTTGTCTTACCTCTTTTAAGTTTTATTTTTAAAATCTGTATTTAATATAGAAAAAGGCAAATCTTAACTCCTTGGTGCTTCTGTTTCTTCTTAATGTTTCTTTGAATTTGAAGGGAATATTCATAATTTAGGTTAAATAAGAAAATTAGTAGATATAGTACTAACTTACCAAGTATTTCTGTTGATATATAGGGGAGCATTGTTATAGTCAACACTCACTAGTATGCTTAATTTTGCTAACTTACTACTCTGGGTTACTAATACTTAATTTTGCTACTATGCCAAGTATCAACACTTTTTAGTTCTTATCTGTTGTTTTAAATATTCAAAGTGGTTTTCGTTTAACCTGGTTTTTTGAAATCACTATCTTTTCTTATCTTGATTTTGTTTAAAGAACAAATAATTTAGGAGAGAATAGAATCTTAGAATCAGGATTTTTCCTACAATGAAAAAATATATGAAAGATATATGAAAGAAAGACACCAGAAAATGAGTCAACTCAAAGAGCAATCTAGTCATCACAAATATGAATTAGAAACACCCTTAAAAAAGTCCATGAGCAGGAAGACACAATGAGGCTAAGGCAGGCCTATTCATTTTTCAATAAAAGAATGGAGGGGAACAATAATGCTTAAGAATCCGGGAATTATGTTTCAACCATATAAACACTTTTACTGACAGAGCACAATGTGTGAAAAATGGATAAGTGCTTCTTTCAAGTTGAGGTGTTGTCCTTCAAGGAATTGCATGCCTCTAGTACTTTCGCCATCCCTTTGTCATTTAGACAAGTTACTCACCTCTAATGCTTTATTGAAAAATATGCTCATTTGTACTAAACGGGAAAAACAGCCTGTCTAATTTGTTGACTGTGATGATGAAAGGAAGGAAACAGTAATTATAAATTATAACAAAATAATTACACCATTAGATTTGGGTCTTGCACTCTTGGTGGTTTAAGGGTTTTGTGAACAAATTAAATTTAAAAAAATGGGGTGATATTGGAGGACCAATGAAGATGAATATTAAAGCATATGTTGATAAAGAAAAGCTATCTTTGATGATGTTAGAAAGGGCAGCTTGCAGCTGTAATTAGAAAAACAAGTAAAAAATAATACTAGGGGCCGAAACACAAAAGCTAATAGAGTCATCATCGAAAGGTACCACCTATATTGTAGAGCTTAATTTGGACGAAAGCAAATGGCATTGATTGTTGAAAATGACTGGAAATGGAAGTGTTAACTGGAGATGAAATGCAGTTGTTGACAGCTATGGAATTGAATCAAACAATGAGTTCATGGACACACTCTTGAATTGATTGTCTTGTTGTAATGGTATTAGGGACCGAGGGTTGCCTAACCTACGTTGTTTATGCCCATTTGTTATGCGTTTTTTTAATGGCTAGGACATTTATGGTTTTTTTATTGTGATCATCTATTTTATATCTTATTATCATTTTTTTTTTCACTTTATCACTTTAAATTTTTATTTTTACTGTGTCAAGCATGTGTAGCTATTTTATAATGAAAAATTAAGTTAAAATGCTCAAATATTTTTTTCTTCTGTTTATTATGTCTTATTATCATGTTTTTTCACTTTATCACTTTAATGTTTTTATTTTTACTGTGTCAAGCATGTGTAGCTATTTTATAATGAAAATTTAAGTTAAAATGCTCAAATATTTTTTTCTTCTGTTTATTATGTCTTTTTTTTTTTTTTTTATGGTACGTGTGTCTTTTTGGCACTCCTAAGGCTGTACTCCCGCCAGCCAAGCACTTGTTGTGCCTTTTTTATTTGCCAAGTCTTCTTTTTGTACATGTCCTTTTAGAGGCAATGGCATGGCAATCTTGAATTTCATTTGTTCATTCTAAGTAAAATTTGAACACATTATACGCTGAGATTAATTTACTGCTGACACCTTTGTCAGGAAAGCCAAACAGAGAAATTTCCTTTCACTGAATTGCAAAGACGATTGCAAATATCAGTTTCAGCATCCAATTCCAGGCTTGAGATTGTAAATGAGCTGGAAGATAAAGAGCTACTTGAATTAGCATCGAGATTAGCAGGTGAAAATGTTTCTACAAATTCACTGGTAAGATTCCTTTCCTTGCGTGAAACTTTTCTTTAAGTCCATATCGTAATGTTAATTGAAATCGTATTTCATATTCCAATAAGGCGATTGAAGCTATTCGTAAACACTGGAGAAAGTCTGAATCAAATATGGTTAAACTCAAAGAGCTTGGACCATTGCTTCGGGATTACCAACGTCTGATATACAGGCACTATCTGTAAGAACTATACTTCCATACAATTCTTTTTATGCTGCTTTCGCATTTAGTGCTTACACAACTTTTAAAGTTTGTTGTTAATTGCTAAACTTGACGAGCCTCCTATTCTCAGCAAAGTTTAGGGCAGCTTTGGCTTTGCATTTATGGTTATTTATTACTATTTTTCTGTGTACTAGTATGCAATTCATCACACACAATCTATTTTCAACTTCCTACTGGCCTAAACTGCTACCTTGTGTGTGTTGCGTTGAAGTTGGTAGGTTGAATTTTCCAAAATTTATCTACTGGCAATCTTTGTTAGCTTGATCGAGCAAATCTTTGAAGAATGGATCTTGGAGATCTTAGCATAATGTTAAGAACCCTGTGGAAATTTATTATTGAAGATAGTATTTTTTTAAGGTGTCAAGAATTTTTTTGATGGTAAAAGAAAAGGAAACACATGGCTTATGTTGCTTGTAACTTCTTTAGAGAAAGGACTGCATCTGCCCAGCAACCTGGATTTGGTGAACAAGTGATGCATCAATTTTACCATGTCAAAAATGCTACTCAGGTATATTTTGTGGTTAATTTACCTGTGCTTTTGTTTCTCCTTGGATATGCCTTTTTACTTTAAAAAAGAAGATATTCTGCAAAACATAGTTTGATATTCTCCTTGAATATAGTTGTTATCAAAATCATAGATATTCTTCTTGGGTATGCTTTATCAAAACTATATGCCATTGCCACCACTACTTTGAAAATTGAAACTAAAGGCACATCAGGTTGTCTGGTATTGCATTTTGGTATACATTGTTGCAGAGACTTTACTAAAATTTGGCTGAAGTCTGTGATTGATTACATTAAATACGAAAAATACCCTTCTAATCCATTATATATATATATATATATATATATATATATATATATATATATATATATATATATATTTTAGCTATACCCGTTTTTTATTTTTTCATTGTCTCCCCGTTAATCCTATTGCAGTTGCGGATGGACGATATTCCAAAACTTTTGGCAGAGTACAAACAGCTACCTATATGAAGAATACTTGTATGAATAGTTTCTAATTTATATGGAACGCAAAACACGGTTCCCAAATGATAGATTATTCACTGCATATCATTGACCTTGTTCAATAACCTCAAATGTAGCTTTTCTATTTTCGACATTTCAATATTTTTTATTCATAGTTTCGCACATTCAGCCTCTATAAAGTTAACTAACTGAACATCCTGATATATTTACTTTAGCATTTCGTTTGAGAATACATTACATTAATATAATTTCGTTTTGTAATATATATGATTTGTTTTGCTATGAAGAATTTTAAAATTAATATGACAGATGAACATATCTATTATCTAATTGCTATGTTAAATTTAGTCCAAATTTTAACTTAAGTTTATAATATTGAAACTCATGCATAATATTTGTCATCTCGATATAGACAAATTTTAATCAAAATATTTAAAATTGTTCATCATAAAGTAAATATTTCATTTGTTAAGGTTATAATATTTAATTATAATAAAAATTATCAAACACTTGAATTGTATCACTTAACATTTTCTATCAGTCATTTTAGAACCTTACAAAATCATCTTATCCAAACATTTGTAGATTCATGTGCATAAATCCTGGATTCTAGATTTTTGCGAACAATGTCTGGCGAACGATTTAGCCGTCAACACGGCATTTTGAATAATAAGAATGTAAGTACATTAAAACACAAGCCACTGAAAATTGAATATATCAAGCTAGTAAACACTGCACACACACACACACACACAGGTTATGGTTTCAGAGACAGAGACTCTATGATTTTGCATAGCTCTTCCAGTTTCTTCATCCTCATTCTTTCACTCTCAGTTAACATCTATCAATAAAATTGCAAAGTACATGGTTACTAAACAGTTAAGAACCATAACAAGACACAAAATTGAATTGTTTAAGAACTTATTTAGAGAACTTATCCGAATAGACTTTAAAGCAAATTATGAAAAAAAAAAAACCACAAATTCAAATTAACTTTTACATGAGCGGAAAATAAAAAATTCAAAAAGTCATTTGAGAGTTTTTATAAATTACTTTGTATATAAACTAATTTTAATTTAAGAAGTCAATTTCATTTTTTCTTCGTATTTTTTTTTTTAGTTTTTGTAGATAAATTTATCTAACCAGATCCTACATACTGTACCTCAACTAGTGTGGTTACTAAATGAGCCTTTTCTTTGTTCTTTTCGTTGAAAGCTTCCAAGGATTCTTTATACTCTTTCTCCTATCAGAAAATACCAAATATTAGTTTTCAATGTTGTCATATAACAAATGTTATTAAGAAAGTAGCTACAGAAGACAAAACCATCCCATTTTTAACACTTGTTGATTCATTATTTTTTTCCTTCAAAACTAGGAGTTTAATTGTCAGAAATAGTAGTGTGATTGAACAGTTTATATAAAAGTGTAAAAATTTAGTATACATGTCAATTTGCGACTAGATAATAATGTAAACAAAATTTCAATGTATTTGACCATTTTCTCCAAAAAATAAAACTATTTGGAAGGAATAAAACCTTCATGTGTAGCCTCGGCTCAACCTTTAATCAATGGAAAAAATATACCTTTTTCTGGTAGTTAAGTCCCAGTGACTTTAAATCTCTGTTAGCCAAGTCAATCTTCTTGCGTACCATTGCAACTTCCTTCCTCATGGGATCATCAAGCACTTCAAGCTCCTAGTAGAGAGTATAACAAGAACAATTCGTCTCACATTAGCATAGCTTGGATTTAACTTGAACTGAAACATCTTCTGTCAATAGCATGGTAATAAGTAGAGTCAATTGGAAGAGATATCCTGTTTAAATTTGGTTCCTGGAAGTGTTTATTTGTACAATCTAGTCCTCAAATGTGATAACTTGCTCACATTGTATTCCTTTCATCACAGTTATATAATAAAAATGTGACAATTTTAACATTAATGTATAAATTGTACAAAAATGATAAGCATGCTCAAGAATTTTAACTCCAAATAGCTAGCTGCTTTGAGGATTGTTTGATCTTGGGATTGAATCTACTGAGACGACTTTCCTTTCACTTTTTCTAGCCAAAGTTTAAAAGTCTTATAACATTAAAAAAAGAAAATGATGTTGTCCTTGTCATGAAACTTACTTCCCAAATGTGTGCCAAGCGCCTAGTCTCTTCTTCAGCACGACCAAGTTGGAGTTCAACTTTCTCTCTCACCTCCACTTTTTTCCTCTCAATTTCTTCTTCCTTAGATTGAAACGTGGAGATGGCCAGCTTTGAAATCTCCTCATCCTCATACTCTTCTGCTGATAGCCTCCCACTGCTTCCAATGCTACCAAGGTTCTTCATTTTCTGCATTTCCTCTCTGCTGCTGCAAACTAGGCCCATGTGCTTCACCACAAACTTGGTCCAATTATTGTGCTGTTGTGTATTTCAACAAGAGGCTTGTGTTGCTTTTACTTCAATACTATTTCTCCCCATTTCAACAACTGTTTCTCTCTTGACTTCTAAATGTAGTAAAGAGACTCTCCCAGAAGCTCTTTGCCTTTTCGAGAAATTTGTTTCTTTAATAAATATTAGATGCATTCGAGGAATATAACTGATCCTGGGGATTTCTTAAGAGGGATACTGATAATGGCACTCAAGCTTTTGTAGTGAAACTGAAAGTAATATGATGTTGCTTCCACAATGAACACCACACCTACCTACCTGATGATGGACTATGATGTGGTTTTTGCATTGTTTGTTAACGGATATATGCTCAGAATGTTTGCTTTTCTCAAAAGCCACTTGCAAAGTTACAATCTTTTATTCAAAGTGAGACAATGGATGAGGCAGAATGGAGACTGAATAGGGAAGCAATGCCAACTTACGTCTGTACCAAGTTACTTTTGTGAATCAGTTATCATCTTGATCAAGTAAATTTAACCTCAGAAATGACCATAATAATTGATACTCTATACTTGAATAATACTTTTCTTTCCACTTAGGATAAATCCGAGTAAGAACCAGTGTCTAAGTTCACGAGATGATGCTAACTTTGAGGTAACTCTACTTGAAACTTCTTTTCTTCTTATTCCTATTTTTGTTTTCTCACTTTCTGTGTTTATTTAGAAATACTTAGGACTTTTGTTTTTTTTTTTCCTCCTCTGGATCTTATTTCTGCACTGCGTAAATAGATCTGTCAAATCATTACAATTAAAAAATAATAATCCAAAATTGTGTTACATAATTTTTTAAAATCATACAAATTTCAATTGTTGACTGAATTTTTATGGATTTTCTGTGACCTAATTTTGTTTTTCCGTATAATTATCATTATTTTGAAACCATCTCAAATGTGTAAAACTTTTTTACTTTCATAATTTCAACCATCCCAGTTTTACAGTTGCACCTACCGAAACAGACTAAATTGGCGTCACAATTCGTGTCAAATTATTGGGGGAGGGGCCTCAAAATTGGTGGGGCGTAGAGATGGAGGGCACTGGCGGGAGACAAGATAATTTTTTTTAAAATTTTATTAAAAAATATATTATGATCTTGTAAAAATTTATTTGTTTAAGTTATTTTTTAAAATTAATTTTGTATTATATTTTTATGAGTTGATGGGTAATTTTGATTCGATTCATTTCTCTTATTTTATATATTCTTAATTTTTTAAAATAAAGTTAAAATAAAAATATTATAATTAAAAATATATTAAAATATATATATATATATATATTAATATTATATTATAATTTAAATTATAAATATTAAATAAATAAATTTAAACTGTTTATTATAATTAAGTATTTTAATAAATAAATATAATATTTTTTAAAATTTATTTAATAAAAATATTTATTAATAAATAAAAACTTAAAAAATATTTATATAATTAAAATAATGTTTTTTTAAATATTATAAAAAATTTTATCTAAAAATTATATTAAAGACTTTATTCGCTAACCTATTAATCTAAATTGAAATTTATAGTCTATTTTAATTATAATAAACTAATTCCTTCAATTCTATTTTTATAAACTAGACATAAAATAGATAAAAAATGATTAATAATTATTGTTATTATAATATAATATATCATGTTTAATAAATGAAAATATTTCTTTTTTCAATTTGGCATTTTTTTTTCATTTGGCATATTTTTCTTTGATTTAGTGGGTTTTTAATCATAGCAGTGTTTTAATATTTTCTACTCCATGTTCTAAACTAAGGTTAAAAATATAACTATAAGAAATTTTATGGACAGCAACAAAGAACAAGGAAAACACTTAATAAATAAATAACTATTGATTATTTATATTTTTATTTAAAACTAAAAAATGTTACTAAGGTAATTTTTTTCATTTTGTAATAACTAAAGAAAAGGGGTGGAACGATTGAAACGCTGAAATGTGGAATGATTATATATATTTTTAAAATGTTGGAATCCATTAAATCCTTACAAATCTACAGCTATTAAACATTCAATATATATTACACTAACATTTTTTTTTAATTCTTTAGGAAAACATTACATGGAGTTTTTCTTATAAAAAATATTGTAAATGTTAAAGAATATAAAACATATGTAATTTTGTCGAATTTTTAAAAATGATTAGTGTAATTTACTTTGAAAACTTTTATACAATTCAATTATATATAACATTTAATTAAGGTTAAATCTCTTACTTTTAATAATATAATTTTTTTTACTTTTTAAATAGTTAAATTTAATTTAAAAAAAATGCAAAATTATCCTTTCATTCTATTAATAAGCAATTTTGTTTCTTTTTAAAATTATAATAAATTTTGTTTTAAAATATTTTCATACAAGATTGTTCCCATAATATTTTTAAAGAAAAGGTTAATTTGTAAATTTTAAATAGATTTTTTAAATATTAAAATGTCATTTTTTAACGGTCACTCGTCAATTACATATATAAGTAATTATTTTAAAAGATTTTTATTATTTTATCATAATTTTTAATAATTAATATTTTGACATTTAAAAGACTAAATTAAAGTTTTTTAATATATAAAGACTTAATAAGGTTAAAAAAATAATAGATCAAATTAAATCTAAACATAAATTAAAATTAATTTATTCCAATAGAATAATATTTGTTAAATCTTACTCTACGTTATTATATTCAACTAATTAGTAGAAAATGTAGCATTTATAACATTTTATAAAGGGATTATTTTAAGATTAATTTTGGCATTATTTTTAATTAAATGATTTTTTTATTTTTTATAAAAATAAAATAAAATTATTTAATAAAAATATATATATTCCCCTACCTATAATGATTAAAAAAACATATCTTTTCGAAATTAAACTCACGTCTAGCAACGTAATTTTTATATTTGACAGAGTATTTCAATGGTATAAAATGCAATAATTTATTTTTAATGTGTGTTTATATATAAATATAAATTAATTAAACCCTGAATACGAAGAGCATGTCAATTATCGATTTCAGGCTTTGACCATAACCAGGGCGAGCAAGGACAAACTGAAAACCATGAATTGAAAGCATCACACCCTCTTCTCGTTCCTATTCTAATTCTCAATTTCCCTTTTATTACTACTATAAACTAAAATCCCTAATTACCCACTCAAACTCTCGCAATGACTCTTTATCTTCTCTCTGGGTCGATCCAAATTCGTGCTTTCCCCCAAAAGGTTTGCCAATAGGAACAAATCTCTCCTCATTCATTAATCGCTTCTTAGATTTTTGCTTCATCTCTATCTGCAATTCCTGGTCAAAGTATTTCTAGGGTTAGGGTTTGTGTATCGGGTAGTGTTTCTTGCTTTTTCCAAGATTCATTGGGTATTACCTAATTCAACCGAAAGGGTATATAGGGTTTGCGATTGTTTGTTGAATTAAGCATGCAATATAATAGACGGCGCGAGGAAGAGCACGCTGCGCCGCACCGATTCGAATCGGGACCCGACCCGTTTCGGAGAAACAGGAGAGACGGGTCGGATCCGGTGCAGCAGAGGAAGATGAGTCCACTGAAGGCACTGAAGGTGGATGGGGTGAGAAGGGGTGGTGGTGGTGGGAACAAAAGGGGTTCTGATGGATTTGAAGGGAGGGATTATGATTGGCAGCGTGTGGGTAGTGGTAGAAGGACTGGTAGGGTTCGGTCAAGGTCACCTCCTGTTGAAACAGTGAGGAAAAGGTCACACTTTAATGATGGTGTTGGTCATGATAGAAGTTGTTCACCACCACTACCAGGCTTGAGAACAAGATACGAGTTGTCAAAAACCATGGATTTCTCTGTCGATGATGGAAACTTGGACGCAAAGCGTATTTACCTTGATAGAGAAAAGGACATGATTGAGGCCAGGTTGGGTGGTATGGTAGATCATAAGTTTGTGGTACGTGAAAATGAAGTTGGAGGATCCTATAAATATAGGTCTATTCAAGATATGGGTGTAAGTGTGACAATGAGGTACGAAGAAGCCAGTGGGCACTTGCCTCCACCGACAAGGGGTGTGCCAAGTGGGAGATTTGAGCACGAGAGACTACAGCACAGAGACGGACCACCCGTTACTGAATCCCATAGTGGGGCGGATAAAACTATTCTTCATGCTAGGGATGTTTCATATTCTGCTGTATCTCCCTCTTATGCCAAGGATTTTGCAGGCAATTCTCACATGAGGGATTATGGAGGTTCTTCCATAGAAAGGTCAAGGAGTGATTTTCTATGCTCACATGGTGATGGCATCTGTTTACCTCCATCTTATGATCCATCAAGGAGCAGTGGGAAACTTGCGGAAGCTGCAGGGTTTAGTGGGCATGGGCAAAGGACTGTTATAGACACTGCTGGAGGTCTTGAAATTGGACCAAGGAATATGGCATATCACCAACGATCTGAGTTTAGTCCTACCAGGACTGAGCATGTGGATTATCTTAATTACAAATTACAGGTAAGAGCGGCACAGGATGAGCGTTTATATCAATATGATGATTTACCTAGAAGGATAGCTCCTCATGGTCGATTGGACTATGAGCAAGCTGTAACAGAATATGATAATAGGGAGTTTTCCAGACCTTATGTTCCACATCCAGATTTAGATAGAAATGTTAAGAGTGAAGCTTCTCATGGCAATCAAAGAAGGACTATTATACAGGATCATGCTGCAATACAGAAGCCAAAGTATTATGACTATCATGATGTGAGAAGAACATCAATTACATCAATGCAAGATGAGGCTTTTTTGCGAACTAGATATCATCTTGAAAATGGGAAAAGAATGCCACAAGATTATGAAGTTTCACATATGCGTGCACCTGAGGCTGACCGGTTACCAATTTTAAGATCAGAATATGAACCTCTAAGAGATGGTGGTCCAGGGCTCCAGCAAGAAAGGTTTCAAAATTCACCTATGTCTAAACATAATTCAGAAACCTACAGACAAGCTGTCAGGGTGCATGAAATGAGACATGATATTGGCATTCATGAGCATACAGATAGACATACGAAAAGAAAATACAATGTCAATGATGAAATAGATGTGCATGATATGAGAAAAATAAAATCAAGTAAATGGGGTGCAACTGAAGAGTTTCAAGATGCATACGAAAGTGAAGAGTGGGTAGATGAAGAAGATATTGATAGGTTGTATTCATCTGGTAATGGTGAATTTAACCCTAAGATATACAGAAAGTATAAGAAAGAATATGATGAGTTGGAGAATGAAGAAGATTTTCCATCTGACAAATGGATTATACCGGAAGATTCTATGGGACATGTACCGAGGCATTCATTTCAAATTCGAAAGTATTCCAATCAAAATATAAAGCATCACTCAAAGTCTAGTTCTTCTAACTGGTATAAATCTCAGCATTTTTCTAAGAGAAATGCAATTCAAAAGCAACCTAAAGTTTGGAAAAAGTATCATGGATATGATGAGAATAAGCATGCAGCTAATGATGAATCATCTGAAGATTGGATAAGTGCTGCAGAATCTGAGCCAACTGAGGGATGTGAGGAGTTTAATCAAATGGTACATGAGAATTTCTTAATGTACTCCAAGAAGTTGAATCTGAACTTATATGTGCAAAGAAGATACCAGGACCAGGGAAAAGCGGGTAGTTTGTACTGCATTGCTTGTGGCAGAAGGTCTGTTTTCTTTTCTGTGATGCTGTTTTACTAAATGGAGCACTTCTGCTCACATATTGCATAAGGAGTCCTCTAGTATTTAACTCACTGGTGGAGTCAAGTACATGTGCTATTATTCCTGGGTTAACGATTTAGGTTCCCGAACTTTGGAAGTTAACATGTCGGTATGTATAATTGTTGTATTTTTTTAAGGCAGGTATGTGGACAGTTTAATAGCACCAATCCATGACAATAGGATCAAACATATGGTAAACTGCTGGGGGGATGAACATGAGTCAAAAGCTAGCTGAACTGGTGTCTTTGGTTTTGAATGATGGTGAAAGTTAGATTTAAATTTACTGCGTGGTTGCTTCGTTTTGAAGTTAGATTAGCACTTTTGTTAAAACTGGCATCTTGCTGTATTTTCAGAATGTACATAATCGGTTCAAGTATTTATTTTAGCCTTTAGATGACTTATAGATTGCAGATTAATTACACTTAGGATGAAAGGCAACAGACATGATAATGTGGGACAAGAAATTTTATGTGGCTTCTGATCTTCAAAGGTTAAATGATTGGATTATTGACTTAGCATCTGCAGCCACAAAAAAAAATGATTCTCACATAGTAATCATAGAATACCGGTATGCTAAAATTGCCTAGACCTTTGATGATGTCTTGCTAAGACTGATTTTCCTGGAACTACTAAAGCTGTAACTTTTGGGTTTAGATTTTAGAGGCAGAGGATGGAAGCTTCAGGTGCTCATTGACATATGCTGCATTTGTGTAGTGATTAAGAGTTTGGGATTGTATATAATGAGGTTTTAATGATTTTCCTTGTAGGAGTTAATTGAGAGGATTGAGATTCTTAATCCTTTTAGGAATTTCTGAGTTAAAAAACATTGGATCATAATCTGAGGTATACTTAATCAGTACGGTGCAAGTGGTTATATGCTATCATCTTTCTGATAACTTTTGGAGATTATTATATTCCATTGTGTTATTTGTCTTTTTTTTTTTTTTTTTTTTTTTTTCTGATTGACTTTAGTTATTAATCTTGAAGAGTAGTGGCAAATTTTATTTCATTTTAATGCTTGTCAATTCACCTAGGCTTCAAACTTGATTTTTGTCTGTTACACTGTAATGGAAATAGCTTATTTTCATCTTTCTGAATTTATTCTGTACTCTTTTATAAACTTGAGGAAATTTTATAATGTTTAAGTTGCCAGTAAGTTATATTTTTTAAGTGGAATTATCGCAGTTGCAGCTCATAACATGTTTATGTATCCCATTTATCCCTTTTAATGGCAACAGCTCGTCGAAAGAATTCATGGACACTCAACGCCTAGTAACTCATGCCTTTATGTCCCATAAGGCTGGGTTGAGAGCTAAGCACTTGGGTCTTCACAAAGCAATTTGTGTTCTGATGGGATGGGATACTGTTGTTCCTCAGGATACAGTAACTTGGGTTCCTCAGGTCTTGCCCCCAGCAGAAGCTCTGGCTCAAAGGGAGGATTTGATTCTTTGGCCTCCCATTGTTGTCATCCATAACATATCTATGTCTGATGACAATCCACATAACTGGAAGGTTGTAAGCATGGAGACAATTGAGGCATTTCTAAGAGGTAAGTCTGTGTTGGATGTTCTGATACTATGCAATATTAACCAATCAGTTTAAACATAATTTATAGTGAACCACTGGAATGTGCATGTTAAAATTAGGTTAAAATAATCAGTAGGTCCTTGAACCTTTTTGGGAATTTTTAATTAGGTCTCTAAACATAAAAATAAATTGTAATTGGGTCTTTGATATTGGATTTTTTTGTAATTGAGTCCTAGGATTTTTAAAATGGCCATGATTTGTTATTTTAAGCAGACACATAAACTAACTTCAGGCATTCAAATACTTACACGATCAATTATCTAATTACATTTTTTCAGTTTAGGGACCTGATTAATTTTTTTAAATAGTTTAGGGAATTACTGATTAATTTAATCTCAAATTATATTCCATGACACAAGTAATCGTCCGTGGAATTTACTCATCAATTGTTTCCCTGTTAAACTACGCATTTTGAAGTTCTTTATTTATTTCAACCTTTCAGGCAAAGGTTTTGTGAGAGGAAGAATCAAACTATGCTTAGGGAAGCCTGCTGACCAGAGTATTGTATTGGTGAAATTCCTGGGCACGTTTGGCGGGCTGGGAGATGCAGAGAGGCTTCATAAATATCTTTCTGATAATAATCGCAGTAGAGCTGAATATGAGAGAGTAAAATCTGAAGGTATTAAAAGCTGTAATATGGGAGAGACAGACGAGAGAGACAAAGTGGAGAGTATTCTTTATGGTTATGTGGGAATTGCAGAGGACTTAGACAAACTGGATTTCAATACTAAGAAATGGAGTATGGTAAAGAGTAGGAAGGAGATTGACGATCTGGATAAAGCGCCTGTTAAAACTGACGACAGAAGATAGTTAGTTACAGTGTGGTTGAATTGAAGATAGTTTCATAGTCCCCTGATGATAGTATGGAGTTACATAATCTATTTTTCCCTATGTTTTTCTTAGCAGTCTATGATATGTATATAGTTGAGGAACTGAAATTTCATTTCAAAGTCCTTCGTTATAGATATGTTTTCAGTACCTGAATGTTTTCACCGAACTTGACTCAGCTTGTGCAGCAGCATCCTGAGCTTTTGTAATGGGCAATGTGTGCTCAGGATGAGTGTTCTGAAAAACATACATATTTGATCAAACTGTAAGGGTAAGAAAGGATAAGCTGCCAGTTTTTGCGTATTTACGTTAAATGTAATTTTACCAGTAAATTTTTACAATTGTCCTTTTTAAATTATATTATAGTATTTAGACAACTTAAATGGTTCATTATATTTCATAGAATTTATGAGCAGCATTAGTGCAAAACTTGAATTTCATAGAAACAATGTCATGTCATCATGGCCATTTGGGACCTTTGCATCGATGGTATATGTTATACTAGAGTTAATGAGAGTATCTGCAATTAGATATTTATTTTATGTATGAAGTTTTTTGGATTTGTTGTTATTGGTACAGTATTATTGGCAGGAGTTTGAAAATATGTTGTTTCAAAAGGTTTGGAGAAATAAATTGGGTTAGATTAATTTATAATTTAAATTGAATTAGTTTATTTAAGTTATGTTTTATATGAGTTTAAATTAAATTTGTATGTAGATTTATTGATGGATCTATTTTATTAAATATATATATATATATATATATATATATATAAATTAATTTTATAAAAAAAGTTATTTATTTTTAAAATAAATATTATAATAAATTTTTAATAATTATTTATTTCAAAATATAATATTTATTTTAATATATAATAATTAAGATTAATTATTATTTTAAATTAATAAATTATTAAAAAATAAAAAATATTAATAGAGAGTAGCCTTTTAATTTTTATTTTGAAATTAAATACATATATTTTTTATAATTTATTTATTAAATCATTATATCTTAAATAAAATTAGTTTTATTAAAAAATTAAATTTTTAAAAATATTTTTTTATTATTTACTTTTATATAAATAGTTTTTTAATTAATTAATTTAGTATGAATATATTAATATATATAAAAAATTTAATTAGACTCAAATTTGTTTATTAGTCCGTTGGTTTAATATAGAATTAAGTTAAATTAAAAAAATTGATTAGTTTTAAAATATATGTGAGGTTTGTCTATTAAATTTTTTATTCTATTTAAAAGATTAGGTTAGACTGAATCGTTTTAATAATTAAAAAAAAAGAGAGTTTTATTGAATTACAAATTAATGTGTATTAAAAAATTTACAATTATATTATTTCATAATAAAAAATAGATATAATATTTTAATTGATAATTTATTTATTTATTTATATTGAATCTTATCTTTTACATTACGTTGTCGAGTGTTTGAATAATAGTAAGAATATTTTGTTGAATAGGGGTTGGATAGACAAATTTGTTAGAATAAGAAATTAAGTGTAGTTTGTTGACAATTTGTTAGACATTTCTTAATAAAATATATTTTTTAAACAATAATTGCAAAAATTGTTGGAATTCACATAATATCGAAATCGTTTGTAGGAAAAACATTTGTGTTACGAATGTTGTTGGAATAATACTATAAGAAATGATTTATCGACGGATTTATGATTGTGGATAAGTAAACATTAGGTAAAACTATTATTAACATAATCCGTCTACAAATATGTTTTCATGTTTCTTCTCATTCCTTCTCGACACCAATGAACCATTTTCCTTCTCCAAGCCCTTGCGGTTCCCTCACCTTCACCTGCTTCACCCAGCCTTGGCCACCATCTCCTTTACCCTCACTCCCCCTTGCTGCACCCAAACCATTAAACGTCTCCCCTCACCGAAGCTGCAAGTTTAGTCGCGGACCAGCCACACTCGCCTCACCAAAACCACCGTGCCCCCACCCAGAATCACCTTCACCCTTCACTGACTGCGGCCACCACTACGCCACAAACCACTCTTCCTCTCCACACCAGACCGTGCCCCATTTCTCCCTTCACTGCACTCGCCCTCCACCGACCGCGAAACCACCATTATCTACCCTCACCGAAACCTTAAACCCCCGCGGAGACTCTCCCTGACTTGCTACCCATAAACCCACCGATCGCCCCATCATCACCCTTTATCGCGACGAACCCTAGCCACTGATTCCACCACCTATTCTATACGGTGGACGTAGAATGGAGGAGTGCCTCTGTCTGCAGAAGGAATGATGGTCGTTGACGGGAGATAGGGATGGAGGTGCGTTTCATTGCTGGCGCGGGAGGTTATGGAATGACCATCCAATGAAGACATGAACCAAGGAGGAAGCTGGATTCAGAACATATTTATGGGTTAATTTCTTTTGCTTTGTTTTCATTTTGATCTACGTTTGGATTTTGATCTGTGTCAGTTTTGTTTTGATTCTTGGTTTGTGTTGATTTTGATTTGTGTCCATGGTCTCCTTCAAAGCTTATCCATTTTAGAGATTATAACTCTGTTACAGTTTGTGGATGAGAATAATGCTAAAGATTACATGCAAAGCTTTGGTATTTAGTGTGACATTAACTGTTTTTAATATTTCATTGTCGCAAATAGTGGGAAGAAACAATCCTTATAAATACTTTGTGCCTACTGTAGTCATTATTCGTACGTAATTTTGAATCCATATAGATATCATTTGCTTGACATGTTAAAAGTAGATGGGGCATAATATGAGTTTTCTAATTCTATGGTGCATTTGAAAATAGAACCGGTAGAGTTAAAACTAGATGGAGCATAGCATGAGTTTTGTTTGATGTTTATTTACCTTATAATCTTGTGGATGATGGGTTCATGCCTTGGATATTCCAATAATATTTAGACAAAATTCGTTTCATGCTTTGCCTCACAATTTTGTTATAAGATATGTCCCAAGTAGTATTTCCCTTCATATATTAGAAGCTATAGAGTTGGAATGATTTCAATAGCGTAGGAAACACCATCTTAATACTTAGTTGTAATGGCTGCAACAATATATTATTGTGAATGTAGGTTTGAATAGATGGATATGAAGATAGTTAGTATTGCTATACTAGTACTAGTGTAGAGGGTTTTGCTAGTTGTTTTTACTATTGTATGATTCCATTCATTGTCCTTGTTATAAGATCTGTGCCTACATTCAAAAAATTATGTTGAGTTTGCATTCAACAAGCTAGGTCATATGCTGCATCCTGTGTTGGGAAACTAAGTCTATACAGGCAAACTTGACATAGGATGATGTTATTAAATTTTGTTGTTGGGTGGACACAATTGGTGGGAAAAATAAGGAGACTTTATGGGATTGGACAACTTGATCATGGTTAGCATGGTGGATCCGATAGCCTCAAGCATCAAACTCCACCATCCAATTTCTCAATAGACTTAGAAGAGATGAATCAACTTAGACAACATTTATTTACATAAGAAGAAGAGATTCATTGAACAAGAAAGCACAAAGAACGACCGGAGAATTAATTTCGAGAGTTTCAATCACTTATGGGTGTAGTCGTCTAGTTCCTACCTCCCAGTGCACACTCCCTCGTTTAACAACATCAACAAAACCAAGACAATGAATAATATGACCCTTAAACACAATAAGAAAACCAACAACAACAACACAATCCATTACAAGAAGATAACACTATACGAAAACATTATCCTGACTATTCACATTATTAGATATTTTTTTAAAATAATAGAAACACATGGATATTCGAGTTTGTATTTGTTTATTTACACTTTATATAGGAACTTGTTCTAGTGTAAATTATAACTACACTTATGTATTAGGTTTCACTATGACAATTTGGATTATATTTGAGTTTATTGATGCTTAATTTCGATTATGAGTTTAATTTTGATTATAGAATGTTCAAATGGAGTTGGATCTGAATGATTTGGTATTGCATATATATATATATATATATATATATATATATATATATATATATATATATATATATATATATATATATATATATATATATATGTCTAGGTGAAGATAAAATAGAATGATTGGTGGAAAAATTTGGAGAATTTACTAACGGATAATTTGTCGTGATATACATAAAGGTTGATCAAATAAAAAAAATGTTCTATTTTTCGGTACATCATTATGGATTGAATTAGTGTTTCTAGTTGGTATTTTTAATTCTCTCATTTCTTGACGTTCTTTTTATTTTAGATTAAAAACAAAATGATCCCTTCCTCATAATTTTTTCGGATTGTCAAGCATATAAAAAAAGGAATGAGTTAGTTGCTAAAAAAAATTATATCACATTACATTAGAAGGGGCGAGTTTTTTTATTGGAAAAATCTTATATCTTATATTTATACGGTAATATATTGTGAAACTAAAAGAGATAAAATAGAATAAATAAAATATAAAAAAATTTCATTTGAATATTTTATTTATATTCATTTGAATAGAATAGTAATTAATATAAAAAAAATATAGAATATCTATTTGTATATCTATATTATATAGATTTTATTTTTTATTAGTTTTTGTTTACTTTTTTTTAAATAAATAAAAATATTCGATAAAATAGGAATTTTAATTTAATTATATAGATACATAGAAAAAAAGAATATATAATAATATAAATAAGAATTATTGATAAAAATAAATAGTAATTTAAAATCATTTATTTGAAAGATAATATCTATTATATACCTTTTTTTTTAATTATCCATTGATAATTACAAACAGAGATTATATATTATTATTTGTTCGATTTTTGACCGTTCATAATCTTTTAATAAGTCAAGTGTTAATGAAATTTTGGATTATCTCCTTCAGCAAAACCAGTATTTTTTTTAAGTATATTTAAAAAAAAATGTTTTCAACGATGATACCTGATCTTTATGCATGATATCCGGGTACTTTTAAAGTTAGATTCCAATGTAATAAGAATTTGATATTTTTTAGTGGTTTCATAAGTCATTTAAATGAAATTAAACAATTAGATATTAAGGTTTCATAAACCAAATGAAAGCGCTCAGTCATAAATTGAGAGTAAACTATTTTCTTTAAATGTAGTTATGTTGTGTTTAAGCGAAACCAATAATAAATGAATAACATTATTTTGATTATAGATTTTTTTCAAGAAATCTATACCTTTGTTGTAAAGACAAAAACTTAAGACAATTTGTAAACTTCCACGCTAAGTAGGTTTTACCAGTAACATAAATTAGTAAAATATCATATTTTTCAGTAAACATGGATCTCAGAAAAATAAAGAGCATGAGGATAATTGGACCAAGAAATTAATAACCAATAAAATGTGAAGAAAAACTAGATTTAGTATTAAGATTTTGTAATCTTAGTATCTTATTAAATTTCAATTTTAAAACAATTATCAAATTTTAATAATAAATCAATTTATGCTCTAAAAAGTGTGACATATAACTTGAGACTTTTTAATACTCCCTCCACGTATGCTTGCAAAATCCAGACACTACTAGAATAAACAATTACAAAATGAATTTGAAGCTCTTATATTAATATCATTGGAATATGTCACAAAATAGAAGATTCTATGGAATAATAATAATAATAATAATAATAATAATAATAATAATAATAATAATAATAATAGTAATAATAATAATAAATACAATAATAATACATACGCGTATAAATTTCTATTGCCATAAATTCTCATTAAGAATACTTCTTGATTGTTTTTCTTTAATGCTAGGACTCAACTTGAAATTTGAGTTCTTAGAATTGGTCCTATTTAATCTTCCCAACTGTACAAGATTACAAGAATCCTCATTTTGTTTTGGAAAAATGTTTGTTTCATGCTTAAACAACGTTGGTGTAGTTAGTTATATAAAATATAATTTCTATAGAAACTTTATAACAATTCATTAATTATTCTAAAGGTATTTTCAAGTTACTTAATTTTTTTAGAAAAAAAAGGAGCTGAAATTTAACAACCAATATAAACAACTCACAACATGACAATAAACTTGAATCTACAAAAATTGTCAACCTTTAATGTCTAACCATTTCTTAATAGAATAATCTCCAAAAAAACATACTTCCGACAAACCGGAAAATACTTGCCAATAGAATTTACTTATTTATTTATAATTAAAAAGTCATTAATTTTGATGTTTTATCTTTTATACTATTGTTTGTCACTGGAATAGATTAAAATAAATGTCATTATATAGATTCATAAACTAAAGTGTGAATTTAACAACTAAAACGATTGGTGCATTTGCTCACACTGCTGATACAAACTACAGTCATTTTCATTTGTACACTTTCCAAGGATATGTTGAAAAATGACCAATAACTAGATACAATTGAAAATTTGAGACATTATGGAAAAGCATGATACTACTTGTATCTATTCTACAAAAAACCTTTAAATGTTTTTCTTGACTCTTGTATTCTTTTATTTGTGTTTTTTCTGTTCAATTATTTAGTATCTGAGTCACTCATCTCTTCTGGAAATTAAGAACCTTGATGCTATATGCAAAAACAAAAAGAAACAATGTGACAAAACCAATAAGAGCCACAACAACAACTCCAAGGAAGTCATATTCATAGCCGAACTCTTCCCGAATGTATGCTTTTACTGACATTGACTTTGATCCAGGTACCAGAATCGTATTAGTTTTGTCTCCCACCTGAGATGTCACTAGGCCATATAAACTCCATGCAGTTGGACATGCCCAGTAATACCACTTCCACCATATTGGAATTTGCTGCAAACATCAGAAGCAGCCAATAGTTTTAGTTTGTGTAAGCTATTATTGAAGTACTTGTGATTTAGTACAAATAAAATATCAAATCAAGTTTCCAAATTAGCACCGCCAATCATGTCTGATTTAAATTCTCCATAAGTTGGGTGCAGAAGTTAATGCAATTTTTATTTTCGTTTCCAGTAAGAGATAATTGAAAAGTTTTTTCAAGATGATTAATAAGAAAAGATTGCAGAAGGATTTCAACAAGTGCATTCATTCTGTCATGTTTGAACTATATTTAATGCAGGCCGGTGAAAAGGTTTTTTGTTACTCCATGGCTATAAATAGATTTAATTATTGGTTTGCTATACTTACCGATTTTGGGATAATGAAACCTGAAAATACGTTCCAAAACACCAGAAAGAAGGCCATAGCAATTGCAGCAATTTGGGGGTTTGGAGTCAGAGCTGCAGTCATCATGCCATAAAGAGTGAAGTAGACAAACGAAATGAACATAAAGAAGTAGAACCACAAGAACTTATCAACTAGCCAACGGAACCCCATCATTGAGAAAAGGATGAGACTGAAAGTAAATGTCTGTATTGCAACATAAATGCATTCCACTGCCACCTACAACGCAATGTTTATAGATGTCATAAATGTTAGATAATCTTAAATTACGGGGGTGGTTTCTTTAATTTAGTATGAATATGCAGTTATTTTGTTTTGTTGGGCTGCTGAGATATCGCAGTAAAATCTTCCTCTGTTTTAGATATTTGTTAAGAGGATATTTTTCTTGTTAATCTGATACAGTGAGTTGCTACGTTCACACTGGGTTATTCGTCTTTTAGTTTTTACAAAGTGGTATCAGAGCTTTATGCTCTGAGTACTGAGTGTGAGAAGAAAAACAGAGTGCGCCTGTGTGCGTTAAAAAAAGGAAAAAGTAATGGCGAAGGTAGTTAATGGAATGACCGTACCACAACTGTCAAAGAAAACCAATTATGATAATTGGTGTTTACAGATGAAGACCCTGTTGGGTTCCCAAAGTCTATGGGACATAGTAGAGAAGGGGTTCCGAGAACCCGAGGAGGATGAAGACCAATCTGTGGCTCAGATTGCCAAATTGGAAAAGACACGAGTGAAGGATAAATCAGCTTTGTATTTTTTGTACAATGCTGTGGATGAATCGGGTTTCGAGAAGATTGCAAACGCTGCGTCTTCAAAGGAAGCATGGGAGATTTTGGAGGTTGCGCACAGAGGTAACCATCGTGTCAGACAGATCCGACTTCAAACTCTCCGAGGAGAGTTTGAATGTTTGAAGATGGAAGATAAGGAGCAAGTATCCGAGTATATAACTCGGGTGGAGAAGGTGGCTAACCAACTCGGAAGGAATGGGGAACCAATGCCAGCAAATAGGATTGTGGAGAAAATCTTGAGATCATTAACAGATGATTTCGAGAGTATTGCATGCGCAATTGAGGAGTCAAAGGACTTGTCAATTCTCTCAGTGGAAGAGCTCACTGGGTCACTCGAGGCCCACGAACAAAGGAGGAGGAAGAAGGAGGATACTCTTGTTCAAGCACTACAAGCGCAACTTGATTCGAATGGAACTCGGAACACTCAGGGCCAAGGATCCGGAGGACAAGGACGAGGTAATCAAAGACGAGGTGGACGTGGCCGAGGTGATCATGGAGGACGAGGTAATCATGAAGGTAGACAAGGACGAGGTAATCATAGCCAAGGAAGTCAACCAAAATCGGAGGTGGAATGCTATAAGTGTGGCAAGCACGGCCACTACGCAAAGGAATGCAGATCGGCAAATTGCTACAACTGTGGCAAATACGGTCACATAGCAAAGTATTGTCGAGCTGAAAGCCAAGGTGAAAAGAAAGAGAAGAACCTTCTCACAGAAGAAGAAGACGAGGAAGTAGGAATTTTGATGATGACGCAGAGCTCGGAGACCAAGCTACGTCCGAGTTATGCCTCTGAGGTTGAACTAAACTTAAGTTGCGTGGAAAAGTCTGATGAGAAGTTAAAGTCCAAGCTTGATTCGGGTTGCTTAAACAACTCAGTCTGGTATTTGGACACTGGAGCGAGCAATCATATGTGTGGAGAAGAGAGTTTCTTTAATGAACTCACCAAGGTGAATGCGGGATTCGTGTCATTTGGGGATGATTCCAAGGTGGCTGTAAAAGGGTGTGGAACCATCAAGCATATGCAGAAAGATGGACGAGTTGGAGAAATAAGGGATGTCTACTACGTTCCCGAGCTTAAAAGCAACATATTAAGCATGGGACAGATGATAGAGAAAGGCAACTCGGTTCTCATGAAGGATCAAGTACTCTATTTGAAAGACAAGCATGATCGGTTAGTAGCCCGGGTAGAAATGAAGAAAAATCGAATGTATAAACTAGAGCTAAACATCCTGCAGAAAAGGTGTTTGAAGTTGGATGTGAAGGATGAAGCAATGATGTGGCATTTTCGATTTGGGCACTTAAATTTTGGAGGCCTGGCCGAATTGTCAAGGAAGGAACTAGTACTTGGACTACATGGCGTAGAGTTTGAAAAGAAGTTTTGTGAAGAGTGTGTGCTCGGAAAACACCCGAGGACTAGTTTTCCGAATTTGACCAGGTACAGGACAGAAGAGCAACTCGACCTAATACACACCGACTTGTGTGGACCAATTTCTCCTAGTTCATTTAGTGGTAAGAAATATTTTATTTTATTCATAGACGACTTCTCTCGGAAAGCTTGGGTGTATTTCTTACAAGAAAAATCAAAAGCATTTGAGGCTTTTAAGAAGTTCAAACTGATGGTGGAGAAAGAGATTAACAAACAGATTAAAACAGTGCGATCTGACAGAGGAGGAGAATTCACATCAGCAAAGTTCATGGAGTATTGTGAAGAGCAAGGTATAAGACGTTTTCTCACAGCTCCATATTCACCACAACAGAACGGTGTGGCTGAAAGGAAGAATCGGACCATCCTTGATATGGTTCGAACCATGCTTAAAGGAAAGAACATGCCCAAGGAATTTTGGGCAGAGGCAGTGCAGTGTGCTGTATATATACAGAACAGGTGCCCGCATTCCAAGCTAGATGGTGTGACACCGCAAGAAGCATGGAGTGGACGAAAACCGAGTGTAAACCATTTCAAAATCTTTGGAAGCTTGGCCTACGGTCATATCCCAGCCCAGCTCAGAACAAAACTTGATGACAAAAGCAAAAGGTATGTATTAATTGGGTATGATGAAAAGGCAAAAGCCTACAAACTGTATAATCCGGCTACAGGTAAAGTTTTGGTGAGTCGAGATGTCCAGGTAGATGAAGAGAGTGAATGGAGCTGGGATGACTCGAAGGAGAAGTCTTCAGGGAGCACGGTCTCTGAGAGAGAGAGTTCGGTAACAATTGAGAGGAACCCAGAAACCACAGCTGAAAGGACGAACGAGTATTCTGAGGAAGACAATGAACCTGTACAACTCAAAACTCGGAGTTTGCAGGACATCTATAACTCCACTGATGAGGTACATGTAGTGTGTCTATTGACAGGTGCAGAAGATGTCAAATTTGAAGAGGCCATACTCGATAAGAGATGGAAGAAAGCAATGGATGAGGAGATCAACTCAATTGAGAAAAATGAAACATGGGAGCTAACAGATCTACCCACAAGAGCTCGGCCAATTGGTTTGAAGTGGATATATAAAAAGAAAACCAATGCTAATGGGGAGGTGGAGCGTTACAAAGCCCGACTTGTGGTGAAGGGCTACAGACAGCAGAAAGGCATTGACTATGATGAGGTCTTTGCACCCGTAACAAGGATGGAAACGATCCGATTGCTATTTTCATTGGCAGCACAACACGAATGGAAGATACAGCAGATGGACGTGAAGTCTGCATTCTTGAATGGGATTCTGGAGGAGGAGGTCTACGTGGAGCAACCTCTCGGCTACATGAGAAGAGGTGAAGAGAAGAAGGTATTGAAGCTCAAGAAGGCACTATATGGGTTGAAGCAGGCTCCTCGAGCCTGGAATGAGAGAATAGACACCTATTTCAAAAGGAATGGTTATGAGCAATGTCCGTATGAACATGCTCTGTATTTAAAGAAGTGTAAAGGAGATACTTTGTTTATTGCTCTATACGTAGATGACTTAATATTTATGGGAAGTAAAGATGAGCTAGTTGAAGATTTTAAAGAAGTAATGAAGAGGGAGTTTGAGATGACCGATCTGGGCATTATGAAGTATTTTTTGGGTTTAGAGGTGGACCAAAGCACGACAGGTATTTTTGTGTCCCAAAAGAGGTATGCCGAGGAGATTTTAAGCAAGGCAAAGATGATGAAGTGCAATCCAGTTTCTACTCCCATGGAACCTGGAACAAAGTTATCTAAAAATGGAGAAGGAGAAAGAGTTGATGCAAGCAGGTACCGAAGCCTAATCGGAAGTCTAAGGTACTTGACAAGTACAAGGCCTGACCTAATGCTAAGTGTGGGAATTACAAGCCGCTTTATGGAGGATCCGAGATATTCTCATTGGAAAGCATTAAAGAGGATAATAAGGTATGTGAAGGGGACGATGTCATTTGGACTGTGTTTCACTAAGTCGGACAACTACCGACTTACTGGATACTCGGACAGTGATTGGTGTGGAGATATGGATGATCGAAAAAGCACAGCTGGGTACGTATTCTTCATGGGAAACACGTCTTTCACGTGGTTATCAAAGAAACAACCAATTGTGGCTCTGTCAACGTGTGAAGCCGAGTATATAGCAGCATCTTGGAGTGTCCAACATGCAGTTTGGCTTAGAAACTTGTTAAGCAAACTGGAGATTATGAAAGATGAGAAAGTGTTGATCCGAGTAGATAACAGGTCGGCAATCGAGTTAGCCAAGAATCCAATCAATCACGAAAGGAGTAAACACATCGACGTCCATTTTCATTTCATCAGGGAGAAGGTGAAAGAGGGAACCGTGGAGCTCGAACATGTAGGAAGTAAAGAGCAAGTAGCTGATATCTTTACAAAACCATTGTCCACAACAACATTTCAGGAGTTAAGGAAGTTACTCGGGATGAAAGAAGGAAATATTTAAGTTTATGGGGGAGTTTTGTTAGATAATCTTAAATTACGGGGGTGGTTTCTTTAATTTAGTATGAATATGCAGTTATTTTGTTTTGTTGGGCTGCTGAGATATCGCAGTAAAATCTTCCTCTGTTTTAGATATTTGTTAAGAGGATATTTTTCTTGTTAATCTGATACAGTGAGTTGCTACGTTCACACTGGGTTATTCGTCTTTTAGTTTTTACAATAAATTTGCTCAGTCATTGAGAATTATTGCATGTTTGGATAACTATCATAATTCATTTTGACCCCCTAAAATCACATCCAAAAATTGCAAATTCAACGTGGAAATAGAAGAAAAATGAAGAATGAAATCTAACCCAAATACCCCCACTTAGTTCATGCTTGGATTAAATTCAATTCTTCTATAATTGATTTCAATTCACGTCGAAAGTGAAAACAACAAATAGTTGCTTCCAATTTTTAGATGTGATTTTAAGGACCAGAATCGATTCTGGTTGGTATCAAAACACGCACTAACTATCAATTATTTTTGTCTAGTCTTCTGTGAAAGGATATCTGCATTTACCTGACCAATAGCATAAGGTAGAGCTGAGTACAATCCAGCTGCTTTTTCACGGTATAATACTGTTCTTTCTATTGCAACTATGGGTTGAACACTAGAAGTGTTGGAGCCTCCAAGAAAGAAAACAGCAGTGAAGACAGCTCCCATTAGATTCATAAAATCTTGCTCCTTATTTCTGCAGACAAAAATAATTATCCTCACCTTTCATGAACGTGAAAATAACATTTGTTATGACTTAAAAAAAAAAGAGAGATAAAAATGAGTTCTTGTAGATGGTTGTGAACTAATGACAGGATATTGTTATGATTCCTACGTATCCCTCTCAAATTGAAAGATAGGATAGACTTTGATGCGTGGATATCGATTTAATTCAACTCACTGTCTTGCAATGAGGATTTCAGTTATATATTATAATTTAATTATATTTTTAGTTGACTTGGAACTCCAATACACCCTCTCACGTCAATAACACGGGTGATCTTCAATTTCAACAAAATGTATGATACATTTGATATCACTTGATTTCATGGGTTATCCTACAAAAGTTAAACCACTAATCTGTTAGCACAATACATGGAAGAACGTATAAACTTACATTATCTTTCCTCTTTTCCAGAAAACGAGTCCAAAAATAACACCAATAGTTATTGATAAGAAGAACCGGATGGCATTATACTGTGGATTCCTCCAGTAGGACAAGTTCTGTTTCCAGAAGCAAGCTATAGATTGAGTAATAAAGGACTGGGAGTATTCAGTAGGGAAATCAAGGTCCTTTGTTCCTTCTAATGGTCTGCTTAGCTCTTTAACAAGCTCTTGATTTCTCCTGAAAAGAGTTGATGTCAGAAATGAAACGAGAAGACCATGTCTAATTTCAGGTTAGAAAAGGGAAACAGTGACAGTACTCTGGGAATACAACTTCAATTAATACTTAACTGATACAATTCTGACTTAGTGTACAGTTCTGCAAAGTCTACACTAAGCTGACTCTCCACTGCTGGAGAACTGATCTCCAAAATCCATGTGGCTGGATTATAACCTTCTTTGATTTTAGGAACTCCAGGAATAGCCTGCAAATAGTTTACAAGATAATTGATTTTGAGAATGTATACATTTTGCTGTGTAGAAGTCATACTCACCTCAAAGTACTCTATAAGCTTCTGTGAATGTTGACCTAAGGGACCATTATATATGAGCTGTCCTCCTCTCTTCATCAAAAGCAGCTGAAGGAAAGATTAAATTGAGATAGCATTGAGTCTTATAATTAACATAGAAGTAATAGTCTCATCGTCCAAATATTGGGAAGTTGTACCTCATCAAAAGCTTCGAATAAGTCAATGCTTGGTTGATGAATTGTGCAGACAATAGTTCTACCTGTATCCGCTGTGTTTCTGACAGTACGCATGACAATTGCTGCAGCTCTAGCATCAAGGCCGGAGGTTGGCTCGTCCATAAAGATGATAGAAGGGTTGGCAACCAATTCTACAGCAATGGTGAGTCTCTTTCTTTGTTCAGTTGATAAACCATCTACCCCTGGAAGACCTACTAGAAAATTTCTCACTGGATGTAGCTCAACAAGGTTCATAACTTCCTCAACAAACATCTGCGATAAGAGAGGCCGTTTGAGAATAAATATTTGTAACAGTTATATTAACGAAGAAAGTAAAACGTGGCACTAGAATTGAAAGATCAGTAAAATGGTATGAATGGGCATGCTTTATGGTTGTTGCTTGTCATAACAAAGAATTTCTAGAATCTTACTTTTATTTATTTTTTGTCATACTAACATAAAGATTACAAGTTTGTATTTAAACACTTCCAAGAACTCTCTAGAATCCAAAACAATAATTTTCTATAATCTAAAATGTTCTAAAAATAATAATGGTCCTCGGTAACATCACTTTCTAAACGTTAAAAAAATATGTAACTATAAAAACGTTCTAACACCAAATAAACGTTCTTCAACCAATTATCAATTTTATCCTACCAAAAACCCCTTAAAATCAATTCTCTGCATCTAAAAACACTTGAGATCTATGTGATACTGACTTCCCAACTGCTGACTAGCTTCAAAGCTTCAAAACAAGAGATCGACTTGATACCAACTCGACAATTTGCTAGATTGGCTTAACTGATCTCCCGACTACCCGACTTGATGTACTTCAAAACTTATTGGCCTTCAAAGCATCCCGGGCTTCAAATTTTCAAGCTAGCCGACTTGTCATCTTCCTAAGCCCCTCGATTTCTGTTCATCCTTTATCCCTATAATCTATATCTCTACACCAATCATTGTCCAAGTATCTTACAAGTCAGGTAATTGTACGGTCTGTTCGTTCGTGGTTCCATGGGGGTTGATATCGAATTGCAATCGATTATCTTGAACTTATTCATAATCGCCTTTGCATACGTCTCTTGGGACAAACATATTCCCGACTCCTCCTCGTCTTTCTTCACGTATCCGAGTGGTTGCTCATCATTCACCATCTCCTTGAGCACGTCATCCAAAAGTGCCAACTTGACATCCAACTGCTTCACTCCAACAACTCGGTCATATCTTTTATCTTTCTTGAATACGTGCTTCACACTAATAGACTGAGCATAGATTGGTAATTTGGTCATCACCAACTTATCATTGTGTTCTCTAACTTGACCCTTCTCATGCATAACAGCTCAGATATTCTCTTTAATATCAACTCGGATCTTCTCGTCAATAAGAGCTCAGATATGGTCACTTCGGAATACACTACTTGGACTTAACTCGAATTTCTCTCTAGCATTTCTCTGAAGTGGGATCCTCGCATGTTTACCAACCGCACCTCTACAAACTCTCCCCTTCATGCTCGGAAATCCGAGCATCATGCTCTTCATGTTTTTCTTCAACTTCACCGACTTGGTTATCTTTTCCTCCTCGGTTTTCGAACTAGCTATTACTAGTGGTGTAGAAACTCGACCTCCGCTATCATCCTTCAACTCTCCCAAGTTCCGCTTTCTTGTTTCATCAACTCCATCAGTTGTCCCACATTCAAAAGGTTACTCTTTAGATCTGGAACATAAAACACATCTCGAATTGACCCGACTAGGTCATTCTTCTGCAAGAAACAAACAATACCTCGACCTTTTGCCAAGACCTTTGAGTCATCTCCAAACGACACATGATCACCCTCAAATTTCTCCAATTTTTTGAATAGGTGCTCGTCTCCACACATATGGTTACTTGCACCCATATCCAAATACCATACCGATTTGTGATTGGTATCTTACCATATCCAAATACCATACCGATTTGTGATTGGTATCTTCCCGAACTCCATCACTGTAATCAGCCCCCAAGTGAATGAATGATTGAATGTAGATCGGCCATCATGAGCATTGATTCTTCTTGTCCTTCTGTGAGATAAGTCTCACCCATCTTTTGACATTCTTTGACAAAATGCCCCTCCTTTCCACAATTAAAGCATTTTCCCGAGTAACAGACTTTTGCATAAGGGTCATATTTGTCACAATTGAAACACTCGATGTTTGAGTCGTTTGTCGACCGACTTCCTCTCGGTCCACATCCTCTTCCTTAACAGTTTTGTTGAACTCCTTCTTCCTTCTCGTCACCTCAGCCACCGAATCCACCTCGATCTCCTCGACCAAATCATCCACATGTGGACTAACCACTATGTCCTCTTCCTTGTTCTCTATTATTCTAGGAATATAGTATCTTCTCCTCTTTTGACTCGGTCTTTAACACTTGAACAATCGTCCCCTCTTTTATCTTCTTTCTCCGATACTCATGGGCTCCAAGCGAGCGAGCCAATTCCTGAAGCTTGAGTTCAAACAAATTCTGAGACTCTTTAATGGCACAATTTGTTCTCAAAATCGTTGGTTAACGATCTTAAGATTTTTCGCACAATCCAATTTTTAGGATTTCCTCTCCATCCCGATTGAGTTTAGGGATGACAATTAAATCTGTACCCGTGGGGACCGACCCGTCCCCGTCCCGAGTTTGACGGGGAAAAACCGAGTTGACCGGGGGCGGGGTGGGGATGGGTAATACAATCTCCATCCAGATCCCGTCCTTGCCCCGACTTTATATTTAAATTTTAAAAATATTTCTTTTTCTTTTTCTAGTATATATAAGGTCATTTTTATATATTTTACCATTTTTATTTTTCTTCTACCCACTTTTTAATTTTTTTGTCTTTTTTAATATTTTATATCAATTAGTTTATTACATTATCCACTTTTTCTTACCTTTCAGCTTTTTTATATTTCCTTAATCTCTCTAATCAATTTGTTTTTTTTTAATCTTTTCAACTAATTTGATGAACACAAAGTTTTTTTTCTTTATCTTTTTCTAAATATTTTACATAAATCTTAGTAGTAACTAATATTATTTTATTTATAATTTATATTTATTAGGTTTTATTATGTCATATTTTTTGGATCTTATTATTCTTATTTGCCATATATCAAATTTTATTTTAATAAAATAATTATATTTTAAAGGATTAAAAAAATTAATAATTTAAATTTTTATTACTTCAAACTAACTAAATAAGAATTAAATTATTAAATATTTTCTTATAAATTATATATTATACACTTAAAAATAAATTAACTTATATATATACATATATAATCAAATGTTTGAATTCAAGTATAATAATAATAATAATAATAATAATAATAATAAATTTATAAGTAATATTTAAATACAGTGTTATAATAATAATAATAATAATGTTATAAATATTCTATATATATATAATGATTAAATATTTCTTTTACATAATATAAATATAATAAATTAAAATATGTATTTAATTAATAACAATTATAAATTGTAAAATTATAAATATTCATTTATATATAAAAGATACATAGTAAAATTAATTTATTATACCTAATTATCTTTTTAAAAATAATATAGATCGAGGATGGGGATGGGGCGGGGGCGGGAACGGGAACAGTTAAAAAAGTCGAGTAGGGGGATCGGGAAAGCAAAATCCGCCCCCGTCTCGCCTCGTTTCCATGCCTTGAGTTCATTCACCACAATTTTGACATGGGTGATGTACTTGAAAACTTCTTCTGAATCTTTCATTCTCATGCTTTCAAACTCGCCACATAAGGTCTGTAACCAAACCTATTTGATTCGATCATTGCCCTTGTATGCTGTCTCCAGCGTCGTCCACGCTTCTTTTACATATTTAACATCTGTAATCTTTTGAAAATCGGTATTTTTGACAGCTCAAAACAATGTGAAGTAAGTTACAGTGTTTTTCTCACGATTCTTCTTCAACTCTATGAGTTTATTGACCATCAATTCTTTCGTGGTCTCAGGTTCTTTAAAACATTCCTCTACTACTTCCTAATAACTTGGGCCTTTGAGAAGAGTCTTCATCTGAATACTCCCTCTATCATAACTGACGTCGTTCATCAGTCGGTACATAACGACATCATTTGTCAAACTAGTCATCTCACTTTTTTAAACGCTCAACACTTAACCCTCAACTTTAACTCTCTTGAGAAACTCTAACTCTAGAAACCAATTTAATAACAAAGAATTTCTAGAATCTTATTCTTATTAATTATTTGTCATTACAATCCTAAAAATTCTCTAACAAAACAATAATTCTTTTTAATCTAAATCGTTCTACAATAATGATCCTCAATTTCTAACACATTCAAAAACTATCTAACTTATCATAAATGTTCTAACACCATATACACGATCTTCAACTAATAATTAATTTTATGCTAAGAGCTTAAACCACTCACAATAGTTATAAGTGGCTATGTCCCAACCAACATCATATATGTGATGAAAAATATTAAATTCTTTTGGATCAAAACTATTCTAAAGCAGTCAAAATTTAGATGAAAAGACAACTCTTCCATAATAATATCTATTTACTCCTGAACAAGTGAAGTCTTACTCAAATGGTTGTTCCAACTTCCAAGAAGTGATGATTTTTTTCTTTCAATGGTTTCTTAAAAGACATATAGACCAAACTCAGGTAGTTGAAAGGGCTAAGGTAGGTTTTGAGCGAATTGATAGGGCACGACTAATGGAAAAACGTGGGAAACTTGGGCCCATTGTTTTTATTCTATGATCTTAGAGGAGGACGAGTTCATAAAAACAAAGCTCACTGTCAAGTTATTGAGTATGGATATTGGCAGATACAATGTTATATATATATATATATATATATATATATATATATATATATATATATGAGAGAGAGAGAGAGAGAGAGAGAGATCATGAGAAGGGGGGAGGTGGAGTTCAATATGAGAGTTGATTTCGACAGAACGCACCTTCCTAACTTTACTGTTGACCTCCTTACCAAGTCGCAACCAAGCAGAAAACATAACAGATTCATGCACTGTGATATTTGGAGAATGGATATCATTTTGTTCACAATATCCACTAATCCGAGCAAAAGTAGCTTGTTTTTTTGGGTAACCAGATACGCTGATGCTTCCTTCAATATAACCACCAGTTTTTCTTCCAGCTAGAACATCCATCAATGTGGTTTTTCCAGCACCAGTTACACCTACTAATGCTGTTAGCACTCCAGGCCTGAAAGCACCGCTGACATCTCTAAGTAGTTGAAGTCGACTTCCTTCAATTCCACGTTTTTCCATTTCCTGATATGAAAACACTGTTAAGACGTTGTACATTGGAAGATTCATGCAAATTTAAAAGTAGTTAATCAGCACAGATATTCGTCACAGGTAAGAAAAGACAGTGGTGGGAAACAATTCTGAAGTGAATGACAGTTGGTGATGATTAAATCCGGAGTAGAGTGTGTAGAATTTACGGTTGGCATATTGATGTAGTAATTGACGTGATCAAAGGCAAGTGATAGAGGCCTAAAGGGTAACACCATTCCCCTCTTGGTTGTTAAACTATCTTCTTCAGGAGTTGAATTCTCTCGGGTGTTCTTTTCTGCCATATCAATGTCTGCATCTAACCATTTAGTTAGTATAATAGCTGACAGACATTTGGTATAAATAATATCATTTAAGCATGAAATTAAAGTTGAAAACATAACAAAATCCTAGCGGAGCACCAATAGAAAATTAATTTCAAACCATGGAGGGCAAAGTACACATTCTGATGAAAATGATGAAACCAAGTAACTTGATGTGTTTGAACGTTGCCAGCAAGAAAGTTAAGGGACCATTTGGCTTGAGAAAACATATTTTCTTTCACTTTGTTCCTGATTTTTAAAGTTTATACAGGAAAAATGAAAACAGAAAATAAAAAAGAAAACAATAAAAAGTTATTTTCATTATTTCCTGTACAAGTTCTGAATAACAAGAAACGAAAGAGAAACTGAAACCAGAAAACATTCTCTCAAATTTTACAATATATGTATGATACAAAAGAAAAAAGGTAAGATTTAGTACTTTCAAATGATTTACCAGTTGAAACAGAACTCTTTTCTGTTGTTCCCTTTTTCTCCACTTGCTCCTCTAGAATAATAGATTTAGACTCTTTATATGCTGCTATTTAACATCTTGTTAGAGACAGTTTTATTGCAGTATGAGGAACAAGCAGTAGTATGGGAACTTACGATTCAGAAACGTCAGAGCAATTATAAAACAAATGTTGAAAAGCAGAGAAAAGCCTAGGAGAGCACCAATACAAATCCAGTACCAATAGTCTTCGGTATACATGCTTCTAACCTTGAGAAGAGCCTCCCCAACCGTGCGCCCAGGTATTCTTCGGTCCATGTTGGGCTGCAAAGAATATAAATGAATGCATTTTCGAAAGAAAATGAAATATAGAAAAATTCTCCGCATGTTAAAGATCTTACAGCACTCCATCTCGGGTCAAGGAATTCATTGATAGCAATGGCGTTCTGACCATACATCATAGGAGAAACATAATAGCCCCATTGCATCCAGGGTTCAAGGTTATCTGTAAAGGAAATTATTCAAGTTGCATGAACCATTCTTCTTGACACAGATGCTTTGAGTGAATGAAATATTTCCATTCTTATTTTACCAATTGAATAGAGAATGCAAAAAGAATAATTGAGGCTGACCTTTGGCAATAATGAACCCACCAAGCACATAAATAAGTAGCAGTATAAAGAAACCAAGCGTGTTTGCCACAACTAGTGTTCTTCCAAGAGCAGCAATGAATCGGAACAGTGAGATACCCATTTGATGAACGCAGACAAATGCCAATAACTGACCAAAAAATCTGCAATAATTGTTTAAATTTATTATTGAAGACAGTTAATTGCTTGCTACTTGTAAGTAAATAAAACAAATGAACATCAAAGTGTGTCAATTAATTACGCTTTCAAAAGAATACTCCCTAAGTACAAAACTGTTAAGAAAAATCATTCCTTGGCATGCACCAAATAGAACCATGAAAGGTTAATGCTCATTGATGTAGCTTAGAGTTTTATAACAAATCATAAACATGCAATGATTCACTTAACAATTTTCATTCAAGGAATGGAAACAAGTTATAGTAGATCTACAAATAGCAGTATAAACTTTTGGAATGGTTGATTCTTTTGTATAAATTAACAGATTAGCATACTTTCATACCTACTTGAAGCTGGAGCATACCCTACAGTGTAATAAGTAAGGACAACCCATAATCCGGACTCTACAATAGAGAGAGGAATTCGAAAGATCCATATGGGAAGTGCAAAAGCCCATGCTGGATAAAACAATGAGTCTCTCTGCTTGAAGAAAACAGGAAGCCTAAAAATAGTCATTGCAAGCTCAGCCATTCCATTGAACATTATGTTGGTGAGACTAAAGAACAGGGCACCATAAAATTTTCTCCCATCCTCAAGGTGACCACTTTCCATTTCTGTCCTAAAAAACACTGTCATAGTAATCAAAGACATAATCGTAATCTGAGTAGTTTTAAATATGTATATAAAAGCACTGCGCTTCATCAGTAGCCACTCTCTTGCAAAGCATGCCTTCAAGAGTTCTAGTTTTGAGATCCCATATTTATCTTTAACCAATGCAGCTGGATGAGTTTTGTCACGGTCATAAGGAACCCGAAGATCTTGGGAAAGTTGTTGGCCAATGCCAAAATTATTGAAGTGTGCTACAAACTCAGGAGCGCTGACAAAATGGTAAGGCTTGTCCCTTGCGAACCAGTATTGCTCTTGGTCCTTTTTGGAAGTAACCTCCTGTAAGAAGTCTGCAACTCCTTTTCTTTCGGGGCATTTGAAGCCTACACTCTCAAAAAAATTGAGAACACTCTCACGTGGTCCTTGGTAGACAATGTGGCCTTCAGAAAGCAAGATTATGTCATCAAAAAGGTCAAATGTTTCTGGTGCAGGTTGTAAAAGAGAGATTATCATGGTAACATCCATGACATGCACTAGCTGCCTCAAGAACTTGACAATTTGGAAGGTTGTGGAACTATCCAAACCGGTTGAAATCTCGTCCATTAAGAAGACTTTTGCAGGTCCTACCAACATCTCACCTGCATCCATGATATGGAAGCCAGTGCTTGAGAATTGGACAAAGGAGATTTTGAAATGGAAAGCAGTAATTGAAGGAGACTAACATCTTCTCTTTAGTAAGATAAAATTTTCTTATAATTTTTTCCCATACCGGTAGTTAACCTCTTTTTTTCTCCACCAGATATTCCCCTCCTCATCTCATCTCCCACCAAAGTATCAGCACATATTTCCAGTCCAAGAACCTGAGTTCATTTTCTTTGATAAGTCAGATTATGGCAAGAAACCTGATATAGCGACGGAAAGCACAGTGATCAAATAGAAATAGAGGCATCAAACCTTGAGAACATAATCTGTAATGAGACTTGTTTCTTGACCTTCCACTGCTGTGGCTTTCATGAAGGCATCTATCTCTGGATCTGGTTTGAGTCCAGCTTGCTTTTCTCGCCTTATCAATTCTATTAGTAGCTCATGTCTTGTTCCAACTCCCAAGCAGCGTCCAGAAAAGTCCAGCGTTTCTCTGACTGTCATCTCTCCATGATGAAGATTATGCTGACTAATATAAGCACAGGTTCTTTGAGGAACAAATTCTGATAACTCATGACCACAGTAAGTGACTCTTCCGGATACCTGTTGATGTATAGATTAGATGATGCATTGTCAAAACTTGTATTTTTATTGTTCATTTTACTTTACTTCTTTGTGTATGATCCTTAGCTGAGAAGTGCAATCTATAATCACAATTCTGGCAAACCAATCATATCTTATCATTGCATTGTTTCTTAAAGATGGAGCAATAAGAGGATGGCCAACCCTTAAATCCCTGTCTAGTTTCCCAGCAAGTGCTTGCAGCAGTGTAGTTTTTCCTGATCTTGGGGGCCCCAAAAGCAAGGTCAACCTGGAGTGTTTTAGAAAGATAAGTAGATAGAGATAAGGAATAAAAATAACAATGAAAAGTCAGCAACATACCTAAAATAATAAGTTGGTGCATTTTTTGAAAAAACATTTCTCAGATTTGAAATAGAAAAGTGATAATAAAAATCTGTAGAAGTGTATATTATTTACTCTTTGTCTAATCTTAGGAATCCATTATTGTATTTATACACAATTTCATTATTTTTCTAAAATTAAATAATAACTAGCAAAATATCATTAATATTAAAATGTTTCAACAATCTCTTAATTATCTTTTTATTGTAATAAATTTTAAAATTAATTATTTAATCTTATTCAACAAAATTCAATAAACCCTTTCATAAAATTAAATTTTTTGAGCAAAATTGAGATGGATTTGATCTCGACTCTCGACTCGTTGTCTACAACATTTCTTTAAGCTTCAAAATATGAGATCGGCTTGACGCCGACCACCCAACTTGACAATTTGCTAGATCAGCTTGACCTATTTCTCGATTACCAACTTGTTGTACTTCAAAAACTTCTTGGCCTTCAAAACATCCCAGACTCCAAATTTTTGAGTTTCCTACTAATCGACTTATCATCTTCCCAAGCACCTCGAGTTCTTTCCATCCTTTATCCTGATAATTTACATCTTCACACCAGTCACTATTCGAGTACCCTATAAGTCGATAATCATTTGAGCTCATGTACAGTAGTCGGAGTGACAGTATACTCGAATATACCTTAAAATTCGGTTCAATGTCTTCTAATGAGAGTAGCTCAGATTCTCCACAAACCGACTAACAATCCTAACACTCGGTAATAAATCAAGTCTAGTGTTTGTAAGGTAACGAAGATTTCCAACTAGGTTTCGATATCTCCTTGGATCAACTTGGTCTCCTGTATCAAATTTTGAAAGTTTCTTCCTCATGAGGGTTGATACCAAATTGTAAGCAGTCATATTGAACTTATTCATGATCTCTTTTGCATACACCTCTTGGGACAAACATATTTATGACTCCTCCTTGTCTTTCTTCACGTATTCAAGTGGTTGTTCATCATTCACCTTCTCCTTGAGCACATCATCCAAAAGTGTCAACTTGACATACACTTTGCCTAGCAATTTTTCATCTTTTTTCTCTTGATTGAGCTTGGCCAAAGTCAGACTTGAAAATGTCAACTTGATATCCTTCTGCTTCACTCCAACAGCTTGATCATAGCTCGACAATTTGGGCACCACCAACGTGTTATTGTGTTCTCAAATCTTTTTATCCTCAATAGTTCAAATCTTCTCTTCAACAACAGCTCAGATCTTCTTATCAATATCAACTTGGATTTCTCTCTATATTCGATACTTGTCTTGTTACCGACCACTCCTCTACAAGTTCTCCCCTTTATGCTCGGCAATTCGAGCATCACACCTTCGCAAACTTTCCCTCCATGCTTGGCATTCCGAGCACCACATTTTTAATGTTTTTCTTCAACTTCGCATTATTTCTTCCTTCTTGATTTCCAAATTGTCTATTACTGGTGGTATAGCAGTTCGACCTCCATCTGAGATGGCAACAACTGGTGGTGCAACAGCTCGACCTCCTTTGTCTTCTTTTGATTCTCCCCAGTTCTACTCTCTCATTTCATCAACTTGGATAGTTAGATTATCATTATAATTATTATCATGAATCGATTAGACCACAAAAATGCATGTAACCAAATCGATTATTCTTCTTTAACGTATCTTCTATATTTGATTTCATACTTCTCTCCCGAATGCTTCTTAGCTGCAACTTGTAATTATCTTATTATTTTTTATTCCAATAAACTTTAAAATTAATTATTTAATTTTATTAAAGGAACACTAAAAATAATTTCTATGTATGCTTCAATCAGAGTATTTGTCAGAACTCTGGTAGCATTTCTATCATAACTTTTTTGTTTTGTTTTTCTTATTTGCTAGTACAGGGTAAGGTTCAATTGCCACTCGGATCCTCTTACAAGCAATCTTAAGAACACATTTTCAATTTATACTTTTTAAAGTTAGGAAATGCACTGTGTAACACCAATTTAATTAGAGAGACTGTATCAAATACCTTGCAGGCTTGACAATTCCACTGACACCTCGTAGTATCGTGATAACACTTTTCTTTGATGGAAGAACATTAAGTGACCCAAGAATTCTCTGTTTCACAACAAGAAGAAACTATCATTAAACACAAATAACTACGCTTAAGGGACTTCAAAGTTAACCGTCGCAAAATGTAATATATTGTAGTTTTTTTTTTTTCAACACTTTTAATCATATGAGTAGAAAATAAATTATGTGAGATTTATATAAGATTTAGTAGTAAGTGATATTTTTTTACTATTTTCTTTGTTACTAAAAATAAAAAAAATCATTGTACTCATTTGTCACATTAGGTTACTTTAGTTTTGTGGTTTAGCATCAATTAAAGTGTGAATGTAGGTAGCTGTTACATGGGCATGGGTCCCATTGGAGGAGGTTGTCAGCTCAAAGATGGAACAAGTGATGTTCAAGTATTTAAAACTCTACGCACCCAACAACAATGGAGGTTGTTCATCTACTACTTCCTTTTATCTTCCTCTTTTCTTTTTCAACAAAAAAATAAAATAAAATGACAGGGACATAACAAAAGTGGAACAATATTATTTTCTAAAGTACTACTATTATTTCTGTTTCTTCGTTTTCTAAAGTTGTCCACACATTTTATTTAGTAGATAAAAAAACCTAAAAATAAGTTTTTATATACAAATTGTTAAATGGAACTTTAGTTTTAGTTAATAAAAACTAAATTTATACGTGTCAGATTCAAAATTAGCCCTTGAGATGATTCAACAGTGAACAGCATCAACTCATCCTCATGTCCCCTTGACGAAAAATATAAGGTATGCAAAATTGGAACATTATCTTCTGATAACATGAAATTTTGTAACAATTCAATTACGTGGCAGCAACTACAGCTTCATCAGTTGATTGGTAGAACCAATAATTCAGTCTATAATGCTTGCCGACATGGTCTTTCACGACAAGATGCTGCTTCCACATGAATTTTTGGTTATGTAATACTCTTTGTTATAAACAAATAAATTAAAATTACTGCAAAAATTTTGTTCTTTTAATTTAAAAAGGAATTTACGATTTTGATCACACACCTTGCGGTTGAAGCCGAATTTATTACAAACAGTACCCTATCTTGGTAGTTGGTAATCAATGCCCTCATCATCTCATCGTGGTTAATTCAGGGATTTTACTGTATTCAATTCAATGTTTTATATCTTAAAAAATAAAAATATTTTTTATGGATTAACATTTTGTTCCCTTCAATAATTTTATTAACATTTTTAATATGTTAAATGGTTTTGCTAAATTATTCTAAAAAATTACTTATCTTAAGAATATAAAAAAATATTTTAATTGTAAAAAGTATTTATATATGTAAAATTTATCTTCTTTTTTTTTTAATGAAACCCTTCTACTTTTGTTTCTTAATATTAATTTTGTCTTTTTTTTTTTTACTTTAAACATCAAAGCCATAACTTTCTTAACATCATCAATTGATGTCATGTATACTTTCGTTTCATACAATAGATATATAAGTTCAACTTTATCTTTCCGTATTAAATTTTATAAAATTTCAGTTATTTGATATTTTTATTAAAAGATACAAACAAAACTTTAATGCTTCTGTGATGTGAATTTTTTTCAGACAACTTTGAAAAAAATAAATAATTGAAATTAGTTTTTTCTTTCTTTTTTCATGAATTATTAACCAACGTCTCTTCAGTATAGCTAATAAATAACTATAAGAAAATAAAATATTATCAATTATTATTTATTATATTTGTATATTAATTCTTTAATCTTATGCTTTGATAAAGATTTTTTTTTATCTTAAGATCTTACCAAAGGACACAAAGTATTGGTTAAAAAAGCTTTAGAAATCATATTAGAGCACATATATAAAAATTATAATTTTACCACTTAGTTATTATTATTTTACAATTTTTACTATTTAAGTTTTTTCCTCGCACATTTTACCTTTTATATATTATTTTTATACATTTTACTTATATATTAAATATGTAACAAAATTTGAACATGTTTTTATAAAACGACTTTATTTTATCACATTTTTTTTGGTAAAATAACGTCATTGTATCTGACCTGATGAATGGGTAAAAATTGAAATCCATAATAATAAAATGTTAAAAATTTGGATGATAAAATATAAAAGAAAATTAAAATTTCATAATAAAATTGAAAATATTGGATAGTAAAATTCTTAAGTTGATAATAATTGAGTGATGAAATATATAAATTGAATAAAAATTATAAAAAGTAAATGTTCTTGTATATCAATAAATAAAATAAAATAAAAAAACTTTGTAACCATAGTATTAAACAAGAACACTAATTAGAATTTGTTTTTATTTTGATGTCATTAATTGAGAAATGTTAATTACATATTATTAAATGTTATAATCACTCTCTTGTTCCCATTATTTTATCACTTTAAGAATTTTAATTTATTTTTAAAATTTTGAAATTAATTATTTTTATTAATATTGTTACTTATTTATTTCAATAATTTAACTTGTCTAAATATTTAATTAGTTTCTAATTATATTATAACTCTTTTAATAACATACTTGAGTTAAAAAATTTATTATGATAATATATATAATTAATATTAACTATACTTAATGAAAATTGAGTGTTATGTACTAATTTTGCTAGTAGTGAGAAATATTATTTTTCTAGTAGAGACTATTTCCCTTTTCTATGTTTATTGTTTTTATTTATAAACTTATTTCCCTTAATATAAATATAAAAAATACATTAAAATTAAATTTTGACTGATTTATTAATATATTTAAAATGGTTAAATTAAATTTGTTAATTTGAGTTAGTATTAGGTAGAATTACATATGGATTAATTAAATTCGTTGAGCTAAAGATGAAAATGGTTTAGTCCAGCCTAATTTAAATTTTCTACAAATCATTGGACTTGTCCTGTTTGCTAGTAGTCTATTTACTTTTAACCTATATTTATATAAATTTTAAAAATAATATAAATTCATTAATATATATATATATATATATATATATATATATATATATATATATATATATATATAAAACAGGTTCGATGTTTTTGAACTATGATTTTAATGCCTATCATATGTGTAAATTAATTTGATAGATTAAAGTTTTTGAAGTTGAAGTTAGCTTAGTGGACTATTAGCTAATCTATCACGTTGGACCATTTTTAACAACTCTAATAAAAAAATGTAAATAATTTTTTTTATGGATTAACCTATCATTTTTAATCCAATTATTAACCCTTTATCTCATCTATCCAACTTTAAGAAAAACAATGGATAATGTTAATTTGATTTTCTAAAATATATGAAATTTTCAATTTATTCTTAAATTTTAGATAAATTAAATTAAAATTCTTGAAAGCAAATTCAATATTTTATAATCATTTTTCTTTCTAATAAAGTATTTACATGCTATCGTTAATGTACAATTTAGTATTTTATGTTACAATAAAATATAATTCAGCTCTTATATATATATATATATATATATATATATATATATATATATATATATATATATATATATATATTAAATTAGGAATATGTTTGAAATAAAATGAGTATAGAACATTATTTTTTTAGAAATTATTTTAAAAGATTCATAAACCTTTCTACCATCATAAAATGGTAAAGCAATCCAAACCAACCTATTTTTAGAAAATTAAGTGCATGGTACATAAAACAACAGTTTAGCATATGTACTATATTCCTCTCACAGGTTGATGGATTTAATTTGGGTTGGCTTAGTAATGAAACTAGAAAGAGAGAGACTAGAGAAGCAGGGAGATAACATATTCAACCACACACATATACGGGAGTAAAACAATAATACCTCTATCGCATTCACGGTGGAGTTCAGTAAAGTTGGTAGTGCTCTGGTTCCATTAAATGCATCTCCTTCCACAAACAAATCTTCAAAGCGTACTTCAACTTGTGGAATCTCTATAGCCACCCTAATCAACACAACAAATTTAACATCAAACTTCACAATCAAATAACTCAACAAATTCTGATATCCATGACTCCTACCAAATCCATAAAAATGAATAAACAAACGATTGCTTTATGCTGTCGGTGACATGATGAACACAAGATATTGTGATGTATGATAGGATGTGTAGGAATTAAGAGAATAATAGTGAAGAAAATAAAGGAAAACCTAACCTGTCAATCCTCTCCCTCATGCTACGGAGAAACCTCTCATTGTCTTGTTCAACAGTGCTCAGAATGGCATGAAGGAGTTTGCTCTTGTCCTGAAAACCAAGGTTGGATAAATCAACCTCTTCATAGTTGAACCTTCCACTCTCTTCTAAGACCCTTCTCACTATGCTTTTCCTTAACCTTTCAAACGTTGGAAGCCTCTCTATGGCTGCCCACTTGAGCTCCTCTTCATCATCACCATCAACAGCTCTCGTGCTCCTCTCAAAGACATCACCACCATGTCCAGCACCCCACACCTCAGAAACACCTGCTGAAACCCAACTCCTCCTGCTCATAGATCCTATGCTCATCCTCAAGCTGCTTGCTGACCTCACCACCTCATCTGTATCCACCCCTTCCTCCATCCCTGTGTGCTCTGAATGATAGATACAGTGGAAGTGATAGCTCTTGGGCCTAGGAAAACAAAATAATGGGAAATTTTGTGAAACCCCAAATCATTTATTTCTGAGAAAAAGTTTTAAGGGTTCCACTGGATTGCTTCAAACCAACCGTTTTGATGGCTCAGTTGCTACGAATGACTCCCCTCAAGTTACATCAACTTTTTTTATTTTTTTTATTTGTAATTCTTTTCCAAATAATGAAGTAGTGTCTGGGTCCTTCTTTTATTTTTTTATTTTTTATTTTTTTCACTTTGTAGAAGGAAGTTTCCTTTCTAAATCTATTTTATTTTTAATTTATTCTTATTTTCAAATAAAATATTGTTTCTTTTATATATATATATATATATATATATATATATATTCGTTTATTACAAATAAAACCAAAAATATGTTTTCGACTCCATGTTTCTTGCTAATTAAATAAAAACTATTTCCTAGTTTTATTAAAATAATATTTTTATTTTAAAATAAAAATGACTATAATAAAATATAACCCTTATCTAATAATTTTTGCACACAGTTCCAAGAACAGAATGGGGATACAGGTGTATGTAACCGAGTATAGGAAGTTTTTTCAACGAAACTTCGTCACTTTGTCCATACAAAGCTAAAACAAGTGGTCCTGAAACATTAACAAATTATCTTTAACTAAAATGTGTTTAACAATTCTCATTTTCAGTTATAAAGAAATTAAAGTCAAGGGTTGAGATCTGATTCTGAACGCTACTGCCAGAGAAAGTCATTCGTTCAGGCTTGTTATTACTATGCGTAAATAAGATTTATAAGTCCAATCACGTGACACCAAAGTTATCTTCTTCAATTACACTTATCACATCACTTGAATTTTCAAATATCTCAATAAACAAATGCTTCTAAACGTGAATAAGAAATGAGTAATTAAGTTACAATTTTTTAATTTAGTTACTTGTTTGCTTAATGCTAACCTTGTGTTACGTGCATAAGAAATTATAGAAAAAAAAAACGATAACAATTAATTATACTGTAAACATCTTATAAAAATTACACTACAAATCACTCCTACTTAATTAATGATGTTAATGTCACAAGTTTACAATATACCATGTTTAAATGAAACTACAGTAATTAATTAAAACTTAATTTAAATAGTATTTTTATGAAGAGAAAAGGGAGTTAGAGAAACACAAATTAAATGAGAAATGGACACATCAGAATTAATCTAAATAGAATAATAGATGTGTTGTCCTCTGCATTCATTCTTTAGGAGTGTGAATATTCAAACTTTCTGTTTTTACCATTAATCATTCACCAACCTTTCTAGACTCCATTAATAAGACTACTACGTGTCCTATTTTTTCCATTTTAGTTATTTAGTTTTTCGATTTATAATACCAACAACTTCCCAATTCTTCTACAAAATTAATTAACAACAAATTATTAATTACTTTATTCAAAAGGTGGGGTTTAAAATGTTATATTTAATTTATATTTTGTTGAAATTATTTCTACTTAATCATGTTTTCAACTAGACATATATATAGAACAATACAATTATGCTGAAGTTCTAAACTCACGTACGTAACTCATTAAATACAAAGCATTTAATACTTTATATATCTTGATTGGATTTCAATTTCAAACTCAATACGAAATGAACTCCAACATGAAAATATCATCAAATGAATCTTGAAATCGATGTAGTTCAGTTTAATTCCATAAACTTTTTGACGCATATGTTGATATTAATCTCATCAATTAAAGGAAATTTGAGTATAACTCTTATTAAAGGAAATAATACATAAACTTTAATTATAATAATATATCTAAAAGCAATTTAAAAAAAATCTTGATAGTTAATATTGAATAATTTAAATCAAGCTCTCAATTTTAATATTTTTTATATAAAAAATCTTTCGTATAAACAGTAAAATTAACTCACGCGTTGACTAACAATTTATCTTCATAGTAACGCATTTATATTTATTTTAATTTATCTCATGTGACTGTGTGCATTAATTTGGCAGCAGGTCCTGAATATAATGTCAAAGTGTATTAATGTAGGGTGTTATGCAGCGAATAAAGAAAAGCATAAAAGTCATGGACTACTGTTGAATTAGGTTAACGTCAAAATTGTTCAAACTACATTTAATTTCGACTAAACCTAACGCTATAAATGTATTCTTATTAACAATGGACAAAATCGTTTATTTTTAAAAGTAAAAATCAAATTAAAATTTATTTTTGTTAAATAAATTAAAATTCTATTTTATTACATTCAACTATGATGAAAATATACTATTTTCTTGCAATTATAATATAAAAAATTTATAAATTATTCAAATGAACTATATGAATTATTTAATAATTTAATATAGTACGGTCTTATTTAAATTTATAATATTAAAATTTACTAGTATGGGGATAGCTATATTAATAACTAAATAAAATCTGATTAATTAAATTTAAGTAATAATATAAATAAATCTCAATCTTATAAATGCATGTGTTTTGATTTTGTAAAAAAATTTAATAAACACTGCTTTGAGTTTATAAAATTTAAAATTGATAAATAGTATTATTTTAAAGGTTTAACTTTTTTTATAGAAATAGTATATATTGATATTGTAGCATAAACATGGAATGCTGCTTACTTTACCTTCTTAAAACATAAGCTAACAGTTATCATGCTATAAAAGAGACAAAATCAAAACTTCAAACTTTTTGAGAGATGATATATATATATATATATATATATATATATATAACACAAGAAACAACAATTGTTAATTTTATGAAATCCAAAAATATGTTTGAGTTATGTTCAAACAGATCATATAAAATATGTTTGGAATAAATTTTATTGATGAAATTCATGTAAATTATCAGAGTTAATTTTAATAATATTTAAAGATAAATTTTTTAAATGAAAAATGTAATAAAAAAATCTTATTTAAAACAATAGATAAAATATTGGATCAACCAAAAATATAATAATATTGTAATATATAACTAAATATAATATTACTTTATAATATTAAATATAATTCTCATTTTATCTTAAATATATGTTTAATACTTATAATAAAAATAAATATCAATCGAATTTAAAAATTAAATATTTTATAAGTTTTAATATTTATAATAAAAATAAACATCAGTGGAACATCAAAGAAAGTACAAAACTTAAATATATGATAATGAAACATTAAATATTAACCATCTGAGAATACTATAAAATAATAAAAATATTCTATCCACAGTCCAAACCAGTCGAGTAGATCTGTGTTCATTTCGGTATCGTTTTCAATAAACGTTTCCATCTTTATCATTTGTATCATAGATAATGACAGAAATAAAGAGTGATAAATATGAAATAAATAAAAATTGATTAATTAAACATAAATATATGAAAAATATGTCGTGGGTTTCTCTTTTATTCTGCGAACATTTTTTTTCATTTTATTCTCTAACAAATAAAATATTAATATTTCATATTTTCCACATTTATTTCATTTAAAAAAATAAATTTTTATTCTTTAATGAATATTATAAGAGCATCAATTAATTAATTTATTTTATTATCGATTAATATTTATCAAAGATATAAATTTACGAAAGAATGATAAATAATAAGATGTGAGAATCATTTTCTTTTTATAATTTTAATAAATTTTAACAAAAAAAATGCTGTTATTATATTTATTGAATTTAATTTTTAGTACAACTAAAACATATATTTTATTACTATAATCAAATAGTTTCTATGGAAGGATATGTGTAAAGAAAGATTTTACATGAGTTATTTAATTATAAAAATATATTTATGAGTTGTTTATTGATGTATATTAAAATAGTATTTTTATTTGTAAATAAGTTTTCTAAATAGGTCTTAAAGATGTTATAAGATATTAAAGTGTTATAGTACCTAGTGTACCTCGTGGCCATATAATAACTACGAATTACATAGTTTAGATGAAAGCAGACTCTGTCACCGAAGCAGTGGGTTGGGGTTGGAATGTCATTTGTCACAGTTGGTTTCATTATTTGGTCCGTTGTTTACATGCAGCCAAAAATAATTGTACGCACTTACATGTATTTGTTGTGGTTGTGCAGAACACTGAGAAATGAAAATGTATTTAATATATTTTAATTAGACTAAATTATGTGAACCATTGCTTCATTTAGATATGCATCCACTCTAATTATACACATTATTGTGATTATTGATATATAATTTAATGGATTATGTATTTATTAGAAAAAAAATTGAGTTTAACAGTTGACAGAACCAGACTATTTATGTTGATAAAATGGTAATAAAAAAAAAGATTTTTTCTCATATTTAGAATGAATAAAAGAAGTTGTGTAAAACATAAGTCATGAAGTCATGAATTAATCAAGCAAGCACGTTGGCCACAAACACCAAACCAGAATCACATCACCAATTGCAATGCCCCGCAAAACCACAAAACATAAACAGTACAATCTTGGCTGAATGTGCAATAAAAGGAATGAACCAATTGCGAGAAATAACATTTAAACTCAGCCCATAACTTGTCTAACAAAATTTGGCCTCTAAGACATATATTTGAGTTTAACAGTTTCATTTAATTATTTTCACTCTTTATGTTTTCTTCCTTCACTAATCAAAAGGGTTATTGTAATGTCTTTTTCCTCCACGAATCAAAGCGTTAGCATGACTTATGTGTTCAATAGTAACGTATGATCCGAAGAAACCCTTTTTTTTTTTTTTAAATAATGGGTTGTCAACTAACATTTTTCTATTTTCTTTTAGTGACATGGAAACTGTGATATATTGAAACTTAATAATGTCCAATTCATCCCTTAGCAAAGAGGGTTGATGGTGCTTCTAAGAAGTTGTTGGAAATTTCGGAGGAATGGATTGATTGGGTTGTATGGTGAGTGGGGAAGGATCATATTGCACCATGCACGGTGGTAAATGCTTAATATGTAAGTCTGAAAGTTATACCAAAAACTCTCTACTTTGTTTGGAGACTAGACTTGAATAGAATTGCAACCAAGGACAAGTTCGTACCCTAAAGAATGCAGTTGGGGAGACGACAACGATGGTGGCAGTGATGATGACAACAGCAACATTGGCTCAGGTATGTGGCAAGGGAGAAGAAGCAAGAGAGATCTGTGCTGGGCTGTTTTTATTTTTGAGGGGTTGGGCTGCCAATCTAACTTTTTTATTTTTTATTTCCTAGTGGGCTGGGCCTCTTATAAACCCAATAAACAACAAAACATCATACTAAAAGTAGAAACCCTAGGTTAATCTCAGGTCGGTCGCGCAAATCCAACACATCTTCTTCACCATGTAGCTGCAAAATATGATTGCAAACTTGAAAAGTTATACCGTGTGTTTAAGTTTTTAGGGCAACAAGAAATTACCATTAACAAACCGACTTTTAGGTTTAAACACTTATGATTAATGTGACAGTATACTACACTTTTCACGATGATATATACTACAAAGAAAATATTTAAAAACCCTCCATTACCATAAGTCCAAAACATGCATCTTCAAACAAGAGGATGGAAAAGTTACCTGAAAAACCCTAAGCAGTGGTCTACGTTTTTGTTTCCGTTTTCTCATCCAATAGACACAGCTGTCACTAGGTCATTGGAAACCAAGATCCTGAGGAGACCGATTAGCCGCAGATTTTGCATCAGAACAAACTCCTGGGTAGAAATAAAAAGCCTTTACCAAAGCATCGAACAATCAAGTCAAAATTCTCCTCAGAAACTTGTTGAGACTCATTATTGAACTTCGTTAACCAATTTCATCTTCCGAATCCAAGTCATATACTTTGATTTATTCTTGTCATGCCCTATATTAAAGTCATCATCACTATTTACGTGACCTGCCAAACGGAGCGAACCGAGCGTCTGCATAGTCATACACATGACGAACACCAGGCACAGATTATTATTGGGAGCACAAGTTGGGAACATCGCAAGGGTATTATAAACAACAATTACAAAACATGACCCCTACACTAAAAATATGTGTGCAACTGCAACCACGACCTCGATTGCCACTTGATGAATACCACCAATTGTGATGGATGGACTTTCAAAGGGAAAACAGAATGAATAAAACACTTCGAGATCTAATAACAAAGAGATAGTGAATTGCAAAGATTTTTTTTTTTGTTGAGAGAATGAGGAACGGGATATATTTATAATTTATAGGAAATGAGTATCGTAGTATAATAATTATTAATATTTTATGTGAATTTTTATTTGAATTTTACACAAAATATTTCGTATATAGATTTTAAAAAAAAATTGGTAAAGTTTCATAAGAAAAATTGTTGAGAAAATCTTACCAAATCTGAAAACTTATAATGGTCACGTATATAATTTTTATTTTAATATTGTTTGACTAGAGTGGAAATGAAATTAAAATTTTAATAAATAAATAATAAAATAAGACTAAGAATTAATGACTATATAAGACAATATTTGAATTTATATGTCTCTTTTATCCATTAATAATTAATGTATCTCACTTTTAATTAAATTTATAAACCCTTTCTAGTCAAATTTCTTTATAGTCAATGCTTGTGAGAATTGAGTCCTTAATTCATGGTAAGTAATTAGTATTTAGGGAGAGAAAAAGATAAACCACTATTTAGTTAATTAATAGAGGTTTATTTTTAAAAGTTTTATAAACCGTCACAAAATTATTGACAAATATTTTAAACTGCTATAATTTTTTAATTTAAAAGTTGATATAATAGTTCACTGATTACAGTTAATTTAGTTTTTTTAATTTAAAAATTAGTAACAATACATTAAATTTAATTTAAACTAAATTTATTATCTTTTAAAATCATTTAAACATATAAATCTCCAAAACATTTACACTTTTTTACAATTACATCCAATTAAATTTTTCATTTCTTGTATTACTGTTTATTATTGAAGCCTACAAATCTTCTATTTCCATCTCACCATGAAAAGTAATTTCTCTGATTCTTTCTTCTTTCATAGTATTCACTCTCTTAGGTTTCATTTTCCCTATTTTCACTCTATTTTCGTTTCACCCTTTTACTAGGGTTCATCAAGCTCTAGAATCTATTGGTGTATCAATGCATTTCTATTTTCATTTCTTGTGTTAACTCTAGAATTTACTGATACTCGTGCTCCAAATTTGGTATGACGGACAAGTTTCTTTTCACAAAATGTTTATCACATCAGTTAGGGTTTAGGTTTAGGTTGAATAGAGATAATGTTTTTCTTTCTATTGATTTGGGGTTTGGGTTATAATTTTTATTTATGAATCGCTTGATATAATTTCTTAGTACGATTTTGAATCCAATTCTTAAAAACAAGAAGGAAGGCTTCAGGTGAACCAAAGTCCCACGACTAGTATGTATTATCATGTCAGTAGTTATGCATGCGAGATAGAGTACTCCTTTTTTTCAGTGTATACTACTAGAAAAAAATATTTATATATCTTCTTCAGTGTTGTCAATTTTAGAGTAATCCTTAAATAGAAATAACAGTAATTAATAAGGTCTTTGTCAAAATAAATATGATTGCAAATTTTGAAACATGGCGTTGTAGATAAATTTCCTTTAAAATTATATAGCCCCATTTATATGTAGGAACAATCATTATTATTAGAGAAAAGAGATGTATGTGATTATCAACTATGAATTCTTCGTCCTCATACCGAAGGAATAGGAATAGTGAAGAAGACAGTATTATTTTATCTGATAACCATCTTTCGTCAGTTTAACAGAACTTCTGCATAAAGAAAGAAATGAACTCAAAATTTTGGTTATATAAAATTTTAAGTTCAATTTAACTTTGTAATGTATGATTCTGCGTGCTTAAATTTTTCAGTTATATTATATATCTCTTTTTTTCTCCTCATCCAAATTATTATAAAAAAAGGAATTTATCTTTTGTCTTAACCTCTCTCTGAGTTCCTCTTCAGTTCTATTCCTTGGTACCTGCATCTTGCATGCTGCTGATGAAGAACATGTAAGAAAGTCACCCTATAAACATGTGAAATTATACTCGTTCTATGCATGTGCCTTCTTTTTTGTTTGAGTTGTGATTTTTTTTTTTTTGTGTTGTTAGAAAAAGAATTATTATTTGTAAAATATTTTCATGTCCAATTTATGACAAAATAACCAACACCATAATTAATAATGGTCAAAGTAACTAAATCACTTATGTTGTTACTTGTTCCTACATTAAAAATGTTCTTTTTATCAAGAATATTCTAGTAATTTTCTCCTTTTTTTTTTTAATTTCAATGATAAGAAATTCATACACCTATTAGTTTTTATTATATTTTGTTTAATATATTTCTGTTTGAAGTTTCTCCTTCACCTTTTACATGATTTTTCCAGCTTGACAAATTACTCCCCCTTCACGTACACACTTATTACCATTGTAATTGAGGAATAATTGTATTGGAAGATTAAGTCCTCTTTAACTATTACTCTTTTTCTTACCATCAATTTGCTTTTCTTTGTCAATAATATTATAGTTAAACACGTCATTTTCAATTGATCATGTTGATTGCATTTTTTATTTTTTTTATTTGTGATTGGGTGCTCTTTATCCCACCGTGCTAATTCATTTACTAAGAAAGTAATTGTACCCATAAGTTGTAATTGTAATTTTAAGTTGTAATTGTAATTTAATTTCTACTATAGTGTGGATTGACTTTCTAATAAGATTTAAGTGATGGTTCAAGTTGTAATTTTTTATTGATTTATTGAACATATTATTTAATATTGTTAAAAAACTTGCAAATATTAATATTATCAAACAATTATATTTATTTTATTTACATGAGAAAATAATATAATAAATAAGTCAAAGTGTGAATTTAATAGTAATTTCAATTAAAAATTACCTTACTAAATTGGGAAAGGATAATCTAGATATGTATGTTGTCTAGGATTAGAAGATCTCCATGGTATTACATTTCAATCTATCTTAAGATTTAGTAATATAGGGTGTAATTTTTCAGATGATTCTGATTTGATTGGAAGCTCTTAATTAAAAGAAAAAGTTATTTATTTAAGAGAAAAATTAACAAAATTTAAAGAAAATGTTAAAACGTTAAAAGGCGTTAGGCTTGCGTATATTCAAGAAAAACACATTCATCATGAGGTGAGCATCATGTTTGGTAATACAAGTAGTATAGTTGTAAGTATTTTATAGTTTATTTTAAATAAATTATATTATTTAATACTTATATGAAGTTCAATATTTTTTATATAATTTTTAATTATACTTACATGGTATGATGTTTATATTACAGGATGAAGAGATTGAATAAGATATATCGTCATCACAAAGAGAATCTTTATTAGATATTAATTTTTTTAAAATTTGATATTATACAGAAGTATTTCATATTTTGTGTTAAATAAAATTATATTATTATTGATATGATGTTTAATATCTTGTATATAATTTTTAATTATGCTAAAATGAATGGATTTTAATTTTACAGTATGAAAAGAGTGGAAAAAATATGTCAACCTTAGGATCTATATTTATTTTATAGTAATTTTCATAAAATTACACATTTTATTTTGTTAGGTACAAGGTATTATGTTTTACATATGAAATTTGTAGATCTAGTTACATTATATCTTGTTAAATATACTTTATTAATAAATAATATGTGATAAATTTTATTAAATTTTTAAGATGAGATTTTGTTCTACCTTAACTTATATTAAATTATATTTAACTAACCAATTTGTCAAATTGAATTATATTTAAAAATTACATATTTAATCACTTTTAAGAAAAAAACAAACTAATATTTTGTATATTATTAAAACAAATAAAAAGTATATTATATATATCAAGTTCTTTAATAAAAATAATTTAGCTCTAAGTTATTAATATATTATATATTTAGATTATAAAGTTTATTATAATGATAACATTATTATTACAATTATCATAATATTTTAAAATAATTCTAAATAAAAATAGGTATTTTAATTATTAATTATAAAATTATTAAAAATTAACTAATAAATAACAATTAAATTTTGGGTTCATTAATAAAATAATTAAAAAATAGTAATTAAATCATTTTTAGTAATTTCTTAAATCTTCAATAAGTTTTAAATAATTATAAAATATTTTATATTTTGTAGCCATTTTTAATGGTTAAAATATAAAAAATAATCATAAAATAAAAGTGAAATTTATAACAATTTTAAAATGTAACAAAATATTGAATTAAAATAAAATAAGAATATATTTTGTCACGGTTTTTAATTGTTAGAATTTTTTTAAGCATAAATACCAATATTTAACTTTTTCTTTACATTATTTTTGACATATATAAATATGATGATTTTAATTATTATAAATTTTGATTGTAACAATTTTTAAATGACCTTCTTTTAGTGAATCTTTACAAAAGTTTAAATTTTAATTGTTTAGGAAAATATTTATATGTTTATTTTTGAAATCATTATAAAAATATTACTTTTTTTAATATTTATACATAGATTAAAATATTTATTATTTATTGATAATATTTTTTTTTATATAAACATATTGAAAATAAAAGATTTTCCTTGTAAGAGGCTTTATTTATGGAAATAATACCATTTCATAATAGAATGTAGACTCTAGCTTAAATATTTCGAGATGATCCAACGCAATATCTATCGCAAACTTACGTCTTTAATAACTGGGTCGGACACTAAAATATGCTGATCAATACATCTACGTTAATATATGGCATGTGGATATTGTGAACATAGAACAGGTAAAAGATGCTTCTGTATTTTGTAATCTCAAAACTGTGTTGATTCTTTCAGAAGAGAATTACATTATTAAATAGATTTTGCAAACGAGAAAACTATTTTCCCACTCTGCCGCAGCTCATGGGCTGTTATCCTAAAAATAGGGAAGCTACAATTTAGCTCCCTCAATCCCTAAAGAATAGGTCCGCATAAGACCATTTAATTATTTAAACACAGAATTAAATAATCCAGCAACATAAATCTGCAAATAAAAGATAAATCTACTAACAATCCCTCCCTTAAACTAAAGATTTAGAAGCTTTAGTTTACTTCTGATATTTCAATCATGCCCAACATTCTCCTGATCTTCTCAAATTGCTCCAGCTTGAGTGGCTTAGTCATTATGTCAGCTATTTGATTTTGGGTGCTTGCAGTGGCTCAACTTGATTTTTCCTTCTTTGACAATCTCTCTTAAGAAATGAAATCTAACATCAATATGTTTACTTCGCCATGAAAAACTGGATTTTCAGATAATTTAATAGCTGAATTACTGTCACACAGAATTAGGATATGTTTTTGTTCTTTGAATCCAATGGTCTCCAAAATTCTCATGATCCAAATGTATTGACATGCACATGAAGTTGCAGCTATATATTCTGACTCCGTAGTAGATAACGTCACTATTGGCTGTTTCTTGGAAGACCATGAAACTGCACCAGTCCTTAAGGAGAATACGAATCCTGATGTGCTCTTCCTATCGTCTATATCTCCTGCATAATCGCTGTCTGTATAAGCCACTATTTTTATATCTTCTCCTTTCTTGTAGTATATTCCAAGCTCGGTAGTTCCCTTTAGATATCGTAGGATTCGTTTGATGGCATTCCAATGAGTCTCCGAAGGGTTAGCCATGAATCTGCTAATTAAACTCACCACATACATCGAGTCAGTCCAGTTGCGATCGGATACATAAGACTTCCAACCGCTTGTTTGAAGAGCGTGGCATTTGCCTTAATTCTCGTATCGGTTTTGGATAATTTGGTTCCCGGAACTATTGGATTCTTTATCGCATTGCACTCCATCATATTGAACCGAGCCAATACTTCCCGGCATATTTTCGTTGACATATGAAAATACCATGTGTACTCCGCAAAACTTCAATTCCCGTGAAAATACCTCATCTTCCCCAAGTCAGTCATGTCAAACACCGACATCATGGAGTCCTTAAACTCATTACACATGCCACTATCATTTCCAGTGTAAATTAAATCATCTACATATAGGCTTACAATAATAATTTTACCTTCCTTTGTCGACTTTGTGAACAAAGTATGTTCACAAAAACATCTTTCAAAGCCATTATGTAAGAAATATGCTTCTATTTTGTTGTACCATGCTCTGGGTGCTTGTTTGAGTCCATAGAGTGCCTTCTTCAACTTGTACACCTTTTCTTCTTGCCCCCTTTTTGTGAATCCAGCTGGTTGTTGAACATATATTTCCTCCTGCAGTTCTCCATGGAGGAATGCGCTTTTCACATCAAGTTGGAAAATGAACCAACCATTCCAGTGCGACCATAGATAGAATTATGCGAATAGTGTCTAATTTGGCAACTGGTGCAAACACTTCGTGTAATCCACTCCATAGTGTTGTGCATAGCCTTTTGCTACTAATCTTGCTTTAAATTTGTCAATCTCACCGTTCTCCTTGAGCTTGGTTTTGTAAATCCACTTCACTCCAATCGGCTTCACTTCTTTGGGAGCATGAGTTAATTCCCAAGTTTGATTTTTCTCTATAGCCTCCATTTCTTTCACCATTGCTTCTCGCCATTTCTTGTGCTTAACCGCCTCTTCAAAGGTTACTCGGATCAGTTTCGTTACTAGCATAGCATTAGTATTGTTGGTATCATATATACTTTCCCCTTCTTCATAATCTGCCATCCATATAGGTTTTCTCCTATTTCTTCTCGCCCTCCCTTCGAGTTGGGACTTCATATGTTTGAGTGTGAGATTCATTTCGATAGTTTCTCCTACAGGTTGTAATTCGGTTGTCTGCTGCTCGGTGTTTAATTCGGATTGTGTATCACTTGTCATCTTCTTCGTTTTCGACAATTTCTTGGTGATTTTTTGCTTCACTTAGTTCCCAACTCCAGCTTTTATTTTCTTCAAATATAACATCCTTGCTGATTATAATTTTCTTGTTGACTGGATCAAAAAGTCTGTATGCTTTGGATTCATCACTGACTCCAAATAGAACACACGGTCTGCTCTTGTCATCAAGTTTAATCCGCTGCTGATCTGGTGTGTGGACATGAGCTAGACAGCCAAACACACGAAAATAATAGACAGCTGGTTTTATTCCACTCCATGCTTCCTCCGGGGTTTTATCTTGGACAGCGAGATGTAGGACTTCTATTCAGAATGTGTGCGCACCATTTTGTTGCTTCGGCCAAAAGATTTTTGGAACTCGTCTTCCAATCAAGCATAGAACGAACCATATTCATAATGGTTCTATTCTTTCTCTCGACGACTTCGTTCGCTGCGGAGTATAGGCAGCAGATCAATTGCCTTCTTATTCCTTGATTTCTGCAGAAATCTTCAAATTCTTTTGAAGAAAATTCTCCTCCTCTATCGGTTCTTAAACGAGATAATGCTTTCTTCAACTTCCTTTTCAACTAATGCCTTGAAGCTTTTGAACAAAGAAAACGTTTCGGATTTCTCACTTAAGAAATATATCCAAGTTTTTCTTGATAGATCATCAATAAAACTTAGAGAATATCTCTTATTGCTGCTTGATGTTGGTTTGATTGGTCCGCATAAATCTGCATGAACTAGGCTGCAAAATTTTGGATGCTCTCCATACACCTTTCCTTGACATAGTGTTCCTATGTCTGTTTTCCGCCGGACATTGTGTGCGAGAGATTTTGAGGGTCGTAATCTGAGGCAAACCTGTCACCATTTGTTTAGAGGCAAGGGTTTTAAGCCATCATAGCTTAGGTGTCCGAACCTGTCATGCCAGAGCTGAGAGTTGTTTTCTGCATCCATCTGAAGACATGTTGCTGGTTTCATGGTTGCTGTCAGCACAAACATCCTGCTAGCATTCATTTGAACTTGACAGATTACTCCTTTCTCGGGGTGCATTATAGTGCACGTATTATTCTGAATTTTAATACTCAATCCTTTTTCCTGAAGCCGTCCTATGCTCAATAGATTATTTTTCGGTTCGGGAACATAGTACACATGTGTGATAATATGTGTCAATCCATTCACCTTCATCCGGATGTTTCCTTTCCCCATTACAGCTATATGAGTATCATTTCCCAGCTTTACTTTGCCTCTAAAATTCTCATCTAATTCTGAAAACCATCCCTTGTTACCACTCATGTGGTTGCTGCATCCTGAGTCTAAGAACCACTCATTCTTCTTTCCTTCTTTGTTTTTTGCAAGAGCCATTAGTAATATCTCCTCCTCGTGTTCTTCCTCCATTTCTGCATAGTTTACTTTCTTCTCCCACATAGGGCATTCATATTGAAAATGTCCAAGTTTATGGCATTTGAAACACTCAACTTCATTCTTGTTGAATGTTTGTTGTCCCCTTCCTCTGCCTCGAAAAGCTCCTCTTGTTCTCCCTCTTCCTCTTCCTCTTCCATTCTTCTCATCAAATACTGTTTGCATAACTTGCTCTTCTTCCACTGAACATGTCATTCGCTGCTCATGCACCAACAAGCTACTTTGTAATTCATCTATAGTCATGGTGTTCATGTTGTTGGATTCCTCAATTGAGCAAACCACATAGTTGAATTTCATAGTCATAGACCGCAAGATTTTTGCGAGTGATGACACTTTCTTCCATACTTTCTCCCACTTGCTTTCATACTTTTGGCTATCTTTAGAGTGCGGCCAAAATATGAGTTTACCGATTCTCCTTCCTTCATTTGCGGTGTCTCGAATTCCTTTCGTAAGGCCCGTAATTGCGCACGTTTCACCCTTGTGGAGCCTTGAAATTTTTGCTTCATAGACTCCCATATGTTCTTGGACGTATCATCGTTTAGTATTGTGTCCAAAATCTCTCTATCTATCGCTTGATAGAGATAATTCTTGATTTTCAAATCTTTCAGCTGTTGTTCCTCCAATCGTTTGAGCTCTGCTTCTGATGCAGTTGCTTTGTCTCAGACAATATCGATGTCGTGCTCCACCAAGTTCCAATACTCCTTGGAACGCAAGAAATTCTCCATTAATTTGGCCCAATGGTCATAGTGACCATCAAATTTGGGAATGGCAGGTTGAACATACTTGCTTGTGTCTGCCATTTCTAATAACACTCACTGTTTTCCCAAACCTCACTAGTGTATCACTCTTCCCAACCTAGTTCAGAAAGCAAAGCTCACTGGTTTCTCTCTTTCTTACTCATGAGTAAGCTTTTTGATTCAGGCCCCTGTGTAGGAGCTCTGATACCAAATTGTGAACACAGAATAGGTAAAAGATGCTTCTGTATTTTGTAATCTCAAAACTGTGTTGATTCTTTCAGAAGAGAATTACATTATTAAATAGACTTTGCAAACGAGAAAACTGTTTTCCCACTCTGCCGCAGCTCATGGGCTGTTATCCTAAAAATAGGGAAGCTACAATTTAGCTCCCTCAATCCCTAAAGAATAGGTCCGCATAAGACCATTTAATTATTTAAACACAGAATTAAATAATCCAGCAACATAAATCTACAAATAAAAGATAAATCTACTAACAGATATGAATCTTCATCTTTAAGTTGACCATCCATGCTATTTAGAATTGCACTGTGTGCCTTACTTTTAAGGACACTCATCCAATCTTTATGTTCCTTAATTAGGTATATGCTTACCTGAAAACAGATCTCAAAGATATTACAGAATGCAGATGCAGAAAACTAAGAGGAATGACAGAAAAATCGACACAGAAGATGGGCATGGAAAAAATTGGCAAACCCCGACACTGTGAGATTCAATGACAGATATTTAAAAAAAAAAAAAAAATTTCTGAAAAACCCACATTTTATTTAGAAAAGGGGGAGGATTTTCCTAAAATTTATTGAATTTAGGTTTTGACCCAACTAGCTTCATTAAGTGGTTATTAAACTATGCTTTGATGGTAACCTAAATTTAATGTTTTCAAGGGATTTATAGAAATTAATGCATGAACATATATGACTCTAAAATGTTTTGTTTGCGGTCAAACCATGATGATGCATAAAAGTATTACGTTTATGTACTTGCCAGAATTATGCGTTTCAATGTATTATTAAAATCAAAACCTCCATTTTACCTATTTGCTTCTAGAAAATCATAATAGAATTTAGCAAAAAAATTTAAATATGTGTTATTTAAGATTGTGCGATACAAATTAAAATAAATATTAATAATTTTTAATAAATTTTTAATCTTTCTTTATTATTTTTTTTTTAATGTTCTTCTTATCCAAAATCACTTACAATAATTTATTATCTTCTCTCTTTATAATAAATATAATTAAAAAATATAAATAAGTGTATAATTATAAAAGAATAATGAATATATTCTTAATTTTATAAACTATAGATATTTAGAATTTGTAACACTTTGTTAAAAAGAGAGGAGTATTAAAAACACAGTTATTCAATTATTTGACCTAATTCATTAATAATTAAAAATTAATGATTAAGTGATAATAAGAAATTATGCATTTATTACACATACTTTTACGAGAGAAATCATAATTATGTTAAATTAAACTTTAGAATATTTTTACAAAGTTTTTTTTTTAATAAGGCAAGCATCGATTTTTTTAATGACTTGGTCTCAATGATAAGGTGACTTGGGTTGAAGTTAATATGTGAAAATTGACCAAGCCAAAATATTGTTTTTGTTTTCGTTTCAAATCTTTCTGATGCGCTCATGTGGGCAAAATCTTGTTATTTGAACATTACGTGACGCTCCTGTGTTAACTTCAATATGTTCAGAACCTCAAACAAAAAAGGTTAAGAAATTAATAATCAGGATTGGGGAATAATTGAATAAATTAAAGTCTAAAGAAAAAGTGAAAAGAGAAAAACGTTGTCATGATAAAATAATATTTAGTATAAAGAAGAGGGAGATAAAAAACCTTTGAAGAATAGTCAAGGTTTTGAAATGTTGAATTGTGATATAACTTGTAAGAGCCAGAGAATAGAAAGGGATGTCGACAAAAGGATCAAATTTTACTATAACAAAAAATTCAATTGATTCAAAACAAAACACTAAAAAGCACACTGAATGAAAAAAAAAAGAGTGGGAAAACAAACTAAAAATTGAAATTTTAAAACTAATAAACTAATTTTTTATATATAAAAAAGCAATTTACAGATAAATTAGTGCCAATTACTAATTTTTTTTTTAAAGTACGCTAAATAATGATAGAATCACATATCACAAGGGTTTTTATGAACTCTTGGCAAAAAAAAATCAAAGCCCTAGGGTGACGGATCTGCTTATTAAAAACACATTTAAATTTTAATTAAAAGAAGTCAACATGTTTTAAAACAAAAGAAATACAAAACAATAAAAATAATGGAAGCAATAAGTAATTAAAAATAGAGTATTTTTTTTCATCACTCAAAATGAAAAAGATAAAAAAAATAATTCTCCTAATACGAGATCAAAACCAAATATTTTTCTGATGAGATTAAAGCAAAAGGCTCTGAGGTGGTCTTCACAATAGGATTAAAAACAAGATATATAGTTTTTTTTTTTTTTCACACAGGTATGAAAAGAAAAGAGTTAAGAAAATAGATATCCTTTTATTTCTATTTTCTTTCGATTCTTAAATTTCTTTCCTATAAGTTGATCAACTAATCTACTAGACAAGATTGTGAGAAGATACAACATATATATAAAACACGCAGAATATTATTAAAGAGAAATAAATATAAGAGGGATTATAATGTAACCAAAAAGATAAAATTAAAGAGGATAAAAATACATGTTATCCTTTCTGATAGGTTTATAAGAAGTATATTATGATAAGAAGAGAGATAAATATAATAAGTATCTATTAAAAGGGATATATATATATATATATAGCTGATAAAGAAAATGGGTATTAAACATGCTATTGTGTATAATTAAGACAGGAATTATCTGTACTGGTCAGAGTGAAGAGAGGTGAATGTGTTCTTTTGCTTCGGCTAGTCTGAATAAGACCATGGCCCTGAACACTGCCAAATCAGCTTTCTCCATAAGATCCTGAGCCCTTTTGCGTTTTCTTACTGCGATTTCCCTCAATGCTTCTGCATTTGCTTTAGCAGCTTTCATCTTTTTCGTCTCCTTCAATTCACCTGCAAGTGCAGTTACTAAATGCATACAATATTACACACAAACTCGGCACCATCTAGGTTAAACACCTAAAGCAAATGCATCAAATACACATTATTATTCTATTTTGGTAGTACTAGAACAATCCTAGCTCAACATACCTATACAAGATAAGGAGTAATAATTGCTATTATTGTAACCAAAAAACTACCTCCGGAAACACGATCATATTTGCCTCCACCATATCGACTAGGCCTTCTAAGTGACCTCTTTTCTGGGATATGCTGAGGAGTAACTGCAGCTTTTGCTGGATAATTCTGACACAAAAAATTGAATTAAATGAACTACAATATAGTCATTGTACTGCAGTTCACAATTTCCTCCATTACCGTGCAGGTGTGTTTAAGGTAGCAGTTATTAACATTCACAAACCCACTCTCAAGATGATGTGAAAGCATTATAAGATGGTGGTTTATTCTTTTTACGAAAATATTTGAAAACTCTCCATTACCAGATATTAGTCCTAATGTATATCTCCCATTTTTGGACAACAAGGATGAAAATGTTACCTGGAAAACCCTAAGCAGTGGCCTACTTTTTTGCTTCCGTTTTCTCATCCAATATCTAGATACTGCTCTCACCACTTCCTTGGAACCAAGATCTTGAGGACACCGATCAGCAGCAGATTTTGCGTCAGAAACATCTCGATGGAAATAAACAGCCTTTTCCAAAGCATCGACAATCAACTCAAAATTCTCCACAGAAACATGTCGAGACTCATTATTGAACGTCCTCAACCACGCTTCATCTTCTGAATCAATGTCATAGTTTGGTTTATTCCTTTTCATGGCCCTATTAAACTCATCATCACCATTTGATATATAAGTATGTGACCTAACAAAGGGAATAACACTGCTGCAAGTGTCTGCATAGTCAGACAATTCACGGACTCCGGGCACAGGGATAAGTTTCCCAGCTTGACCTGGGGAATTACGCTCAAAGCAGTCCTTGTAAAGGGTTTTAAACATCTTCCAATCTTTATCATTAGCAAACTCCAGCCTCCACCCATTATCCAAAAAGAACATTCTCCACTGGGTAAATTTCTTGGAAGTGGAGGACATTATAAATTTTTCTGCCTTGAAAGTGCACCATGTCATTCCATCTTTCTTTATTGCAAGAAGCCATTTTCTAGAGGAAGGATTTTGTTCAAAAGTAACTACAGCTCCTCCAACCCTGTAGTAACTGTTGTTTGAGTTGTCTGACTCCGGAATCAATATATTTGCAGAACAGTGAGATAAATTCAGTCCTTCTGTTGAATCTACCACAGCAGAATTCGCTTTTGAAAGGCTTGTAGAAGTGAGACTGTTAGCCAAACGACAAATTTTCTCATTAGATGCGGCGACAACAACAATAACTTCCTTTTGGTGATCATTTAATTGAGAATGCAGTGCTCCATTTCTCGCGTCTGCCACAGCAGGATTCGGATTTGAACCCTCCCTTGTACCAATCCCTTGAATGCATTTATAGTTCTTTGACTTCTTTCTATACGGTCCATTTTGACCAGGTAAACTGAAGATCATAACAGATGAACCTTCTTCGACTTCAATAGCCTCAATCACATGTTCTAGACTACATACCAAAAAATATGACCTAATAGTGGATTTCAAAGACATTGCAGAATGCAGCTGCAGAAAACAGAAAGGAATGGCAGAAAAATCCACGCAGAACATTGGTATGAATTGTGAGACCCCAAAAAACTGGCAAACCCCAAGCCTGTGAGAGACGGGAGGACCCTGAGACTAGATTAAGACAATGTAAGAACACTGGTGAAGTAAAAATGAAAAAACAGTCAAAAAAAAAAAACAGCAGATGACCTCAGAGGTTGTTGTTCTGGGGTAAAATGTAAAACTATTAGTAGAAATTGCTGATGTTTGTTACAGGTGGCATTCAGTTTTGTGACAGATTCAATCAACAGCAAATACTTGGGACTGATTTATTAACTTTTTTTTTTTTTTCAGCTGAAATGTAAGTTTAGTCTTGCAAGGATGAAATTAGTTATTAATGAATTATTCAAAATATAAAAAAAAAAGAATAATAAAAAATAATGTATCTAAAATTCATTTTAATTTTCCCTAAAATATTTATAATATTTTATTTTCTCACAATATTAGTTTACCTCCAAAAATATGTTTAATACTTATTATTTCATTTTACTAAAATCTAAACGGTGGTGATGCTTGAAATGTTCGTTGAATGATTAAAACTTTACAAATTCAAACTGTCAATATTTAATCAACGCATTAGTATCATAAACAATACAAAATAGATCATTTTAAAATATACTTGAAATTATTACAGAAACTAACCTAAACTAAAATATAAATAATTTTTAATTTGTATACGTATAAGTGAATAATCTTGCCATACATAATAACTTACAATTAAATCATAATTTCTATAAATATATTCTAATTAAATTCCTTAAAAATATAAATATAGTATACAGTAAAACGATTAAATTTTATAATATTTTTTTAAACCAAATAATGTTATAATATATAATAAAATAAATAAAAAAAGTGATTTTGAAAGGGAATTAATAGCTCGAATAATAATATATAAATTAAACGTAATAATAAGTTTGACAAAGCTTAATTTATGGAAATTTGTAAGCATTTAATTATATAATTTAAATGTGAACTATTTCTTCACTTGTTTTTCATTGAAAACTGTATACAATTATTGATATTAAAAATAAATAATAATAGATTAAAATAAAAACAAATGTGACAGATGAGTTACTCTACTACACAGTCTCTCTCCACTACAAAGATGTGAATGGAACAGTAAAAAACAAAACCATGAATTTACCTGGGGAAGGTGTATCCCTTGTGAGGCATAAATGGCAGGAAAGGGTTCCATGAAAAGGAATTCAACCAGCTCTTTCAAGGAGAACGATAGCCTCATCATGTAATATAACGCTCGAAACAAGAATTTCGAACCCATCTCAGCGTTTCTACCACAATTGGGTTTCATTACAACATGAAACTCACACCTCTTCTTCTTCTTCTTCTTCTTCTTCTTCTTCTTCTTCTTCTTCTTCTTCTTCTTCTTATCATCCTCATCCTTAGCTGCAATCTCTGCAACTCTCTTCTTCATTCCACTTTTCACGTAAAATCTAACACAATTATCATGCTCGCGTATGGATCGAACCTTCTGTCTCCTCCGATTTGTATCAGTAATTCGATTATTCTCACCATCACCGTCCACCACCCTCGTTGCACCTCTATTCTCCGCTTTAGAAGTCTGTCTGGAACCCCGTAGCAGGCGTTTCCCCGACCGCAACATGCAGACTGAGTCGTCACCCTTCATTGACGCAAACACCTTGTTCCTGAGTCGACTTGCTCTGAAACTTTGCAAAATTATTCACAATTAAAAATTAGCCAAATCCAACCAGTGTAAAAATGGAACCCTAAACTAAAACACGCATGTGCAACTGCAACAACTAATGTGTCTGCGATGATACTGAGAATTGTGATGGATGGACTTACAAAGAGAACGAGAAGTCGGAAATGAATGGTGCGGTGTGATATCCAGAGAGAGAAAGATGACGAAGAACGCATCTGGAAAGAGTGAGTGAATTGCAAAGAGGATTTTCTGTTTGAAAGATATTTATACTTGTGTCAATGTTGCTTGACTAGGTGAAAATAAAGTTAAAAGATTATAATAAAAAAATAATAAAGTAAAAGATTATAATAAAAGAAATAATAAATTTAAACGATGAATTAATGAATGTTTAGGAAAGTTTTCGGAATTTATGCTCTTTTGTCTGAAATTTATTGCACTTTTTATTGATTTTAGATCTTCTCGTCAACTTTCATTCTGCTCAATGTGTTGTAAAATCTGAGCCCTTAATCCAATAAACACAAAGTGATGATGGAGAGAGAAAAGTTTATCATAGAGACAGCATAGGATCTCCATCACTCTTAGTTGTCACACTACTTCCATAATGTCTTACGTTACACAATAAATGTCACGCCAGAACTTAACGTTGGGATGAGTAAGGCAAATATTTTAATTTTATTTATTTAGCAATAATTCAAAAAAAAAATTGTTTTCAAGTAAAATTTTTATATTGTTATTGCTAATTTATTTTATTTCAAGTTATACAACATATTGGAAATGAAAGATTCTCCATGTTAGGATTTTGCATTTGGAAATTATACCATTTCCTCATGGAATGTAATTTTTCACCCTTAAACATTTCAATTTATCTAAAACACTACATCTATCTCAATATTTAAATATTAAATATAATTTATTTATAAAAAATTATAATTATAAAATAATCTATACTCAAAAGGTATTTTTGTTTATCATAATTTTTGAATTATATAAAATAAAGAATTATCTTATACATACTTAAAATTAATACTGGTTGTAATTTGTTTTATACATGTAGATAATTTCATAAATTAGTGACCATAAATTTGAGCCTATGAGTGCCAAAAATTGTTATGAACTTTATTTTGCCACCTCCTGTGCAAAACCTAAGAAATCTTCATAAAGGTTTTATCCTTAACCTTTTGGTAATATATATATATATATATATATATATATATATATATATATATATATATATATATATATATATATATATATATATATATTGACATATGAATTTAGTGATAAATTTGATCAATAAATCACCATCGATAAGTAGCCATCATGTGGAGTTCATTGATTTCACATATTAATATGAATCTTCATTTAAGTTTAGCATATGTTCCTTGTAATTGAACTCACTGTAAGTGGCATTATGTGGAGTTCATTGATTTCACATTTGATGTGAATCTTTAAGCTTTGAGCATCTTACTTGTAATTGGACTCTATGTCTTAGTCTTAATGATATTCAATCTTCATATATCTCGTATGTGTAATGAATATTATTTAATTATTGAAAAATATAAGTAATGCTTACATTGTATATTCATGATATATGTCACAATTAAAAGTTGTCATGCCTTTATCATATAACCCAAGTGTGAAATTAATTATAATTGTTTATATAATGCAAATGGATCATGTTTTTTTCTTCCTTTAAATAAATAATGGAAATATAAAGTAATAATTTTAGCATACTTTTTTAATTGTCTCTTAAGTGAAATTATAAAAGAAAGTGATTAACACAGAAAAAAAAAATATATATATATATACACATTATTTGATACTAAAATAATAAAGAAGAAAAATATTATTTCTCATTATATTTCACGTACTAAAAATAAAAAATACATTTTTCAAAATCACTTGTCTCTCATTTTTCTCTAAAAAATAATAATTTTATATTTATATATTATTAATTGATTTATTATTTTGAAAATAACAAATTTTTATATAACTTGTTATTAAAATAAATATATTATTTACTCTGTTTTATTTTTATTTTATTTCCTTATAACAGAAAATGGGTTTAATAATTTTTATCTCCAATTTACATAGTATTGTTGGGTTTTTTCTTTTATCGATTTTTAAAGATATAAAAACCTTTTTTTTTGGGGATTCATGGCCCTCCTGTCTGTCGCAATAGAGATTCGCGTGTGTTTTGAATAAGATTTTTAAGTTTCAATGCTCCATTTTTTTTAAAGTACAATGGAGGAATTGTATTTTAAATTATTTAAACTATTTTCATCTATAACTTAAATCTTAATGTTCTTTTAAAGAATTAAAAAAAAATACATAAGTTAGTTAAAAAAAAACATATATATCTTTAGCTAAATATAATTTCATTTAAATTGGATAAAACTACTTAATTAAAACACGCTCTCTCTATCGGTTATGTAATCTTCCTTGTTTAAAGTAAAGAACCACTATTATCTATTAATCATGTCGTAGGGACCTAATTCGATTTTCTTTAAACACATTGTTAAGTTAAATTGTTAGTGGACATTAATATATATAATCATACAAATGGAACATCTTTAATTTTAAAATGAACATAGTACCAAAACTTGTAACTTCTTTCACTTTTTTTATTCAACAATATATGCCTTGTTACAAGAGAAATTTGGTAGTTCGTTCTGAGCAAACACATGTGATTAAAAATTGTGTGCAATAAAATAATATTTTATTACAAGTTAAATTTTGTTTTCTGTTATAAGTTTGAACAAGTAATTAAGAATCTAAACAAAACTCTTTTTAGATGGGACGTTTATTAAGACTAAGAAATACACTTGAATAAAACTATTTACCGTTTAGATTTGTATAAATAACACTTTTAAATGCGTTTTTATTCACACTTGACCATCTCAATATGTTTACCGTTCGCAATTGGGAGTTTCTCCCCCCACCATACCAATTTGTTCATATGTGAATGACAATTCATGAATAATATAAAAAGACAAAAAAATAATAATAATAAATTAGTAAACAGATGGGCCCCCTTGACCCAGTGGCCTATTTAGTGTGAAGGCACCATATGGCCCAATAATAAAATGCCGGCCCATTATTCCCTCACTTCCCTCTCATTCCATTCACGAAACTCTCTATTACCACCCACACGCACACCTCCTCTCTCTCTCTCTCTCTCAACACAGCAAACTTCAACTCCATTATTATTACTATTGATATTGTTAGAATCATTAACAACGCAATGCACTCTTCCGCTGAGGACGACTCCGACAATCCCACCACCACCGCCGGCGGGGAGTGGACGTTATCCGTCAGGGCCCACGCTCCCTCGTTGGACCCCTGCTGGGAAGCCATACAGCGCGGCGGCGGCACGCTGGGACTGGGCGACCTCCGGTTCGTGCAGCGCGTGGGGAGCGGCGACATCGGAAGCGTGTACTTGGTGGAGCTGAAGGGCTCGAACGGGTGCCTCTTCGCGGCGAAGGTGATGGACAAGAAGGAACTCGTGGCGAGGAACAAAGACACGAGGGCGAAGGTTGAGAGAGAGATTCTGCAAGTTGTGGATCACCCTTTTTTGCCCACTCTTTACGCGTCGCTTGATTCCCCTCGCTGGTCTTGCCTCCTCACCGAGTTCTGCCCCGGCGGCGACCTCCACGTCCTCCGCCAGCGCCAGCCCGATAAACGCTTCCACCACGCCGCCGTTAGGTGGGTTTGTTCCTCCTTTCTCTTCTTTAACTCTCCTTATTAAATCTGCATGTGATCTTTGTTACACTTTGAAGCTGTGTCGTTAGAAAATTATTACATGTCGGAACTATTAATGGTTACATGTGATGCAGAAATTAATTGACACTGTAAATATCTATAGTCTTTTTTTGTGATTCTTATTGAACGCAAGATATTACAGTTTTAGATGATGAATGAACAACATGCATGCAGAAAATAATTAGTTTGTTACAATATTTATGTTATTAATATAAATTGGTTTGTTACAAATAGAAACAAACTTAATAGGTAAGAGTTTAAGATATGAGTGGGATTTGTAACTCAATTAGCATTGGCTAATTGTGTTTGTTCCCATGTAACCAAAAGGAAAATGTTTAATATTGTAGTGGAGAGGGAGAGAGAGAGAGAGAGTATGTTTATTTACTTATTTGGCTTCTCTGGATGAGTTGGTGATGCAGTTTGTGATGGGAAAGTTGGGATAGGTCTTAGGCTTTGAGTTGAGTTGGCTTAATCTGTTCATAATTTCATTGCCTGTGGGCCATTTGATTCAATTCATGTCTCCTCTGATGCCTTTGATTGTGAGCCCACGAAAGCTTTTGGTGTGTCCGTCGTGCACCAAATAATAATTTAGTGCCTCCCCCACTTAACCAGTAACCATTATCTTATCGGATTGCCAAATGAATAATAATAATAATAAACTTTTCACCAGATTTAAATAGTTTCTTCATCAAAATATATTCTAAAATGTATGCAACTTAAGGGCACTTAGTAGGACCTCCCGTGTACGGTTTAAATTTCTAAACTAACGTATGATCATCAGTTGCTTTCTTACCCAGTTTTAATGACAATGTTATCCTTTTTTTTTTTTTTTCTTTGTAAAAAGATAAAACTGTATGACGTTTTGGTAGGTCAAATTTTAAAATAATGGGTATGATTATTCAAAAGTGGACCCTGCATAATTTAATTATTGGAGAAATTGATGGTAATAAAATGATGATGCTGATATACCAAAAGAATACGGTGGCGATAATAACAATTCCAAAGTAATGGTGGTGTCTTGGGTGTTACAGGTTCTACGCATCCGAAGTTGTGGTTGCCTTGGAGTACCTACACATGATGGGGATAATATACCGTGATTTGAAGCCTGAAAATGTGCTCATAAGATCGGACGGTCACGTAATGCTCACCGACTTTGACCTCTCACTGAAAGGCGACGACACAACATCCACGGCTCAGATCGTCTTCGGACAAGATCCACCCACCAACACCTGTTCGAACGAGCATTCCAAGAACCAATGCGCGCCCGCCATGTCATCATGCATGTTGCCCAGTTGCATCGTGCCATCTGTGCCGTGCTTCCATCCAAAACGCGGTCGTGGCAAGAGGTCCTCTCGGTGTGGGTCCGTGGAGATCATAGCGGAGCCAATAGAAATTCGATCCACGTCGTTCGTTGGGACCCACGAGTACTTGGCGCCGGAAGTGATTTCGGGGGAGGGTCACGGTAACGCCGTGGATTGGTGGACATTGGGAGTGTTCATTTTTGAACTGTTCTACGGGATCACACCCTTCAAAGGGCTTGAGCATGAGCTAACCCTAGCCAACATAGTGGCACGTGCCCTTGAGTTCCCTAAGGAGCCCATCATCCCAGGAGCAGCCAGGGATTTGATCTCCCAACTTTTGGTGAAGGACTCCACAACGAGACTAGGCTCAACAATGGGTGCCCTAGCAATTAAGCACCACCCCTTCTTCAATGGGGTGAATTGGGCATTGTTGAGGTGTGCTACCCCTCCCTACATCCCTTCATCAGACAAGTGCAAGGAATTGGTTCGACTCTATAATTGCTCAACCAATACTGTAGACTTCTATTAGAAGTGTATATTCATATATAAAAGTCCCACTTATCTATATACAATATCACCATCACGATTGCATACAACTCACACGCCTCAACTCAAAGAACTAATTAACTAGTTTTGTGTCAGATCAATCTCTCATGTTGCAGATCAGTGGGCATGTGACAAATTTATTTTATTTTTGGAAAGGGGAGGAGGACAAATCATTTCCAAGTATTCATTGGATATATTCCATTTATGAAAAAGAAGGAAAACCAAGGAATTCGATTCCGTTACGATTCTTTTCTCATGTTATAAAAGTAAAAGACGTAGACATAATTATGATATATCAAACCTATCATCATTTTTTATATTTTTATATTTTTGTTTCTGGTAATATGAAAGGAAACATAAGAAGATTCGAATATAAAAAAAAAGGCAATTCCTTCTCACTTATTGTTTCTCAACAGATGTTTTTGTTGGTTGGTGGACCAACCATTTCAACTGCCAAATGTATGTATTTGTTTTTCTTGTGTGTGTAAAACAAGTTTCTTTTTTCTTTTTTTAATCTCAGTGCTCTTGTTTTGATCACGTATTGCCATATTTGAATTATTGGATGTTGAATACAATATTTTGATTCCAAAGGTTTTCCCAGCCAGTGTTTGTGCACTTCTTCTGTTGAAGGCTGTGAATCATTCTTTTTGACGTGAAAACCACCCCTCTCCATTCTCCCTAAAGGCTTTCTTTTATCACTATTTTTAAAATAAAATCAATTATGACCCATTCGATTATTGCGGTGCGTTTAGGTGCTAGAAAGTTAAAAAAATAGTCAGTTTTCCTATACAAATTCATCTTTCATTGTTACAAACTCATCTTACATTTCATTTTGTGGCACCCAATTATCTTTTATCCCTTATCTTAATTATTAAATTGAAGAAAACAATTCAAGTAATGCCACTCTTCCCAAGTTTTCTCTAAATTCATTGCTCAATAGTGGAAAGGAAAGCGTGTCCTTAAAATCTTGAAAAAAAAAAAAAAGGTTTTGGTTGACAAGAAAATCAGCCTACAAATTTTTTCAATCTGTTGCCAATTTATCTCTTTATACATTCTTATAACTCATAAGATTAACTATTGTTTTGTTTTAAAGAAATATTATTTTTTTGTTAGTTTCTCAAAAGAGTTTTCTTAAAAGCCAAAATATTTTTTTAATAGTTATTATTTCTAAAATAAAACTTTCGACAGAGATTTTCCCAATAATTATCTTTTCTGAGATTTGATTAGCCTTGACATACATAAATATAATACACAATGTAGTAGAATAATGGAAGTTTCATTAGACATTTTTTTCTCTAAGAAGTTTCTGTTTTTTTAATGAAACATCTTTTCGTCGGTAAAAAAGACAACAGGATAAGTTAAATTTCTTTGAAAGGAAAGTTAGAGTTTATTTCATGTTGTTGAAGTCAACCATAATACCCAATTAAAAAGTAGCCATAGTGGAATATAAAAAGTATTGGTTTTTTTTCTACAATTATGTGACGCCAAAGCAAAGATAAAATCTTACTTTTCATCTTTAGGTGCTTCGGCCCTTTGTTACCGAACTTAATGATGTGATTGGATTGCTGGGTCTTGAGCTACAACCACGTTCATTTTTTCTGGTATTTATTGATATAATATATCTAATTAAATCAAATTAAGTATATTTTCTTACAGCATTTCAGTTTCTTCTTTTATTGAGCTTGTACATCCTCAATAACTCATACTCTGTTCGCGAGTTAGTTTAACATGCATTGCTTAACTCCATTTTTCAAGAATTTAATAGGCAAATAGGATTTCAACTGCTTATAGAAGCAACATAGTCATTAAATGAATGGAACCATACATGTTTTTAATTGCTTTTAATGGAGAATATCAATGAGAGAAAACAACATAGTTTCACGGTAAAGAATGGCTTCAGAAATATCTGCAGTTTGAATTGATTCACAACGCGAAGAAAATGAGTGGGAACAAAGAGAAAGGAAGTTAAAGCCAATAAAACCACATTAATACAAAGTATCACAGATGAGAAAACAGCAATATACAGTAGTCTTTGTTGTGACACGATAACATATATCAGATAACGAGTTCCATCGTTATTTTGTGTCCACCAAATAGTATTTGATTCACAAGGCTACATCGTGTCCGCACGAAATACAGAGAAATGTTTTAGGCAGCAGTTACTGTGCTAGTTTCAGATGCTGCTGCTTCACCTTCCCAGAAGGTTGTCTTCTTCCCGGTTTTGGAAACGGTCTGCAGAACTGTGTCTGGCTGGACATTTCCCTTCACTACCACCTTTTGTTCCTTCAAATCAATGTCATATGATTCCACACCTGCAAATAAGATAAAAACTTACTATTTCTACAACATTGGAAGTGGAACTTTGGTTGGTATGCTGTCATTGCAATGACTTTAATCCATATTTAGAATCCGTCTTCGGATGTTTACTTTTATCATATTCTTGTACCATCCGAAACCATAGAAATGCATTATTTTATATACATAGGATCTGTTTGGATATAAGTTGAAAGTGCTTTTGAGAGTTTTTCTATCGGAAATATAGAACCCTTTTTTAGTAGAGAAGCTCTCAAAAACACTTCTAGTTTTAAACAAACAGGCTCATAATAGATTACAGCAAATTTTGCTAACCAGTAAGGCAAACACATAATACAATTGAAAAGAAGACCCAGAACCAAAAATATTTTAGGGAAGAAGGAAGAACTGGAGCCTTTCTGTTGATACAAGAAACACAATAAATACAAACTTCACTCTAATAACGGACAAGAGAACGAAAGGTTCCACGCATAAAAGAAAGAGAAGCATCCATCAATCACTATAGGCAGCAGATTAGAGTAATCATGATTGGAAAGGGAGAGAGGATATCAGAGCTAAACTGAAAATGGTCAGATACCGTGTTGGAGAAGTTGTTGATTAAAAAATTTAAAATGGCTTTCGTTTTGCTTGGTGACATATTCAAACTTGTTTAAAAAATGATTTAAAGGATTATTAGATATGATGCCACTTGACATAAAGATAAGAAACAGCACATACACAAAAGCCCATACCATGAAGGGAATTTCACGAAAATAATTTCCAAGTGCGATAAGGCTAAATCATAGTACCCAAAACAAGCACATATGAAATACAGAAAATTGGGCTAAAGTATGAAGGCTGTATTTTCTGGATCAAAAATATAATAAATCACATGATCAAACAATCCGAGTCCAACAGGAAAGAGAATATTACGAGAGAAGAGTATTAAAAATAACTTTGAGCTATCTAACCTTATCCATAAGCTAAAATTGTCATACTACTCAAGTATGTAAGGGAAAATAAAATAGATAACACAGGAAAGGGATGGAAAAAAAGGTTCAGGAAGGACCTTCAGAATTGAAGTAAAAGCAGACACATATTCAATACTTAAGAAATTTTTTAGTTTAGAGGGAGGAAGAGATATAATGGATAATGAGAAGCTGAATTGATATTAGCAAGATGTATCATAATGTATTTATATGTTTTTGTATTTGATACGATCATGTAAATGTGAACACTAACCCTTGTGAATAATAATCATAATCCGAGCAAATTAGGGGAATCAACAACAGTTCATGATAACACAAGGATATATGGTAACTAATACAGATAGATAATGAGTTAAAAGGAAAACTAATCCTAGAGGATAGCTTAAGATATTTTCATATATTCTATTAGAATCCGAAATCATTTGAGGATTAAGATGTCATGTTGACAACATAACTGACCGAAATTGACAAAAGGCATAGAACTACAATACAAAAGGCATAAACATTTCCATGTCAATTTTGAGTATATCAGAGAAAGTTTGCAAGGGATTTGATATACCATCCAATTTTCCAAGAACTCTTTTCACTGCTCCAACACATCCTTCACATGACATACCAACTTTGAGGACTACGGTCTGCACTCACAATGCATCAATTTCAGATTAAGGAGGAGAGAAATTAATAAATAACCATCTTAATTTCTTAAATAGAAATGCCCCGCACATAAGAGAAATGTATTTGTCCTTTGAATTTAAGAAACACTAAGATAAATTTGAAAAGAAAAAGGGAGTGGGAGCACGAAGGACAAAGAGCAAAACAGGAAACCCGATACAGATGTAACAAATTTACTAGCATCATGTCCACTAATACAACATAAGAACAATCATCCGATTCATCTTTGCTGTTAAAGGTAAAAGTAGCCAGGTAAAACACGTTTATTCAGGTTTAGAGCATGCAAATACAAATTGAAAGCTACGTCTACAAGCTTTAACAGAAAAACGGGAAAAAAGTTTGACCATGAGTGCATCGGACCAAGTCTTTTAAATCCTCGTCATAGATCCTCCATCCCTAGTAAAATCTCACAAAAACTAAGATAACACAGTTGACAGAAAACAAGAAAAACACGCTAAAATCCAAAATTTCTTTGCAATTAAGAAAGGTCCAATCATACATAGTATTCGATTTGAACTTTGGCCAACAATAACAGATAATATTTCAATTCAACTGTTGCCAAACATAGGAAACAAACATATCCCTAAATTGATAGAGAATATATTCAGGAATATAGATGCATGCCAAATTTCTGCTATAGTTGACATAAAAAACCGATGATTCATGAACATCAAACGCATGCACAAAACAATAATTCCAGATATCTGAAATATTCCTACCTGTAAAGCCTAGGTTAAATAACCAGAACACGAATCAGAAAAAAAGAGGGGGGGAGGTGTTAGATTGTAGAAGCAAGGAAAGACAAAAGAAAATAAAATAAAAATAGAGAAGGTGTAGGTTTACCTGAGACATGGTTAGCGATGAAGGAAAACAGAGGAAACGAAAATGAATCAGAAGAGAAGAAATGAGGAATGGATGCAATGGGAATTAGGGAGGGATGGAGTTGTTTTTATAGGGAAATGGAAGAAAGGGTGAGAGAGAAAGGTAAAAGACGCGGACTGAGTTGGGTAAGGTTTTGAGGAATTGACAATTCATCGTCTTGGGGTGCGTCGTCAACGCACACCTATGCATTGCGTCTAAGCCCACTCCCAATGCTAAATACGGGTCTTGTGATTACGTTTTATTATTTTCATTAGATTTTAATTTAATATGAAAATTATATTAAATGTTTAGATTATATTACAAATATATGTATATAATTCAATATTTAAAAGGTGAGGTTTATATTTAAAGCGCATTTTCAATCGTATCGTATCCCTTCGAACATTTTTAATAAACCAGCAATTTTCAATAATTTTATTATAATTAGAATTAACTTTAATTATATTAAAAATAAAAAAAATATTTAATTTAATTTTACAAAACTTACTTACAAACTTTATTTATATATTATTATATAATATTATCCTATTTTTAGTTGACATAAATTTTAAAACATATTAATTTACAGTTGTTATTATTATTATTATTATATTGTAAATATATTTTTTAAATTATAATATATGTTTTGATACAAATTTATTAAATATTTTATTATAAAAATATAAATAAAATAATATCCTAAAAAATTATTCATACTTTTTATTTTCTCTTATATTCATAAATAAATTATGTAAATTTAAAATACATAAGCAAAATTTATTATTATGTTTTAGTATATAATATATTGTAAGTAAAATATAATTAAAAAAATATATTTATATATGACTATTAATTTATATTTTAATCTAAAATTTGAACTAAGAAAAAGTATATCTAACTTTTTTCAGATAAATAACTTTGATTAGTTTAAGAAATTTTATTGTTTTTGTTGTAGTATTTGTTATGCAACATTTATTGTTTAAGAAAATTAATTTAAGATATTTTTTTTAAGGAATTACTGAGTTTGGTTTAGAGTTTTTTAGTGATTTAAGAAGAAAATTTGAGTCATGAAAATCACATTAAAAGAAATTAGACGGTGAGAGAAATACGAATTAACCATAAATAATATAATTAAAAAAATTATTTAAATAGAATTTCTTTAAATTTTATTTTTTCAACTAGACTGATTTGCTGTTCATAAGTTCAATTGTTCTTACACAAAATTTAATAAGTGGAAATAAATTCGTCCCATATGATATAATTGTTTTTTCTATCTTTCATCTTTTATTTTCTTATTTTTCATCTCTATTTATTTACTTTTGTTATTTTTTTCTCTTTTTTTTTCTTTTTCTAGAAAATATTATAGAATAAAATTGAGATATTACAAATATTATTAGTATATTATAATTATTAAGAAAAAATTAAATATTTATTTTGAAAAAATTTGTTAACAATTTTTTTAAAACTAATTAATTTAACTAATTATCATAACTCAATTTAATTATAACTATATCAAATAAAAAATATATTTAAATAATAAATATGTAATATCGTTTAATTAGATGAGTAATTATTATTATGATAAAATAATAATTTATGTTATAGTAAATAAATTAGATATTATCAAAATAAATAAAATTATTTATTGTAATCATAATTTTAAATAATTAGTTAATATTTTTTAGTTCCAATGTTGATTTTAAAATATTTGTTTTAATATTTTTATTAAATTTTAATATAATAATTTAATTAAGAGAATAGGTGAGAAAGGAAGGAGAGAAATAAGAGACCTACACTAAAAAAAGAGAGGGTGAATGAGAAAAGAGAAAAAAATGTATGAACAGTAAATTGGTCTAATTAGATAAACAAATTAATAAAGATTATATTTAATTATTATTTTTTATAAAATATATTATTCATAGATTCATTCACACCTATAAATATCTTTGTTAAAAAATTAAAATATTTGAAAATAAGACATTTCTAACCTAATCATGCATTATACATATAAATGAAAGTAATTAATTTCATTTATTAATAATAAACTAATTTTACCATCACTATTAATATTTAAAAAAAATTATCTTCTCATTATATATTAATAGAAAAATATATATTCATAATATTATAAACAAGAAATGCAATAATATTATAAAAAATATAATATTTATAAAAAAATTATCACTTTTTAATTTATATCTTATATTAACAAGAGGAAGTATTCTAGATGAGAAATAAAATAAGAATAAATAAATATGTTTAGTTAAAAGGAAACTATGTCTCAGTCATATTTATTAGAAATGATGTCCAAGATTAACTATACGAATATATTTTTAAAAAAAAGCAACATTAAAAAAATAAAATTGAATTGAGGATTTTTTTTAGGTGAAAATTGATATTTTTTTGAAAATTAAAAATATTATAAATAACAGAATCCATTATTTAAATTTTATTTATAAAAATTATTATGTTTCTAGATTTTTTTTTCACCTTTTTATTATTTCTTAGTATACTTCTATTAAAAGTAGAAATAAGGTAAGTTTTGGTTTTGTATGTGAGGTCATGATTCCTTCAATGAATTATTGGGTAAAGATAAATTTTAATTAGTTTAAAAGTAAAATAATATATTGAATTTATTGTTTAAGAGTTTTTATGAACATAGTGACTGAACTTCACATAAAGTTAGATTTTTAAAGTTACAAGAACTTGAAATTTTGAGAATTTTTCTTAGATAAGCAAATTGAATGTATAATATGTGATTGAAATGAAATATATGCATCTATGTTACAATGTAATAAATATCATTGAATTTTTTTTTTTTTATATGAGTGTTGCATAATATATGGATATTAAATTAAGGATTCAAGATAAACACATAACAAGTTATGTTTGATTAAAAAGCATTTTCACGAAGCTCGAATAAAATAAAATTAGTCCACTCAACAAATATGCAATTAATTAAATCATTCATATGATTTTCTCCATTTTGAGACAGATAATAAATATATATAGGTGATTATCATAATTATAATAAAATATTAAATATATCATTTAATTTATGCATTTAGAAATAATATAATTATTTTAATGAATATTTATATCTTTGGTACTAATATTATTTGTGGTTAATGTTAACGATTAAAAAATTAATAACAAATATAAAAAATTTAATTATCTGGAATATTCTTTATAAACTTAATTATTTCAATTATTGTTTTTTTAATATTAAATTGATTATAAAAATAAAAGGACATGGTTAAAAAATGTGCTAAGGATTTACAACTAATAAATATTTTTTATAAAAACTAAAACTAATTAAAACCATATTTGTGACTAAAAATATATTTAAACTTGTAAAATTTTACACAAATAAATATATGTTCATCATTGTCTCAATAACCCAATTGTAACATTTTCTACAAAGCTAAGAAATATGAATCCTTAAAGATCAAAGTTTTGTCTGATGAAGGTTGCGGAGAGAAGAATACAACGTCATGTAGACTGCATACCAACCATTTTGAGAAAGGTGAACTCCCTCCCAAAAGAATGAAAGCTCTGGTTTTTCACATAAACCATATTTTTTTTCTCCTTTCTCGTCCACACTTCCACAATAATATTCCCTCCTCACTCCCTCACAACATGGTTGCAGTGGATTCATCAATGTTGGGTCTTCTGAGTGATGGAGAAAAACATGTCATCAAGAGATTTTATATTTCTTTTCAATAATAATGTAATCAGAAATGAAGACATACATAGATAGTCTAAGAAAAAGAAGGTATTGCATGGCAAAGTCATCTAATGCTATCTATCATTATTAACAAATAATGAGTAAAAAAGATTGTAAAATTAGGCAGAAGATGGAGTATAGTTGATGTGGACATAAAGGCCCAAGCCCAAGATCCAATCCAAGACTTAGGTGGACCTATGACAAGAGACAGACTCAGAAAAGCACAAGAGGCATTGCAATACAAAGTGATCAATTTGCTAAAGGCCCAACTATTAAAAGATCCAAACATGGAGGAGTCTAGACCTATCACATGCATAGAATGTTTGGAGAGCTAGGAGGCTCAACTAAAAAATTTAGTTTTTATTATTATTTTATTTGCTACAGTGGGGATTTGAACCCAAGACCCAAAACTTATAATGTCTTCACTGAACCATTTGGGTAACTTAACTTTGCTTGGGATATTAGGATTTTAATTTATCTTTATTTCCTGGAATGAGACAAACTCATAAACTTAAGTTGTATTAAACATTTGGGAATTCAGAATGGACGTACGTAATATTCAGATTACTTTGTGAGTTGTTACTCTGCTAGGGTTCTTCCTTGCATCACTTGATCTTATCAAGAATTATTCGATTCTTGTGGCGATCCTTTTTGGCTTATCAAATATTCTTATTTGTGGCGCCTACGGTATCTTTTATGTTTTTCTGTTTTCTAATCAAATCAACTCTTAAAACCTAACCCTAAATTGTTTCCCTTCTGTTTGAGTGTCGTCATTTGGTATCAGAGTCTGGTTCAAAGCGGTACTGTTCATTGCACTGTTCACCAGCACTATTCACGGGTACTGTTCATTGTCACTGTTCACGACTATTCATTATTACTGTTCATGGGTACTGTTCATTGGTACTGTTCACGTACTGTTCATTGTCACTGTTCATTATACTGTTCACGTGTACTTGTTCATCATCTGTTCAGTATCATCGTTCAAAAAAAAAATTGTTGTTTATGCAATTTTGATATTGAATTTCATATATATATATATATATATATATATATATATATATATATATATATCAAAGTTGTGTTTGAAATTAGTTTTCTCGAGAAAAGAACAAAAAAAAAAAAGAATAAAAAAAAAAAGAATAAAAAAATGAGAAAGAAAAGAATAAAAAAATGAGAAAGAAAAGAAAAGAAGAAAGAAAAGAAAAAGAGAGAGAAAAGAGAAAAGAAAAAGAGAGTGAAAAGAAAAAGGAAAAAGAGGAAGAAAAAGAGAAAGAGAGAAAAAAATCAAGTCTCGTTTATAAAAGAAAAAGAAGTCAAAAGAGCTATGCAATTGAGAAAGCCGATACTTTTACTTTTGAGTAAAGAAAGTAAATCAAACAGTCCATGTTTTACTAACTCTCTTCCAAAAGAGGTTTCTTCTTTGTTGCAGGATTTTGAAGATGTTTTTCCCAAAGAAGTGCCTATAGGTCTACCCCCTCTTAGGGGTATTGAGCATCAAATTGACCTTATTCAAGGAGCTTCATTGCCTAATAAACCAGCCTATCGAAGCAATCCCCAAGAAACCAAGGAGATTCAAAAGCAAGTTGAAGACTTAATGCAAAAGGGGTGGGTTAAAGAAAGCTTGAGTCCATGTGCTGTCCTAGTCATTCTAGTCCCTAAGAAAGATGGAACTTGGAGGATGTGCACAGATTGTAGAGCTATCAATAACATCACGGTAAAGTATAGAAATCCCATTCCTAGGTTAGATGACTTGTTGGATGAATTGTATGGTGCTTGTATCTTCTCTAAAATTGACTTAAAAAGTGGATATCATCAAATTAGAATTAGAGAAGGAGATGAGTGGAAAACAGCTTTTAAAACTAAATATGGGTTGTATGAGTGACTAGTTATGCCCTTTGAGTTAACTAATGCTCCAAGCACTTTTATGAGATTGATGAACCATGTCTTGAAAGAGTTTTTAGGCAAATGTGTAGTGGTGTATTTTGATGATATTCTGATATATAGCACTAACTTTGATTTGCATGTTGAACATTTGCGTGCTGTCATGAATATGCTTAGGAAGGAAAAATTATTTGCTAATCTTGAAAAATGTACCTTTTGCACTGATCATGTTGTGTTCTTGGAATTTGTTGTGAGTTCTAAAGGGGTACAAGTTGATGAGGAAAAGATTAGAGTCATCCAAGAGTGGCCTACTCCTAAGAATGTGAGTGAAGTGAGAAGTTTTCATGGGTTAGCTAGTTTCTATAGGAGGTTTGTTAAAGATTTTAGTACTTTGGCTGCACCTCTTAATGAAATAGTCAAAAAGCATGTTGGGTTTAAATGGGGTGAAAAACAAGAAAAGGCATTTTCTGAACTTAAGCACAAACTATCTAATGCCCCCATCCTTGCATTACCAAATTTTGCAAAATCTTTTGAAATTGAATGTGATGCATCTAATGTGGGTATTGGGGCTGTTTTACTACAAGAAGGTCATCCAATTGCTTATTTTAGTGAGAAGTTGAATGGGGGTGCCCTAAACTATCCCACCTATGATAAAGAATTGTATGCCTTAGTGCGTGCTTTACAAACATGGCAGCATTACCTTTTACCAAAAGAGTTTGTAATTCATAGTGATCATGAATCTTTGAAATACTTAAAGGGACAAGGTAAGTTAAACAAGAGGCATGTCAAATGGGTTGAGTTCTTGGAGCAATTTCCATATGTCATCAAGCATAAAAAGGGAAAAGGGAATGTAGTAGCTGATGCACTTTCTAGGAGATATGCATTACTTTCTATGCTTGAAACTAAATTGTTTGGTCTTGAATCTTTGAAAGACATGTATGTGAATGATGTGGATTTTGCTGAAACTTTTGCTGCATGTGAAAGGTTTTCTAAAAATGGTTACTTTAGGCATAATGGATTCTTGTTTAAAGCAAATAAATTGTGTGTGCCTAAGTGTTCCATTAGAGAGTTGCTTGTGAGTGAATCACATGAAGGGGGTTTGATGGGTCATTTTGGGATTCAAAAGACTTTAGAAATTTTGCAAGAGCATTTCTTTTGGCCTCATATGAAACGTGATGTGAATAAGTTTTGTGATCACTGCATTGTGTGTAAAAAGGCTAAATCTAAGGTTAAGCCTCATGGGTTGTATACTCCTTTACCTGTTCCTGAATATCCTTGGACTGACATTTCTATGGACTTTATTTTAGGGCTGCCTAAAACAAAGAATGGAAAAGATTCTGTGTTTGTTGTTGTTGATAGGTTTTCTAAGATGACACATTTCATACCTTGCAAGAAGGTAGATGATGCTTGTCATGTGGCTGATTTGTTTTTCAAGGAAGTAGTAAGGCTACATGGGTTGCCGAAGAGCATTATGAGTGATAGGGATTCAAAATTCCTTAGTCACTTTTGGAGGACCTTGTGGGGTAAGATTGGTACTAAATTATTATTTTCTACTACTTGTCACCCACAAACTGATGGTCAAACTGAGGTAGTCAACAGGACTTTGGGCACATTGCTTAGGACTATTTTAAAGAAAAATCTTAAGACTTGGGAAGCATGTTTACCGCATGTTGAGTTTGCTTATAATAGGGTTATCCATAACACCACTAATTGTTCACCATTTGAGATTGTGTATGGATTTAATCCTTTGACTCCTCTTGATTTGTTGCCTTTGCCTAACATTTCTATGTTTAAGCATAAGGAAGCACAGGCTAAAGCAGAATATGTGAAGAAGTTGCATGAGCAAGTAAAAACTCAAATTGAAAAGAAGAATGAGAGCTATGCGAGGCAAGCTAACAAGGGTAGGAAAAAGGTGGTGTTCCAACCTGGTGATTGGGTTTGGGTACACATGAGAAAGGAAAGGTTTCTTGAACAAAGAAAGTCTAAACTTCAACCTAGAGGAGATGGGTCATTCCAAGTCTTAGAGAAGATCAATGATGATGCTTATAAGATTGATCTACCCGAAGAGTATAATGTAAGTTCTTCTTTTAATGTTGCTGACTTGACTCCTTTTGATGCAGGAGATGAATTCATAGATTTGAGGACAAATGCTGCCCAAGAAGGAGGGAATGATGTGGACATAAAGGCCCAAGCCCATAACGAGAAGGATCAAGACCAAGATCCAATCCAAGACTTAGGTGGACCTATGACAAGAGACAGGCTCAGAAAAGCACAAGAGGCATTGCAATACAAAGTGATCAATTTGCTAAAGGTCCAACTATTAAAAGATCCAAACATGGAGGAGTCTAGACCTATCACATGCATAGAATGTTTGGAGAGCTAAGAGGCCAAACTAAAAGATTTAGTTTTTATTATTATTTTATTTGCTACAGTGGGGATTTGAACCCAAGACCCAAAGCTTATAATGCCTTCACTGAACCATTTGGGTAACTTAACTTTGCTTGGGATATTAGGATTTTAATTTATCTTTATTTCCTGCAATGAGACAAACTCATAAACTTAAGTTGTATTAAACATTTGGGAATTCAGAATGGACGTACGTAATATTCAGATTACTTTGTGAGTTATTACTCTGCTAGGGTTCTTCCTTGCATCACTTGATCTTATCAAGAATTATTCGATTCTTGTGGCGATCCTTTTTGGCTTATCAAATATTCTTATTTGTGGCGCCTACGGTATCTTTTATGTTTTTCTGTTTTCTAATCAAATCAACTCTTAAAACCTAACCCTAAATTGTTTCCCTTCTGTTTGAGTGTCGTCAATAGTGATCATCATTAGTAAAAGCAGATGGAGAACTTACCAGAACGCCTTTTCTGCATAGTTGCAATTACAGAGAGGAAAGAGTTGTATAGGTCTAGTGTCACGAAGACCGGTTTTCCCAATTCCTTGTTAAGTTCTTGCACAATTTGGAGAAGCCTTTGACTGTGATTTTGGGAGACGAAGTTGAAAGGTTCAAGGCATTTGTCATAAGAAGATGCCACAGTTAACAAAGGCATGCACCCTATAGGCTCTAATAATCCCACTGCTATTTTGTTTATTCCCAAACTGTGGATACGTCTGAGATTTAAAGACATTTGCTGAATAAGGGATGCAGTGAAAACTGGTATATCCTGCCGCACAAAGCAATGTCAAAAAAGAAATAATGACATATGTAAAAGAAAAATAAGTGGGAAAGAGGCATGTAAAAGAAATTAATTAACTGAACCACTCACTTGTATGCTCCCATGTTTTCCTTGTAGAAATGTAGCATAGTCATTACCCGCAGCATTGACTAGAGCAATTGAAGATTCAAGGTCGGCTTTAGTATAGATTTTTTGTTGGATTAGCTTCTCAAATGAGTCAATTTGGACAGTCATGTTTGGTCCCTCAACCAAAGTATTGAAAATACCAGTCCCTCCATGAGCAAAGTTCATACCATATTGTAGTTCAGAGGAATTTCTAAATGTATAGGGTGTGGGGGATTTTATTTTCAAAAATGAAGCTGCGTGTACCATGATATATATATATATATATATAAAATATGTCAGTCAAATATAAGATATATATGACCACATTAAAATAAGTACAGATGATGGTCTATAATTAGTAAATAATCAATGGCAGAAACCGATAGAAGATCAAGTACCAATGTAATCTGTGAGGACACAACCATCAGAGAACCTTCCAGCAGGTTTAGCAGGAAAAGTAATTCCACTAGGAGGCTGATACGATGCTGAGTTCACCGAATTCCCCGTGTCAACATAAGAGTCTCCAAAAACAAATAGTTTTACCTCATCTAACCTTTCAGCCCCTTCCACTTCTACAACAATATCACATATAAGTAAGCTATGTATATCAAGAACTACAAAAATGAAATTCTAAGCTATTTTTTACTGTGATGTGATGTGTACCTCTTAAAATGAAGAAGATGAGAAGGAGCAGAGTGATTACTGATAGAGTTTGCTTCACCATTGATGATATCTTGGCTGACATGGACATGGCAGAGTATAAATACTAACTCTACAAAGATAACAGCATATATAGTTGCCTACATTCATATGGATTGCTTGTACTAGTATATATCTTGAGATTTATGAGAATAAGTTGATTCAGATTAATTAGGTGCCACCTCTATACTTTTGGTGTGAAAAGTAAGTTAAGGCCTATCTAGCTAGTCAATGTAATTGTATCCACAACTTAGCATTTTGGTTACAATGGAAGATAATTTGCCATGTTTACAATAGGACTTTTCTATTTTTAAAAGGAAAGTAGCACATGAGGGAAAATTTTCTTGATCACTCTCAATACAAGTTCTTTTATACCATATTTTCACATTTCAAAGAAACCTTGCAACCTCAATCTAGCTTTTACTATTGTTCAAATGGTTGTTGAAACAAACTGGTCGGTCACCAGTACTCAACAATCTCAATCCACCATGTGAAGTCCAACCAGGCCATCAATGCTTCATTGTCTGATCGCTAACTTGTGTTGTCTATCCATCAACACCTACTAACTCTGCATCTAAATTCTCAAGACATAACTTGTACATCAAAAAATTAATTCTTAGCTGTCTAAACGTATAAATCATTCCACCTTACCCTTTTTAATGCATACGTTTTACTTTCCACAGAATACTGGACTGCTTTCGGAAAAATTACTTAAATAAATACTAACATTACTCTTAAACACGTTCTTGTTATTGTTTTAAATTATTAAAAAAATACAATTTTTTGGGTTCTGGAATGGTAATGTGAGTATGGATAAACAGAAGAAGAAACATAAAAATAATATCGTTTGGGCTCTGGAGTGAGTGGGAGTATATGTAAGGTGTTTAAAAATTTGTTTCAGTAAACAAAAAAATAATAAGATCAAATATTAAAAATAAACTTTTATAAGTTAAAATTATTTTATGTATGAATTAATTAAAAGCTATATTTTTAACATCTGATTATTAACTTATATGTTTATAAAAAAATAATTTTATTTTTTTCCTTTTAAATAAATTTTCTCTAACTATACTAGTTATACAATAGGTTAGAGCAAGTTTTTCTCTCGTTTTAGAGGATGGTGGTTATCCAACCCGTCCTACTCAAATTAAATACAAATTTTAATAATTTAATTGATATATATTTTAAAATAAAGTATACTTTTTATATAACTCAACCCCGAATCAACAAATGTTTTATGCATAATTAAAAATTAGAAAAAAAATCTATTTATAAAAAAGTAAGATTTTATTTGAAAAAATAATTAGTGCTCCTTGTCTTATCCAAAAATAATTCAGAATATGTTGATACAAAAGATGTAACATATCATTGCAAAAAAAATAAAAAAAATATTGTGTTTTAGTGTCTCTTGAATTTACAGTGATATCAATAACATATATCCTTAATTTAAATAGCTTTATGTATCTTTCACATTCATAACACAAGTAATCAAAATAAATAAAGATTAAAAAAATTAATAAAAATTCATCTAGTCTCAACAAATCATTATTTATTTAATTTAAATATATTTTTTCTACGCTTTTTTTATCCTTCCCTCTTATATTTTAACTTGTTTAATATTTTTTCTATTCGGCCTTTTCAACTATAATATTCAATATATGTAATATTTTATAAAAAAAATTTCCATTGTTTATACATCATTAGTGAACATATTTTACCAACAAATACTATATATCGCATATTTTTAATTTTTTTTACACTTAAACATATATTATAGATATTAATAATTAAAGAGATCAAATAATTGATTTAAAATTAAGATTCAAATTTTATTTATTTTAAAATTTTTCGTATTAAATATAATTAAATAAAAAATAATATTTAATAATACATTTTAGGATAATTTTTTATTATTTTAACAAGTTAATCTCATAATACTTTAAAAATACAGTTCATTTAAGAATATATGTCTTAAATTATTATTGGCCTCTTAAATTTCTTTATATATACAATTTTCTATTACTCTTATATTTATATTTTTTTCTCTTATTTAATTAGAGTAATTTTTCAAAATAGTTTCACACAAAATAATATTTTTTTTCTTTATATATATATATATATATATTTATTTTTTTCAAATTATCCCCTTATTATTACTAAATACAACGTAATTGTGACCCCCTTACTGTGACACGCTAAGGTTTGAAATGGATTTCACAATCTTGTTGATACAAGTCTTTTCATCACTGACGGATTTTTGTTAAAGTGAAGGAACTATGATTCCCCATTTCTTTTATTTAATTTTACGCTATTAATATAATATTGTATATCTAATTTATGTGTTGAATTTTATTTGACATCCAATAACAGTTTTTTAGGCTCCACCGCTGCTCTTCACCTAAAATAATAACAACTATTTATTTATTTTCTGCAAGATCTGCAACTCCATAAGACAAACATGTAATTTAAAATAATAAGAGTCCATATCAATTATAAGTTTTCGATGCAAGTTGGACAAGAGAAGGTTGTAATATTGTGTAAACTGCAAACCAGCCATTGTGAGAAGGGTGAACATTGTCCCAAAAGAAAGAAAGTGTCGGCTTTTCACATACTGTATATTTCTTCTCTCCTTTATCATCCACACTTCCACATGAATCTCCCAAATTCTCTACCTCACAGCATGGCTGCAACGGATTCATCAGTGTTGAATTTTCTGCATGATGTAAAAAAAGAAAGCCATCATCAACACATAGACGTTGCCATTTTTTAATTCAGTAAGATATTCATCCCTTAACTATGAAGCTATCTACAGTCAGATGTTGCCATATTTTTATTCTTATGCTTATTATAAGAAAAAAAAAGTAATTGCGTGCACAATATCAATCAATTTATGTTATCTGTCATGATTAGAGTAACAGGAAAATAAGGATTAGAGTAGTATCAAATTCTTGCATTCATACATTATTAAGGATCCATTCTAGTGTTTTATTGAGTATCAAGCGGGTCTAACTTTGTTTGTATTTCCACATAATATAGAAAATAATATAGAATGTGTTGTTAGCATTTCTTTAACTAGCATGGTTTAGATAAAAAGAGAACTTTGAAAAATAAATATCAAATTCTTTCCTCTCGAATTTTAGGCATATATATTGAAAGCAGAATGAGAACTAACCAGCATGCTGTTTCTGCATTGTTTCAATTACTAAGAAGAAGGAGCTGTAGAGATCTAGTGTTATGAAAACTGATTTGCCTGTTTGATTGTTGAGTTGTTCTATAGCTTGGAGCAGCTTTATGTTGTGATCTTTGGAGACAAAGTTCAAAACGCTAATGCATTTCTTACGGAAAGATATCACATTCAACGCAGGCAAACACCCAATTGGTTGTAATAACCCCACTGCTACCTTATTTATCCCTAAGCTGTGAATGCGATTCAGATTTACAGATATTTGCTTCACAAGGGATTCAATGAAGGCTGGCATATCCTGTGAAAGAAAAGGATATAGAAAAAGTTATGGGCAATATATAAGCACAGTAACATCTGAAAATGGACTTACAAAAAGGTTTGTTTTTATAAAATGTTATCTTATTCTTGTATTTCTTGTTTCTGAATTTCTAAATACTTGTATAAAAGATGGTAATAAAAGGGTTTTTACCCTTCTACTATAAATGAATATAAAAATAAAAACGGTATAACATTAATTATTTATAAAAATAGAAAATATATTCTCCCCCAAAAATAGGTCTTATGGAACTGTATCTGTTTCTAATTTGATTGGAATCACAGAGCAAAATGAGACAATAGGAACACCAAACTTTGTGCCAAAATATAAACATAATTAGCATAACCACTTACTAAAATGCGCCCATTTTTAACTGCATTTGTATAATCATTACCACCAGCATTGACGAGAGCAATTGAGGATTCAAGATCATGTTTGGTATAGATATTTTGTTGGATTAGGTTCTCAAATGAGTCAATTTGGGCAGTCATGTTTGGTCCATCAATGGAAGTGTTGAAAATACCAGTCCCTCCATAGGCAAAGTTTATGCCGTACTGCAGATTAGACGAATTTCTCAACGTATATGGTGTAGGGGATTCAATTTTCAGAAAGGAAGCTGCAAGAAAACACTATATCACCCAACAAAAACAGCCCAAAATTAACACAACAAAAATGGGCACAAATTAGATTTATTTAGTAAAGTTTGGTTTAGTTGTAACATTCCTAAAAGGTAGCCTACATGAAACGATTCATGTATATCCTAGTGTGCAAAATTAGAGCTCAAGTCTTGCAATTAATATGAAAATAAATCTGATTCAAATCCAAATTTGTCCTGTCAACCCATTTTGAGTGTTCTTTTAAATTTAAAGTTGCATGTAGAGAGTGGAAAAAGGAATATTACCAACATAATCAGTGAGAATGCGACCGTCACAGAATCTCCCTGCAGGTTTACCAGGAAAAGTGATTCCATTGGGAGGCTTGTATGATTCTGAATGCACGAAATTCCCTGTGTCAACATAGGAGTCCCCAAAAACAAACAGTTTTGTTGCAGTGTTGCTGTCGTATACCCCATATGACTTCTTAGCCCCTTCCACTTCTGCAACATTGACATATAGATATATATAGCTGTTATTACCAACCAATGTTAAACTTAAAAGGGAATAGAATCTGATTGTGATGTTACGTTACCTACGTACCTGTGGAAATCATGAAGAGAAGAAAGGGAAAAAGGAGAAGAGAGATTATGGAGAGAATTTGCATTGCCATTGATGATCCTTCACAGTCGAGGAATATTAACACCTTCTGTGTGTAAGTGGTGAAGCAAGAGAAGTATAAATACTCTGAGAGAAGCATAGACAGACATAAGTTATTAATTAGGGTCTTGAACTTTCTAACCTTTTTATTTTAGTAATTTTAAAATTTTTAATATGTATATATTTTGCATCAGGGTAAGTGTTTTTTTATTTGGGGGGATTAATTGTGAAGTTAATAATATATAAGTGTCATTTATCTCGTTTAAGGCAATTAACTAAAATCAAAATTATAATATCTTAATACTTTGCCTTTTTTGGTGACAAAATTTAAAAGTGTCCCTTTTATTAAATTCAAATATTTATAATGGTTAAACTATTAATTATTTCCTACCTATAAAAAGGTGCCATTTTTTTCTTTTAGGACAAGATCATTCTATATCTAGTGGCAATAACATGTATGGGTTTTATGAGCATTAATTATTCGCAATAAATAATATGAATATTTAATATTTAATAGTTAATAATTAATAATTAATAAATAAACATTTTTAACATGAACAGTAGTTTCTCATATTTAAAAAATATAAAGACGAATTACGTTATTGGGATTAAGCAATTTAAATATAATTTTGTTTTAATATATTTTTTTAACTTTAAATAATTTATATTTATTTTTAAAAATGGTTTAATTTAATAACTTAAAAATGAAATAACTTACCATATTACTCAAAATTATTTCAATGAAAAATTATTTCAAATAACTAGTTTTTTATTTCAGTATTTAAATAAATAACCTCTGACAAAATAATTTTAATAATGATAATAAGGAAGTGTAAGAACTTCTCCAAATCAATATCAACCACCAGGCTGATGGGGAAATTCAATGCTTTGAATTTTTTTTATATTTATTACGTATTTGTCCCTTAAATGAAAAAATAGCTATTATAAATTTATGTATTATTTCAAAACATTACTCTTGCTTTTAATTGGGGAAATTTGTTGTTAACTGAAAGACAGTGTTGTTCCTTTAAAAAATAAAATAAAAAAGGTAAAAACTTGAATAACTTAACCATTCCAGATTGCAAAAATATAGATTGATTATTTAAATTAATTGAATCGGGATACTTCCATCTCAAAATTGATGAAACTGAACTATGAAGTGGCATTGAACAACTTATAAATCTACGTTTGAGGTAGGTTTTAACGAGTGAATTGAGATGGATGGTTTGAATAATCTTAACATGGATGGAGTGGTGAATGCAGATTCTCTTTTGAGGTGACATTTTAGAAATTGGGAATACGAGGTTGTCTTTGGATTCTCCATTTTCGAGGTTTAGGTTGTGTTTGGTTCCATAATCCATTACCCATGCCAGATTGTATATACATATCTTGGTCCTTTTACCCACCAAACAAAAAGTAAATCGATATTTGAAAAAAATTCTCACCCATAGATTCTAGACATAATAATTAATTATCAGTGTAAATTCTTTCAAATCTAAATTTCTATTTAAGATTTGGAATGGGTAAAATATATTAGCATATTAGAAGTGATTGTAAGAATAATTTAGGTGGGAATGAATTCTTTTTCAGTATTATAAATAAAGCATTTTGAAAAATAAAAATCTTGTATTTTAAAAATAGTTTTTAAATCAATTTATACAACTTTTTTTCTTTACATTAGTTTATTTTTTATGGAAGGTTAGTAAATCATGTGTTCCTTTTCTTTTCAAGAGAAGGAGCCAAGTCCTTGTAACCATGCATGAAATAGTAGCTTATGTTAATTTAGGAAAAAGTGGATTGAGGCTTACTACGTAAAGTAATTCCAAATTTTTGTTCATGTCCACATCTTGTGGTTTAATGTCATTTTCAAGCTTCCAGTCAAAGAAGTTGATCAGGGAACCCAACATCCCAATAGAGCGAGCATATGCGCCTTCCAGCACCAAAGGGTTCAAGTTCAAAATTTCGACCTTTCATGTTAATGTTTGATCCCAATAACCTCTCAGATGAGAACAAAGTTGGTTTTGCCCTAAGTTTGGGATTGTGAGGCTCAAAAGTTAACTTCTCTTTCTGAGTGCAAGCGGAATGTCTTATGATTGCTTACAAGTAAGGAAGTTTACCAATATCAGCTTCTATCACTTCTTTTAGCTCTTTCATTTATTGCCTTTGACATGACCCTCTGGGTTGAGTACTGCATCAGTCATTGCCTATTCAAGTGTTGAGATGCCATAATTCATAATTCCAAACTGAGTGAGTCCCATAGCAATGTTAATAATTACAAAGAAAATAAGTAACATACTTGTGCTACACAACTTTAGTTCTTCAAAAAATATACCAAACTGAGTGAGTCCCACATAGGCTAACCTCAAATGGCAGCCTCCAATTTTTTTCTATATACAGAGGATTCTTGCGTCTGACAGCACATGAGTTACTTGATATCCCATGTTTATTTCTTCAAATCAATGCTTTCCTACTTTATTGCAAGGGAGGTCTCTAAATTTTTAATTTTTGTTAAAATCAGTTATTTACAAGAGAGTACCCAGTGAATGGCACAATGTTTATTTTGTAATCATGTATTGATTTGAACGCCATATATTGATCACGCAATAAAGGAAGGAATGCATGTAATAATAAATAGCTATACTGCAAAAGAAGAGATTGAGCTCAACAAAAAAAATTATATTCAGTTTATATTGCAAAAGTGGTGTTAATTCACATGGATTAAATATAAATGTCACTTTTATCAATAATAAAATTCATATCTCCTTTCTTTTAAATGATAATAATAAATATAATCAAATTTAGATGTTATTAATAATAAAATTCATAATATCCTTAGAGTGATAATAAGTAGTTAAATGTTTGAAAAAAAAGAAAAATTATTATTATAGAGTTAATTTGATTGAATTGTTTTAATTTAATAATTCTTTTTAAGATTTTAGTTTATATTCAAGTTAAATTTTATGTTTTAATTAATCAATATCTTATATATTATTGGATAAAACATATTTTCATGCAGTAATTATTACATATTTTTATTTTAAGTGTAAGTAATGATTACATATTTTTATTTTAAGTGTAATTTAAATTTTCATAATATATTCATGAGTATAACGAGTTTTATTCTCTCAATTCCTATTTTGCATATTTTTTTAATAAGATCTTGTAGTTGAACAAAGGTTACTAAATTAAATAAAGTCAATTTATAATTTTATCTCTGAAGAAAAAATTGATAAGTCTTGTAAATAATAGGTGTAAACATCTCTTGTTGGATGTTAATGTTGTTCATTATGAACATAATTGAAGAATCAATATAGTTATTCCTAATTTATTGGAAGAATGTCGCTTTGTAGACTCCGTGAAAGCTTCATTTTGTTATAAGAATAAAGAATTTGCATGGCTTTTTACATAGTTTCATGCAATTGATTTGAAAAGGGATTTTTTTAAATGGATTTTATTGTGTACGTACTTGATGAAATGAAAGATATAAATAATATATATTTAAAATAAACTATGGATGACTGATTTTTTAATCTAGCCATTCGACTAGGGACGACTGTTCCTTTGTTAAATTTCAAGGATTTATTAAATTTACTTTCTATCTTTTACGTTAAGTATGATAATTTTATCTAATGGACTGATATGATAATATTTATACAAAATGGTATTTAAAAATGCACAAACTTAATAGTGAATATTTTAAGCTATAATATAAGATTAATGGTAAAATGCATAATATAAGATATTAACGAAACTAAAAATGTAATTAAAGTATTTGTTCTTTAACAGATTTCAAATTGGAGTTAACTACTATCAATTATTAGCTAACTTTCTAATTTTTTTGGCTAGCTCATCAACTATTTTTGTTAAATATAATTTGTTTTCTCTTTTACTCCTGATGTCTTAACTCTTCATATAGTTCAAACAAATCACCAAATATATTTTCCAATAATGACAATTAATGTCACTAACAATACTATTTTCTAACCAATGTTCAAATGTCAATGTCTACTGGGGGTCTTTAATATCCGAAAAGCCTTACAATAAAAACCCAGATTCCTGTAAAGACCTATAATATTGCTAGACAACTGCAGCATGCTGTAGTCTCACCTTCTGTAGGAATCTTGGCCAATACAAGTGGTTTATATTTTCACTCACATGGGCAATTGTAGCATAACTGTCTAAAAACCTATCTAGAAGATATGATTGAGTTTGTAGATACCTGCGTGCAGACCAAAGACATAACATCTCCCGCCCAAGCCTACTTGAATGAAGTATGCATTGCATTCATCTCCCTTAACTGGAAGTTATGAAACCATGTAAGTTCACAGCCCTGGAATGAGTGAGCACTGAAAAGAGAATAAGTAATGCACTACAGATAAGCTACCTCCACTACCAAGACAGCCTTTAATGTAGTTATAAATTACATGTGGTGAGTGTAAGAGAGTATGGAGGCTCCAAGCAATATGAAACTGGATTCATTTTTTATGTGAAGTAAAACATAAATATAACCAACACGTATTTATACTAATGATTAGATCATGTACTTCTATCTATATAAAAAGATTCTTTATCCTAATCATGTGAGGAAATAAATTGGAAACCAAAATAAAATTATGAAACAACACCTAAGATAGAGGACTAATTAATCATATAAATATAATATTTACATGATATTCAGACATGTTGTGGATATTCCAACATGAATACAGTCTAGTTTACACTATCATGCCTTGAAACTTGAAAGCATAAAGATTGACAAACACCACCCGTCAAGGGAACTAAATTCATACAGCAGAGCTGGTAATAGTAAAGACCTTTTCTCTTTTGTCAACGCATTCCTGTTGTATCTTGGTGGGTTAGGCTTGGCAAAATCTACTACTATCATCCAGCCATTGATAATCTGCACGTAGATTAAAATTTTCAGAGACCGCCAAGCCAATTTCATTTCTGAATTATTGAACCCATTCTTATTCTTTCTCCATGACAGCTATGAAACGGAACTGATTCAAAGCAAAAAAACATTTTTCAAGAAAGTGAGAAAGATGAATCTACCTTGCCATTCATCTCTTTTAGTGCTGCACTCGCAGCTTCCTCTGTGGTGTATTCAACAAATGCATAACCCTTGGACCTTTTTGAAATCTTGTCCATAATAACTTTAACTGTAAAGCATTACCATTTAAGATTAAAAGCTGGGATGATTTGTTTCTGTTATGAGACACGCAATATTGATGAGCAATGATACCGAGTTACCTTCAACTAGCTCACCAAAGCCTTCAAATGCTGCACGTAAGGTTTTCTCAGATGTATAAAACGATAGCCCTGTTGACGAGACATAATTTCCAAGTGGTATCATCTCTTGCAAGAACCAAAAATGCTATTCTCATGAAATAATTAAAGCTCCCATAAAGTAAAGAATAGGTTGGCAAATTGAGCTAAACATGAAAAATAGAGACAGATACCATCTGACAACTGATAATCTTCTAAAAAAACTATCTTTTAAAAAATATTTTTTTTACTACTTTTTTTGTACCATGTTTAGTATTTTGTAAAGGTACATGCCAAATTACTTGCTCTTAGACAAAGTAATTAACATATAATTCTTAGTTGAATAGCCATCATATGAATAGCCAGATGAACAGAGATTAAAGCACAGGTTTATACCAAGAATAAATGTTATGGCCATACCTGTCACAAAAAGTTTCTTTGTTTTCAAGGGAGCTTCCTGACTTTCAGAAGATTTGGACATATTCCAACTACTTTCTAAGTTACTACCTGAAATATGTATAGTTAGTAGAAAATCAGAGAGAATGGACATTGATCAACACCAAAGTGTACGAAACCATGAATGGGCATAATTGAATATCAGAGGAAAGGAAACCAGATTCTCATGATTACAGCAAGAATCTTAGTCCTACACCAAGGTTTAACTCAGTTTTACTAAACATGCATGAAACCAGCTTGACACTACACACATAACTCTGAGGAGTTCAGTAGAAGCAAGATTATATTATTAACAAGATGTGAGGAAAAAAATGTGGTGGAATCTACAAAACTGTTTACCTCCATAATCCTTATTTTCAGACTCAAAATTGTTATCTGGCTGAACTGATAAGACACCTGACACACCTGCACCACAAGCAACTGATTTGATTAGATAATTTAAAATTTGACACTTGCGTTAAGGTTCTCCAAGGCTAACCAGCCAGCTCTTGAGCACAATCCTCATCAAGTTCACAGCAAAACCCGAAGTTGGTTTTCCAAGAGACATGATATATACACATTTGTGCATCCTTCTCACTGCAGACATTATTGTCATTTACGTTTAGGGAGAGGAGAAATCCCATAACAATAGCATGAGAATTAGATTTCACTGCCCTTACTTTCCCATGACCTTGGTCAAAATTTGAGCATAGTAATCGACAATCTGAGCCTTGGTAACAACCTCAACCCCAGGTTTATGTATTCTAACAAGCCAATGCTTTGAATTTCCAGTAGGGAACAACATATTGGTAATAGTTTGTAATCCTGACGAGTGAATTGCCTGGCCCCTTGATAAACTATAGTCCTTTCTCGAAGAGTTGAAATCCGGGTCAGGCCTAACCAACAACACCCCAGGCAAACCTGGCAACATACATGCATCAAAATCGATTTGATTTTAAAAATAACATCAAATGCAACATCACTTCCACAGGATTAAACTCCAAACACCTATTTTTGCAGGAACACTATAATACATTGGACACAAAAACACATCTGAAATTGTGAACATATAAGCCTTACTCCAAAGATTATCCCATCACCAATTTAATCTAAAAAAGAAAAACAACTTACTGGCCAGCTGGGGGGATATTTCTTCATCAATGTCACAACAAAACCCGAAGTGGGTGTCCCATGAAGCATCATATATACACATCTGAGCATCTTTTTCACTGTTGAAACCAAATTCAAAGCAATTTTCAGCTAAACCAGAGAGAGTACGAGAAAGGGACAAGAATCATTGAACAAGTACCTGCCGAGTACTGTTTGTAGAATGTTGACATAATAATCAATGACTTGTGGCTTGGAATTGAGCCCTTGAGGAGGTGTGTCCATGACCACCATCCAATATCGGTTCTGTGTGGTGGAAGGATTGAGGAAAGGGCATGTTTTTACTGCTACCCTAGTAATAGACCATTTACACGAAGAAGAAGAAAGATTGGAATGATTTATTTTGTTGGGTAATCTTATATTTACTGGAAGTTCATGAATTTGGGTTGTCCTTGTTTTGGGAAAGGAAAATGATTGACATTTGCTGAGTGTGACAGACACAGAGAGAAGTTCCATGTTTGTGCGAGGATCCTATATTCCTATGGCTTTGTTTCACGTGAAATTGAAACGACAGACTGGGAACAGATGCTTATCTTCCCGAGCTGCTGTCACTGAACACTTCAAATTGTTAATGGGTTTCTTTCTCCTCATATCCCATAGAATGGAAAAGGAAATTTTATAAAAACATTAAATAATATGATATTAATAAAAATTTATTTTTTTATAATTATGAATATTTTATTATTAAAAAAATTGTAGAATAGAAGTTTGGAAAGAATAGGTCATCATGATCCCATAAAATACAACAAATATATACAAACATAAATATCTTTTCTTTAAGGAATATTTTTTTTCAACATAATTTAAAGAATTTTAAAAAGGAAAATCTCTTACCTCCTTGAGTCTTCTTAAATAACCTCGGTTTCTAAACACCATTCATCTCTCCTAGTTAGAATATTAATATCTCTCTCAGAAAGTATAGTATTATCTTTCTTTCTTTTTTAGTTTTTTGTTTTTGTTTTTTACTTAGATCAAGAAATATGATTATTTTATTTTATTTTTATAAAAAAATTATGATATTTTTTAGTTTATCCTTTTTCACTTATGCATATTAGTTTTTTATTATATTTTTATTTTTTATACTAAATGAGTAAACTAATTGCAAATTGCAAGTCTGATACAGATAAAATGTATAATTAAAATAATTAACTAGAGTTTTGAAAACAACATTTAATAAAAAAAACAAAAGTTTTTAAAATTCAATACTTATTTTTTTTAAAATAATAAATAAATGGTGCTCGAGTTATTTATTAAATCAAATAAGGAATGCGATTATTTTTTTCAAAAAAAAAGATGCTTTGATTTAAAAATTAGAATAAAAAAATAAGTGTTATTTATAAGTGTTATTTTTTTAATTATGATATTTTATTAATACATATTATATATATTATATATTGTACATTTTAGAAACAATGATTAATTCATATTAAAATCTATTTTATCTAAAAATATAGATTTTTTTATTTGATATAATGTATCAAAATTCAGATTTCAAAAAAAATAAAAATCCAAACACGATTGGACTTGGTTAAGTTTAAATAATAGTATTTTTGAAAAATAAAAAATATAAGCATAAGGGGGAAAATATACACTCATGTTCATGTTACTCGACAAAGAACAAGTTTTTGCTTATTAAAAAAAAAAAAAAAAAAAAAAGTTCACACCTTACTTAAACTTAGCATATTATGAATTTGTTTTACACAAGTAGCATAATATATTATTATCATTGGAAAAACACAAAATATTCCAGAATTGTTTTTTCATGAAAAAATGTTGATCGAAATTTATGTAAATGTAGGGTCGTTCAAATCTCACAAACTCGTTCCATGTTTATTATTTTATGGCAAAATATACACATTTTTCAATTATGATTTTTGTTTAAGTTCAATATACAAGAGTGGCCAAGCATGTTTCAATACAATCAGTTAGTTGTCACTGAGAAGAGGGGTTTCTGTGCTGCCCTCTATGTCATTACTGGAATTACTATCTGGCTTCAGCATGCAAGCAAAACAAAGAGAGATTATCTGAAAAAATTGAAAGATTTCGAAGTTAGTAAGAGAAAAAGAGTGTAATACAAGAGAAGAGACGACAGACTCTAGAGAGCTTACCATGCATATGGATGCACATATAATACTAAAACCTTTACATTCAAAGGGAGCATTGCTAGATAAAAACCATGCTGAAACCATATTTATACATGTTGTGAGAGAGTAATCAAATGGTCTAATAAGCATCTAGCAAAGACACTATTCAACTCACAGGTCAATGGACTCATAGCAATTGGTGATAACAAATCTGATATAGATTGTGTCCCCGCAATAAAAGTTTGTACTTTTCCCTGCGGTGAAGTTAAAGCATAAAATTCTGAGAAAGAAGATCACATAAAATGTGTTTAAAATTATTCTACCGAAGACATTTTTATTGTATACTATGGTGGTTAACTTATGAAAAAAAAACTTAACTTTAGACTGCAGTTTTTCTTGTTGGAACTCAAGGTATAAATGAAAATGTGTAAAATGTATATTTCTTCGTTGAAGCAATTACACAACAGAAAGTAAAAAACTGTCAGATTCTGCATGACAACAAAATAGGAATAAATGGACTCAACTATCTCCTGAATAATAGAGCAGTATAACAGTCTCTAAAACTAGGAACTTTGTTAACTGATACACGTATTTACAGCTTTTACTAACATTTTCTCCCTTAAGCTACATGCTGATGCATTTAGCTTTTCAGTGGCTTTAACTACTCCAAGCATGCTTCAAAACTTTTCAAATTGATCAAGTTTCAGTGGTTTTGCCTTAATGTCAGCTACCTAGTCATTAGAACTGCAGTACGTTAGGCGTACTACTTGGTTATTCACCAAGTCTCTCACGAAGTGGAATCTAACTGCAATATGTTTGTTTCTTCTATAGAAAATTGGGTTTTTGAATAGTTGGATAGAAGAGCTATTGTCACATAATATTTTAGTTTCTTTCTTTTCCTCTGAACCCAGATATTCTAAGATTCTTCTGAGCCAGATACACTGACATGCACAGAGTGATGTGACAATATATTCGACGTAAATAGTAGATAAACTTACAACAGACTGCTTTTTTGAGGCCTATGAGACAGCTGTAGACCCCATTATAAATACTGAGCCAGATGTGCTTCTTCTATCATCCAAGTCTCTCACATAATTGCTATCACCATAAGCTATGAGATCAGTTTTACCTCCCCTTTTATAGAATAGAACATGCTTTGTGGTTCCCTTGAGGTACCTTAAGAGTCTTTTTATTGCAGCCCAATGTGACTCCTTTGGGTTAGCTATGAACCTGCTGATCAGACTTACCCCAAACATCAAGTCTGGTCTAGTTACTGTTAAGTACATGAGGCTTCCAATAGCTTGATTGAATTTAGTTGTATCTATTGCAGCACCATTATCATCCTTTGATAACATGGTTCTCGGAACAATAGGATTGCGCACAGGATTTCTATCGGTCATGTTGAATCTGGTTAGAACTTCACGGGCATATCTTCTTTAACAAATAAAAATCCCATCATCACTTTGTATGACTTCTACTCCAAGAAAATGTTTCATTTTACCCAAGTTAGTCATGTCAAACTCTAGCTTCATCGAGCTTTTGAATTCCTCACACATGTCCCTACTATTCCCAATAAAAATTAAATCATCCACATAGAGGTTAACAATTAAAATATTACTGTTATCCTTTTTGGTAAACAATGTGTGTTCACGGGAGCATCTTTCAAATTGTTCATTTGCAAAGTAAGCCTCAATTTTGTTATACCATGTTTTGGTGCTTGTTTAAGCCCATATAATGCTTTCTTTAACCTGTATACTTGATCTTCTTTTCCTTTCTTGATAAATCCTACGGGTTGCTGGACAAATACTTCTTCTTGAAGTTCACCATGTAGGAAAGCGTTTTTACATCTAGTTGAAACACTTCCCATGCACTTTGCGCTACCAAGGATAACAATACCCTCACAGTATCAAGTCTAGCCACTGGTGCAAGTACCTCTGTGTAGTCTATTCCATATTTTTGTGCATAGCCTTTGGCCACTAGTCTGGCCTTATATTTCTCTACATTGCCACTTTAATTGAATTTCGTCTTAAAAATCCATTTAACTCCAATTGGTGTAACACCTTTTGGAGAATCAACGAGTTCACAAGTATTGTTCCTTTCAATCGCCTTCATCTCTGCATCCATTGCTTCCCTCCACTTCTTGCTTTTACATGCTTCTTCGAAGGAGTATGGATCGTCAGCGTCAGTTGTTATCATTGCCATTAAGTTCTCTTCTTTTGCTTTTGCTAAGAGATTGGTTTCGTAATCGGCCATCCATACAGGTTGTCTTCGTGTTCTTGTTGTTCTTCTTTCACTTGTCCTTGCTGACCTCCCTTCAACTTGATTATTCATTGTTTCATTTTGTATAGATTCTGCATCTTCCTTTCTACATTGCTTTCCTTGTCTTCCCAATCAAGAATTTTGGCTTTAACTTTTTCTGCATGCTCATGCCAATTTCAACTTTTTCCTTCTTCAAACACTACATCTCTGCTTACAATGACTTTCTTTGTAATGGGATCATATAGTTTGTAGGCTTTAGACTCATTACTGACTCCCAAGAAGACGCATCTCTAACTTTTGTTATCTAACTTGTTTCGTTTCTGGTCTAGAATATAAATGTGTGCAACACAATCAAATATTCGAAAATAGTCAACACATGGCTTGATGCCACTCTAAACTTCTTTAGGAGTGCATTGATCTACTGTGGAAGTTGGACTTCTATTTTGGACATGTACACACCACCGAACCGCCTCAGGCAAAAGATTTTGGAACCTATTTCTCGTGTAAAATTGCTCGTACAACATTCATGATGGTTCAATTTTTGCATTTTGCGACTCCATTCTGTTGGGGAGTATAGACAATCGTCAATTGCCTGGAGATACCTTGATCAGTACAAAATTATGAAAATTCCTTAGAGGTGAATTCACCACCTTTATTCGTTCTTAGACAAGTAGTGTAGGTGTCAGTTTCCTTTTTAACACATGCTTTGAAGCTTTTGAAGACATTAAAGGCCTCAGATTTTTCGTGCAAGAAGTAAATCCAAGTTTTGCGTGAGCAATCATCAATAAAGCATAGAATATACCTTTTGTTGCTATGTGAGGATGGTGTAATGGGACCACAAATGTCTGCATGGATCAACTGAAGCTTTCTTGTTGCCCTCCACGTGTTTTTCTTTGATATGGAGTCTCGTTGTTGTTTTCCAACAAGGCAAGTAGTGCAAATTGTTTTGGCAGATTTCAGCGAAGGTAGCCCGAAGAACCATCTATTTGCTCACAAGTGTGCTCAACCCTTTAAAGTGGAGGTGTCCGAAACGACTATGCCACAATTGAGTTTCTTTTTTCCGAATCATCTTCAGCTTGGAGGCACATGGGATGTAGCGATCCTATCAAGTAAAACATCCTATTCCCTTTCATGTTAGTGTGCATAATTAATCCTTTATCTGGGTGAAATATCTTACACATGCCATTTTGAATTAGAATGGCTAAACCTTTCTCTTGAAGTTGCCCTAGGCTTAGTTGGTTGGTCTTAAGCTCAAGAATAAAGTAGACATCTGATATTACATGAGAGATGCCACCGATTTGCACTCGAATGCTTCCTTTTGTGACAACAGCCATTGTGGTGTCATTTCCCAGTTTGACCGTTCTACTAAATCCTTCTTCTATATCTGCAAAACAATGTTTGTTTTCGATTATATGATTACTACAACTGGAGTCCAGAAACCAAGCTTCTTCCTGTATAGTTTGTGGTGACTTTTCATATGCCACCAGTAGGACCTCTTCTTCTGCCTCCTCAAGCGCAAATCACTCAGTGAGTGCTTTGTTTCCTTGGTATCTTCCTCTCCCACGGCCTCGACCACCTCTGCCTCTGTCGGATTTGTAATCATTGGTGACTTTTAGTACATGTTCGTTTGTCTGGAATCCTTGCATTCTTTGCTCCTGAACAAGTAGGTTATCGTGAAGTTCGCCAATACTCAACGTGCTCAAGTTGTTGGATTCTTCTATTAAGCATACCACGCAATTAAATTTAGAAGTTAACGATCTCAGGATCTTGCCCACCATGCTGTGTTGCATGGTTTCACCATTTGATTTCATCTTGTTAACCACACTTAGGGTCCTCCCTAAGTAGCTATCAACCTTCTCGCCTTCTTTCATGGCCAGCAACTCAAACTAACATCGCAACACTTGGAGTTGGGTTCTCTTCACTTTAGTAGATCCTTAATATTTTTGTTGCATGGACTGCCATATGGCCTTTGAGGTGCTCTTATCCAAAATATTTTGCAGAATCTCCATGCTAATGACTTGAAACGGGAAATTCTTCACCTTCAAGTCCTTTAACTTGGCGTCTTCCACACTCTTCCAGTGTGCTCCTTCAGTGGATGTGGTTTCAATTATTTGTATGCCTTCTTCTACGAGTTGCCACAACTCCTTGCTTCGTAGAAAATTCTCCATTGTCATAGACCAGAAGTGCAGAAAATACGTTGTGTATTTCTCATTTTAGAAAAGATACAACCAAAGAAAGTATAAATAGAATACAAGGTAATAAACATATACATTAATCTATTCCTGGAAATCAAGGAAATATTCTCCCTATAAATGTTCTACATAACTGTGTACAAATAACGAAATAAAACTGATTATATTATCATTAAATCCTATCATAATTGAATTATTCTAATTGATAGTGTTGATCTCCAACATTCTCCCTCAATTTGTGGGTGATAGATGTCTATCATACCCAGATTGGATCTAATGTTTTCATATGGGTTTCTTGGAAAAGCCTTTGTCAGAATATCTAATGTTTGTTTGCATGATGGAACATGGTTAACACTTATAATACCATGATCAATTTTTTCTTTAATGAAGTGTCGGTCAATTTCCACATGCTTTTTCCTATCATGGTGTATTGAGTTTTTTGCTATGCTTATAACAACTTTGTTGTCACACATTATCGTCATAGTGTAATTGATAGAAATTTTGATTTCATCTAACATCCTCTTAAGCCGGATTCTTTCACAGATACCTTGAGTCATAGCTCTGAATTCAGCTTCTGCACTACTCCTTGCCACCACAAGTTACTTCTTGCTTCTCCAAGTCACCAAGTTTTCCCACACAAAGAAACAGTAGCCTGTAGTTGATTTCCTGTCAAAGGACATCCTGCTCAATCTGAGTCAGTATAGACTTCAATACCTATGTTTGAATTCTTCTTGAAATAGAGCCCTCGGTCTGGTGTACCTTTGAGGTATTGGAGTATTCTGTTTGTTATGTTCATGTTGGCCTCAGTTGAATTAGATGTATAGCGACTAACCAAACTGACAACAAACCCAATGTTGGGCCTGGTGTGAGTTAGGTAGGTTAACTTCCCAATTAGTCTTTGATATCTATCTTTATCAGCAGGTGGGCTTTCCTCTTCACATCTCTTTTCCGGTTCTATGGGAGTATTGGCTGCCTTGCACCCAAGCATGTCAGTTTCTTAAAGTAAGTTCAGTGTTTATTTCCTTTGTGATACATAAATACCATCCTTCGTCCGAACAACTTCCATCCCTAAAAAGTATTTGAGCTGGTCCAAGTCCTTAACTTCAAATTCCTTCGCTAAAAGTCCCTGCAAATGCTTGATTTGATCATCAACATAAACAATGAACTACCTTCCCCTCTGCGGAGTGTTTGACAAACATCATGTGATCTGATTGGTATTGGTTGAATTCATCTTCTTTGACAACTCGAATCAATCTATCAAACCATGCTCTTGGAGATTGCTTAAACTCATATAAAGATTGTTGGAGCCTACACACCATGTTTGAGGTTTTTTGATGATTCAAGTCCTGGAGGAATTTGCATATAGACTTCTTCTTCTAGTTCACCGTTTAGGAAGATATTCTTGATGTCTAGTTGATAAAGTGGTCAATCTAAATTTGTAATTAAAGAGAGTATAACTCGGATTGAATTGAGTTTGGCCACCGGTGCAAACGTCTCTTCGTAGTCCACTTCATATGATTGGGTAAACCCTTTTGCACTTAGTCGGACTTTTTACCGGTTTATACTACCATCTGCATTGTATTTGATGGAGAATATCTACTTGCATCCAATCGATTTCTTCCCTTTCAGTAGGGTGGTAATTTCCCATATGTCATTTTTAATCAAGGTCTAGACTTCTTCTGTTACAGCTGCTGTCCATTCAGGTTGTTGGAGTGCCTCTTGAACATTTCTTGGGATATGTATGTTGTCAAGAGTTGCCACAAACGACCTATACCCCTATGACAATTTTTCATAAGACACATAATTCCCAATGGGGTGTTGAGTGCAAGATTTCGCTCATTTTCTTAATGCAATAGGAATGTTAATGTCATCAATAAGTTTAGGATTAGAAACAATATTACTTAGGGAAAACTCATTTTCTGGAGTTTGGTTTGATTCATGACTTTACCTTGGAGTTGTGCTAGACTCTACTTCCTTTCTTTCAGGCGTAGTCTCGGCTGGCTCTGCATTTACTACTTTAGTTTCCTTTATTGCAGGTGCAGTTTTGGCTGGTTTTGCATTTAGGGCATAGTGGGCTAGCTCAAATCCCAAAAGTTGGGAAGGTTGAGATTCTGCCACTTCAATTGGATAAATCTGCTCCCCTGAATGCCAACTTTGGGGTAATAAGGCTAATTCTCAAAAATATGATATCCATGGTAAAATTTCTTAGTTTGAGGTAAATAACATTTATACCCCTTTTGTTGGGGAGAATAGCTGAGGAAAATACATTTTATGAATTTTGGGTCAAGTTTGCTGCGAAGAGAATTGAGGTTATGGATAAAGGCTGAACATCCAAATATTTTCAAGGAAATAGATGTAAGGATACGACTAGTAAGGTATGAGGTTTGGAGAGTTGAGTGAGGTGTGTTAAAGTTGAGGATTCAAGAAGACATTCTGTTTATGAGGTAGATTGCAAAGAACACAGCTTCTCCCCAAAATTGGTCTAACATGAGAGATCTAGTCACTTCTAAGAGATGTCTATTATTTCTCTAGGCAACCCCATTTTGCTGAGGGGTATCTACACATGAACTCTGATGTATGATTTCATGTCTCTGAAGGTGGTAATATTATCGGTCATTATCACTCCTTATACTTTGAAATTGCATTTCAACCATAGTATGAAAAAATTCAAATATTCTGCCAACTTCTGATTTCTCCTTCATTAAGAACACTCAAGTGACCCGTGTGTGATCGTCTATGAAGGTGACAAACCATCTTGATCCTGTGATATTATTTACTCGTGATGGTCCCCATATATCGCTGTGAATTAGGGAGAAACGTTGAGAGGGTTTATAAGGTTGAGGCGGGTATAAGTTGCGGGTATATTTGGACAATTGACATATTTCACATTGAAACAACTCCTGATTTTTATTGAATAATGTAGGAAACATTCTTCTTAAGTGCATAAAGTTTGGGTGGCCAAGCCGATAGTGCCACAACATTACAAAATTTTTATTTTTAGGTACAACAGCACAAGAGTTGGCCTTGGGTTCCACCTCTGATGCTTCAGTTTGGAGGCAGTAGAGTCCAACACATTCTTTAGCAATGTCAATCTCTCCCCCGTCTCCAAAATATGAAATTCACATAGGTTAGGGAAGAATTTAGTGACACATTTGAAATTTTTTGTTAGTTTGCTAATGCAGAGTAAATTACAATCAAGTTTAGGCACATAAAGGACTGACTTCAGGTTAATATTTTGTAAGATAATAAACCTTTACCCATGACATTAGAAAGAGTCCCATCAGCTATCCAAATTGTGTAATTATTGTGGCAAGGAGTACAACTTTTAAACATAGACATGTGATATGAGGCTCCTGAATCAATGATCCATGACTTTGATTTTCCTGTGCTAGTATTTAGAACATGCAAGAAATTACCTTTTTGTGCTACTGCAGTTGTACCAATTGTTTGCCGGAGATTTTTCTGTAGTGCTTCCATTTGCTCCTTGCTGAATGAAGATGGATTAGAATTTACCTCTGTTGTCCAGGTTTTTTGTCTGTTTTTCCTCTGAAGGCTTGTCATTAATAATCCAACAGGTGTCCTTAGTGTGACCCAATTTCTTGCAGTGATCGCATCAGGGCTGATTTTTTTTTCAGATGGACGAGATTGGTTCCTCCTTGCTGCCATTGTTGTGCCTTCAATGGGTGGGGTTGCACTTGACTTTTCAAGCATTACTTTCCTCCTGCTTTCCTCCCTTCTCACTTCTGAAAATATTTCCCGGATTGTTTTAAGAGGTTTGGTTCCAAGGATTCTCCCTCGGGCTTCATCAAGTTCTGTGCTCAGCCCCAATTGGAACTTGTAGATCCTATCTTTCTCCACCAATTCTTTGCACTCCTTATCCTCGATACAACTCCATTGAACATCTTCATATATGTCTAGTTTCTGCCAATGTCGACTAAGTGTATTAAAATATTCAGTGACTGAGAAATCACCTTATCGCAGTTCATGAAGTATGCTCTTGATCTCAAATATCACAGACGTATTGTCCTCATTTGAGTAGGTTTCCTTCACTGCATTCCATATCTCCTTGGCAGTGTCATAGTACATGAAATTCTCCCCAATTTCATTGGTCATGGTGTTGAGTACCCACATGACTAAACTGTTTTCTAGTTGTCATTTGTTGAGGTTAGGGTCCCCCTCTACTGGACACTTGGAGTCTCCGGTGATGTAACCTTCTTTCCCTTTTCCTTGAAGGAAGATTTTAACTTAACGCACCCATTGAGGGTAATTTTGGCTATTTAATTTATGACCAGTGATAGGAAGAGCAGGTCCTTTGACCAAACTGGTGGTTGAACCTCCTGACTTGTTATCTTCCATGATTGGCTGTTGCACTAGGTTAGGGATGGTCCATATCGAACTCTGATATCATGCGGAAGATACGTTGTGTATTTCTTATTTTGGAAAAGATACAAAGGAGGTATAAATAGAATACAAGATAATAAATCTATACACTAATCTATTCCTGAAAATCAGGGAAATATTCTCCCTATAAATGTTGTACATAAATAACAAAATAAAATTGATTATATTATTATTAAATCCTATCATAATTGAATTATTCTAATCGATAGTGTTGATTTCCAATAAGAAGTCATAATGGCCATCGAATCTAGGAATGACCGACTGAACAAACTTTTCTGATGTAGACATCCTTTGCACTCACACACCCACTGTATTTCTTCTCACACTCGTTACTTACACAATGACCATGCCCCTTGCGGTGCTCTAATACCAAATGCTGAAACTCAAGGTATAAATGAAAATATGTAAAATGTATATTTCTTAATTGAAGCAAAGGTTGGCTTATATAAGCCTTACATAATAAAAAGTAAAAAACTGCCACGTTTTGCATGACAACAAAATAAGAATAAATGGATTCAACTATCTCCTGAATAACAGAGGAGTCTAACAGTCCCTAAAGCTAGGAACTTTGTTAACTGATACACGTAATAACAGTTTGACTAACATTTCTAATGTATTGTAGAAATATATCTCCAAAGAGCATATGTCTATGAACATGTTATGTAATTGGAATACTATTGTTCTTCAATGTTGCCTCTAGCTTGAAAAGTGTTGATCGGTCACATTTGCCTAAAAAAGAACAGTAAATGCTACAATGTCTAACTGAAAATGAGATTATTCCCAGTGTTTGCTAAAACAAGTTTATCACTGTTTTTTAATTTTAACTCTAATTTGTTAAGAGAGAATTTGCAAGAGATGACATATTCATGAGAAGATTTTCTTTTCGTTTATTGATTTAGTGCATGGCTATAGCTTTTTGATGAATATTTCAATACTAATTGGATGCATAAAAAAGGAGCAAACCTGATTGGTAGAGATTGTCGCATTTGAAATAATAGCATGAGACTGCACGAAAAGAAATTAATAGCCATTCAAGGATCATAGAGTTGATTGTAAAACTAAAAGTGGGAATATTTTTGTATCATATGAGAAAACTTGATCAACTACTCACGGAAGGGCTCACAAGGACATAGATGATACCAAAAGAGGCGCTTAAGTATGGTACCTGCATTGGTGCATTAACTCTTACAGTAACCGACAATAAGGAAATGCAAATTGTATGCTTTTTAGCAAGAAATATATGTATGAATTTGTCTGATATTGCAACAAATACCTCACAAGGTTATAGACTCCACTTATAACTTTTTTATTGAAATAAAGCTTACGGCAGATAAGGTGGTAAAGTTGAACTACAAGAGTCATAAAATAAACAGTGAAATTGAAACAACACATAGAAAGATGTCAATTTTACTTACCCAAGGTGCCCATGCTAATCCACAGAGCCAAGCCTACACAGAAATTAAATATGAATAGCACAATGGTATCAGCAAATTTGCTTTCAGGAAGCAAGGGAAAAAGTAAAGGAACAGAAGATAAATTACATATGCTATTGATGCAAGCAAGGCAGAGCAGAGTATAACTTTCTCTCCAACCAATGGATTGAGTATTGGAAGCAACAACATCTGCAAACCAACTGAGGGTAAGTATTTAGAAAAATCAACACTCTTGCATAATCAACTTATCAGACACTCATTGAAGCCTGATTGAATATCACTATGTTAAATCATTTTAGACAAGCAGAATATTAATTGCACAAATAAAAGTACAAGTTTAGGTTTGGAGGACTTAATGGAAGAAAAATATTTGGGAAATATTATACCTGAGAGATAATTGAACCGATTCCTACCATCCCCAGAAGTTCTGAGAACTGATTTTTGTCAAAACTAAAAGCAGCTTTCAAATAGTACTGCACAGGTATTGTGAGACTGTCAAACTATTGAATCGGAAAAAGCAAATTTGTTAGTTATATAGAAGCACTAAAAATAGAATTGAAATAATATAATGCATCATGTTTTATCAAGATATACTGTTCATTATGTGATCTGAGACCTTGAAGTTTCGTGCAAACAAGTAGACCATGGTGACACGCCAAAAAGAACGGTAATTGATTGATTAATAGAAATATAAATACAATGCAGTTGTTAGTAGATAATAATAGATACTGTCTAAATGGCAAAGCTGAAGGTAAAAATATATTAATTTGACACATGCAAGGTACGCATGAATTACTTGAGACAGTATCTGTCAAGGAATTTTCACTAACCCAAAATCTTATGTTAATAGGAAGAGGCCAAATAATGGTTTTCAGATAATCACTCTTTGTTCTTGAAATGCACAAATCACTGACACATTCAACCTTGTTCTGAAACTATAGTGTAAATTGAAAGGGCAGAATTATCATTATTCACTCTCAACGACTCGATAAAAAATGCTCTAATTTTTTTTCTTGAGTAAGAAAACCAACCATCCGAAAATATTTAACCTAAAAGAAGAAGAGTCATTATGACTTTAATTCTCTAACACTTCAAGAAAACCAGAGGCTCAATATGGCCTTCAAATCACAAATAAAATAGCTTGGCAATAAGTTAGAGGTATACCAGCAAAACACTGCTTATGCCTGATATTCCCAGCTCATAAAAGAAGGAGACAAGAGCCATGCCCCTTAAAGTGGGACTGAAAATGAAATATAGCACAGTATTAGGATTCACGCATATATATATATATATATATATATATATATATATATATATATATATATATATATATATATATATATATATATATATATATATATATTATTTGATACAGATAACTAATGTTACAATAAAAACAATGGTCAACACCCAAAAAAGAAAGGGAACCTGAACATTACTACTTCGGCAGCTCTCCTCATAGATTTGTATCTTTGTTGGGGAACATTAACAATTTTAGTCCACCAACCTGACTCTCGATGATTTTTCGGAGCCACTATCACCGTTTCAACAAGGAAGAATTTCATATAAACAGGACAAAAGATCAATAGTGCTGTTGAAATCTGAAATCATTTAATTGTAAACAAGATTCATTACCAAAGGGCAAGAGTATGGAAAATTTGTGATATGATCTGAACATTAACGTACAGCAAAAATGTACTTTTCAGGAAGAAACAGAGCCAGTAAATCCCCTATAACATGTGAAGCAGAAAGGAGACCACTAATCCAACTAAATACTGTTGCCCTTCTACGTTCGGTAACAACATCTGCCTGACAGAGAAAGTATACAGGGTGTAAATAAAACTCTATACCGTACTATGTTTATAATTAGTTAAGAAAAAATCTCACCGCATATGCAACAGTAATGCAGAAAATACTGCCTTGACTGATTATGTTCGAAATTGTACGAAGCACATAGTAGGCATAGACAAATTCCTCAGACTGATGCCAGACAAGTAATGCTTCAACAGAATACAGTGAAAAAAGTAAATAAAAAACCATGAGTAAACAAACTGTCATGGAATTAGAGAAAGTCATCATCACAAGTTTCTGTATGTTTGCATATTCATTTAATTTGACATCGTTTCTTCACTGTTATTTAGATTAATTAAAAGGATGAAAATAACAGTCACTTTTCCTTTCAATTTAATTTTTCTGTCCATTACTGAAATTCTAGTTCGAAGTAAGCAATGTTGTTATGGACAACTTAACACACCGACACTTTAGATTGTACAAAACGTTGAGTGCACATATTTTTATTATGTCTTCCGAATATGAGCAGGTGAAATTAAACTTAGATCACTTGTCCGTGTAATAAATGCCTCGTCGGTTCAATTTGGTATCCATTTTATGAACACACTACAAAGGAGATTGAAAGCAGAGCAGAATAAAGGGGCATTAACAACAAAATTTAAAGGTTTTGCTGTGGCTTTAGTTTGAGATATTGACGCGGTAAATTTTTGAAGTCTTAATGCATTTGATACCAACGAGCATACCCATGGGAAACACAGACGAGGAGACGATAAAAAGGAGCACGGGTTTGCGGCCATGCTCATCTGAAAGCTGACCCAAAAGTGGAATTACCACCATCTTGAAAATTCCAACAATCTGCAGAAAAAGCACATCATTAAATCTAAAATTCCATTAAAAATGAAATCAACCACCTCATTATCCGCACACACGCACCAAACGTGCCAAGAAGGACATGAAGTTTAAGGAAAATAAAGAATCAGTCAAATGAAATGGACAAATTATTGGTGAAGACTATAAATAGAGGAAGTAAGGGGAATCTGCCATATACAGTCCAAATGTGAATCAAATGTCACAGTTTGGCACAAGAAGAAAGATTCCAATAATACAGGGCTGTGATGAGACCTTGGAAAATTACTCTCTTCACTTTCTTCATATTGTGTAACATCTTGGACTATGGGTGACATAATCCATCAATTAGATCTGGCCTCTAAGATCATGATTGATCGCAATTTCAGCATACATTTCCCACAAACTTGAGATAAAATTATGCAATGCTTCAACAGATAAATTGCGACTCACTAACAGGTCACCAAGACAATCCTTGCAAACTTTAATGTAACACCAATCTTCTTCAATTGCATGATTCCAACCAAGGCCTTAGAACTCTTATCCGTTCAATTCCCCACCAACTCAAAAGAACACAGTAGAAAAAGCAGAAAGTGAAAGGAATAATGCATAATGAGGATGATATTGGTACCGTTTGTTGAAGCCCATTGATATAAATAGCTTTGGTGCAAGTTGAGTCCCCAGGGCACAGAGCAGAGGTAGTGACATCAACAAGAACAGAAACAGTCATCTCCTCAGCAAGCCAATGGATGGTAAGTGGCAGCAGCAAGTGAAGCAAAGGCCTCAGTTCTCTCAACCATGCCATTATTGTGGACTTCTGCAGAATCAAATGTTGTACCTTGTTCTGGACACCACGTGCAAGAAAGTGGTTTGTTGTGTCAGAAACTGAGCACCGCTATGTTCTCAAATATTTGTATATAGCTCTATAAATTTTCAAGAATTTATTGGAGAAAAATAAAAAAAATGAAATCATATTAAAGAATATTATCAAAATAAAACTTACTGCAAAATTTATTTATAAATTGATTTTATAAGACTGAAATGGACATGTACTGAATTTCTTTAAAGACAAAGACGGGTGGTTGGTTTGGCTGGTATCCTTTTAAACGGTCATTCAAACAAGTATTCAATGCAGCAGATGTGTATGAGAAATGTCTTCGTCATGGTCATTCCAACGGAAATACCCGTCTAAATAAAAAAATGCATAAAGGTGAAATCATACTCAATATTGAATTTTAAATTAAATTATATTTTATTTTAATTTAATTTAGTTTGAATTTTGAAAATAAAATTATAAGTAAACTTTGCCGAAATGAAATAAAAAATCGTATTAATTCGGTCTGGATAACAAAAAAAAAGTATATTTTTCATTGACTATTTTTAACTTTATACAAAACTTTAATTTTATGTTGATACAAGGTTAAATGCTTCTTGTTCTTTAACGGCTAAATATTAATTTTATTTGATATTTTCTAATTATTACTTTATATATCTAATTCACTACCACATTTATATATATATATATATATATATATATATATATTCAAAAAAACTAATAAAATTTTGACAAAATCAAGACACTTAATAATAACGTAGTCTATTATAAGAATATTATATTAAAATGAAGAAAAGGAAACATATATTAATTTGATTTACGTTATCATAGGATTTTAGGATCTAGGGTTTGTAAATCTTAAATAAGAACTTTAACGAGGAATGTATCAAGAGAATATTTACTAAATCATTATACTTCTTTATTAGTTCTAATTATATCAACTGCTTCAAAGATTAAAAATGGAGAATTATTCCCTATCTACATATCTTCATACATGTATAAATAAATGTTGCTCACGTAGTTATGCAGTGAGTGTATGATTACATAGAAATGTGGCTCTTACTGTATTGTGAAAGTACGGTCGCTCCTATACAGGTACAATCTGCAATAAGGATATTATATGGAGGCGGAACGCATAACATGTAATAATGTACAGACGCGAAAACTTAGAGGGTTTCAATATATAAATCGAATCCTTAACTTCTATTACATACCCTTCGTTCACTTATTGACTTGCCTCGAAGTATTTTTAACAGGTACATCAAAGACTCAACAAAGAGAAAAGATTCTAACTAACAAAAAAAGCAGCCTACAAGCAATTACAGATTTTTAATATTGGGAAGCCAAATAATATATTATTAATAAATAATAAATAAATATAAAAATAAAATAAAAAAGTAAAAAAATAAAATTTTAGATATATACTTAAATATATTAAATAATTATTAAATTTAAAAACAAAATCATAAATTATATGAGAACTATAAAACTGAAAAGAAGCTTAAAGGATAAAATTATAAATATACAAAGAAATATATTAAATGTTTATTATATTTTGATAGTCAAAATTATAAATTACATGAGAGTTACTAAAACTTTAGAGGTCACGACCCCTAAACTTTCATAAAGATCCGCCACTGCCAGGAATATTTATGCGTAATAGTTGAATCTTGTAAGATATCTTAACCTTGTAACAACAGTTCAGCTTTTCCTCCTCTTGTATTCTTGTGCGACTTGAAATAAATATAACTTTGTTAATTCTAAAAGTTATAAATAAATGAAAAGAATTAATCCAAAAAGGGATATCTGACAAATAAAAAGAAATAAATGTAAAAATGGAAAAAGATACATTATAGAGATAGAAGATAAACATTGATCATCAAATGATAAATAATAAATAAATATAAAAAAGGTAAAAGAAGATGAATTGATAAAAAAATAAAATTATAAATATATAAGTAAATATATTGAATTATAATTAATTTTAGATAACTAAAAAGAGTTATAAAAGTGATAGAGGATAATAGAATTATAAATATATAAATAAATATATTAAACAATTATTAAGTTTAAAAATCAAAATTAAAAGTTACAAAATTTTAAGAGTGTCAGTCTTAGTTATAAAATACAAAGACACCATATATTCAAGAAACAAATATATATTCAAGAAACAAATATAGAAAAAATGTATACATGTTGTTATAAGACAATTCTTTAGTACTTACAACTACAAATAACATGTATTACACAAAGTGGAATAAAAAAATAAAGAAAACAAATCTTCAAAAACTCTAATTTATAGTTTTATTTTATATTTCTATTTTTTTATGACATATTAGCTGTTATGTTAAACAATATAATATAAGATAAAATAAAAGTTTGTCAAATTATATAAAATAACTTGTTTGAAAAATACTAAATAATTATTTTTAATAAATTTATTTACAATTTAAATAGTCATTTTAATTAAATTTTTTATAAATTTTTATTTTATTCTTAATAATAGATTAGATTTATCTTTCTATCATTTAATTTATTCACATTTTTAAATTAAAATTTATTTTATTTTAAATATTTTAGTATCTCAAATAGGAGCTTAGCATTAATTAAATTTTTGTCATCAAGTAGACTAATATGTATCGAAGAAAGCCGGGTAAATGTATTGTGTGTCAAGAGATAACATCCAAATATGTTTTTTTAGTTCCCAAAAAAATGCTCGCAAAGTGTTATTTATTTATTTTTTTAAAATAAAACTTTCACTTCTTCATTAAAAAAATAATAATTACGGCATATTGATCATAATTATTTTGACTAACAATAAATATGATTATTTATAACTTTTTATTTTTAAATTAATCTTAGTTAATCAGAATTTTAATTAGCATTATCAAAACACGATCCTAATTCAACGATAATTAAAAGTTTTTCAAACAGTATTAAATCATAATATAAGCATTAAAATAATATAATAAACAACAAGTCGAAAAAAATTACTAATATTAACCAATAAACATCAATACAAAAATATTGTGATTAACGGTAATTAAGGAATAACATTATACTAGTAAAAACAAAATTCATGATGTCGAATAAAAAATAACTTTCATGAACTTGTGTTTAGAAGAAACTTTCATCCATATTAATAAAAAATATAATTGAATCAATGATATCATATTTTCTATTTAAATGATAATATTTTTTAAATTAGTTCAAACTGAACTAACAATATCCCAATATTAAATGAAAATTATATCTTGGTATAACATGAGTCAATAAGACCTTCGAATAATAACAATATCCCAATATTAAATGAAAATTATATCTTGATATAAGATGAGTCAATAAAAACTTCAAATAATAAAACAAGATAAAGAAACATAAATACAAGAAGAAAATTATAATTAAAAAAATAATTTATATATGTATTTATTAAATTTATATTAAATATGTATTTTTTCTTTATCTTAATTATTATTAAATTTGATTTTATATATATAATATGTTTGAAGAACCCATTTTTCATCATAATTCGTCATTTAAAAAATATAAAACCGATTAAATCCATTAAATTAATCAATCTCATAAACTTCTTAAAATTATGGTTCCAATTTTAAAAGTGGTTTTGAATTAGAATCTTGACTTTGTAATGATGTTAGATATTTGGAGGGAGGTGAATGTACATGTGATTTAAAAAAAACAATATTAGTTCATGTCTTTATAATTCTAAAAGATAGTTTTAAAAAACACATCAAAGTGTAGAGTGATCAGTTTAAATAATTTTTTATAATTTTAAATATAATAATTACATTAATTTTTTTAACTTAATTTAAAATTTAATTATCTGTCTCATGTAATAAGAAAATATTTAAAATCTTTATATATTTATATTGATTGAATTAACGCGAAAAATGTTATTCTTTTAACATCATTAAATTTTCTTTTTAATTCAAGAGTTCTATATTCCCACCAGCCCACTTCTAAAATTAATTTTATGTAAAAAATAAAATCAAAATCCAAATATATTCACCTGGAAAACAGTGTGAGAAAATTTAACTATTGTTTTTAAATTTTGATAGTTTCATTTAAGTGACTAATTTTTATTTGTTTTTTTATTCATTCAACATTATTATCACTTAAATATACAAGAAACAATCTACTAAAAATATCAGAATAAGTAATGAAGCATTTTGACTAATATTATTTGTTGATTTCTTTTAAATATATATATATATATATATATATATATATATATATATATATATATATATATATATAAAAGAAATCAATAAAATAAAAGAGGTGCTCTTTTTTTGTTTATTTTTTTATCTTTCTCGATTTGATATAAATATATTTAATATTTGTATAAGTAAATATATGTAGTTTTCATAAATATTTGTTATACCACTAAAATTTTAAATATATTTCTAACATTTATATCAAAAAATTAATAAATTATATTTATATTAATTTTTAAAATATTATACAAATGTCACATGTTCCCTTATTTAATAAATAAGTGGTAAATAGATATCACGTAGTATTAAAATATAAAAAATATGTTAAATTTTAGATAGATAAAAAATATATATATAAATAAATCTTAGAGTGAATCAAATAAAGATTTGTGGGCTAAATATATATATAAGTTTTCGTTAATAAAATTCATCATTTAATATTTTGTTTATTTTATAGTTTTCATTGAAAAATCATATTTAATATAACATTTTATTGATAAACTAGAAAATATAGACAGAATATCATATTTTATTTATATAAAAAAACGTAAAAAATTTAGCCCGTGGTATTAGAAGGGAGGGACACGTGGGAGGAAAACGGTGCATCCATCTATCATCTGGTCGTCGTCAAACTCAAACCCAAACCCTATCTCGCTTTGCCTTGCCCCTTCTCATTCACTCTGCCCCAATTCCAAAATTCCCAACCCTAACCCTAAAACGAATCTTCTGATGAAACTCGACACGCCATACTACACGGTTTCAGAATCAGGTTCGATTCCCTAACCCCTCAAGAAACCCCTTTCTTCTCTTCGTAGTTTCTCCATGGAGGGCTCTGCAGATGATCTCGGAGCCCCTGAGTCATGGGAGGTCGCCGATTTGGACGAGTCCATGAACCGTTTGAACCTCATGCTCTCTTCCAGCAAGGATTCCAACCACTCTCACCAACGTCTCTCCGATGATGACGCTCCACCGCCGCCTCCTCCTCCGTTCCCTTCGTCCAGTGGTGTTAAGGTTTCCGATGACGTCGTCAATCAGGTCGATCAATTCCTTCGCGAAGCCATTCAGAACCCTCGCGAACGGCTCTCAAGTAGGTTTACCTTCATAAGCATCAATTAGTCGGGAGAATGCGTTTATAAGCTCTTGTTTGTTTCAACGTTCTCAGAGAAATTGCTAATTTGTTAATCGTTCTTGAATTATAATAGACTCAAAACTCTTAGATTTTTCTTTTGCTGGGTGTTATATGTGTGTGTAGACTCGATTAGTGTCCGAAATTCGTATATCAAGGAGTTGATTTAGGTTCTGATTTCTGTTAGATTTTCTGGGTTGTGATCAAGTACGCTCCCAGTTTAATTTTACGCTTGTGCGCTCTTATTAGAGAAACAATTCGGCATTGTCTCTGCACGTTCAAGTGTAGCTATCATATGAAAGGATTTGGTTTCTGAAGTGAAAGATTCTTATCTGAATTGTGCTTCTCGCTCTCCCTCACCCTTCTCATCAGCAGATATAATTCCTTATTCCTCACTTGTAAAGCGAATGCCTCATTTAAGAGAAGCCAATCCCATACGAAAACTAAACAAACCTGCTTAGTGTCCTTGATTTGAGTTTGAACTATATTTGTGTATTGATGGCGAGAGCATGTGTTTTGTATGTCTGGATTTGTGCATAGGCCTTTTCCTGTTCCTTCCACATTCATAGTTTTTAGGGAGTGTGTAGATGTATTTTCTGGGTATACTAATGATCCCCTTCCCAAAATCAAAATTGAGGATGCAAAAATCATAGCTTATTTTATAAGTTAAAATTTTACACTTAAATGTTCTATTGTTCTTATGTGATTCACTTGGTTGCTACTTTTCTAATTGTTTTATTTATTATGCACTTATGCATGCATTATTTGTTTGTTAATTATTTCGATCTAGTAAGTTTTATTTTCTTAGAAGGTTACATCGCGCCCTACTGATTAAGGCTTCTAATTTGATATATTCAGTCTTGAGGATGGAGCAAGATGTTGAAAACTTTATTCGCGATCCTACTCAACAGCAGCTTGAATTTAAGCAGCTTCCAACATCCTATTTGAGGCTGGCTGCACATCGGGTGGCTCAGCACTACTCATTGCAGTCAATGGTTTTACTGGATAATAGTTTACCAGATGGTTCTGGGTCAAGAATTATTGTTCGCAAAACCTCTGAATGTAAGCTTCCAGTTATCCGCCTTGCAGACATCCCTGTGAAATTATCATCAGAAAACAGTGCTGTCATGAAGGTGGCAATCAAACAGAGGCCGCAGAAGCGGACCCAGATACTTAGCAATGCAAATTCAAACTCAGTGAAGAATAGTAACTCTAAAAGTGTGGAAGAGAGAAAAGAGGAATATAATAGAGCTCGTGCTAGGATTTTTAGTTCAAGCAATAATTGTGGAACTGTAGTTGCGAAGCCAGAGTGTGAGTCAAGACAGCAGGATAACTTGTTGCATGTTTCTGTGGGGGTTCCTCGTGTTGAAGATAAATCAGCTTCGGTGTCTGATGTCACTTCTGGTAGGGGGCTGGTTGAGTCTTCAACTAATACCAATAGGCCTAGAAGTAGGACAGAGAAGGAGCCAGTTGGTAGGTACAGGCAAAATAATAGGGTGGCTATATTTCGAGACCGTGAGGTTGACCGCAAAGATCCTGATTATGATAGGAGCTATGATAGGTATGTGCTCCTTTTACGTTGTTCATCATGCTTTTGTTTGCTGAGTTTTGTGACCTTGTCTCATTCCTCTGTCAAAAATAAATGGTTGAGTTTTCTGGCATGAATAATTTAACTTGCTCAGTGATCATAAATTTCTGCATTATTCTTTATATCAGACCACACTTTCGTTTATCTTGTGGTTATGTAGTGTAGACAGGCCAAAGTTTCAGAGATATAAAGTTTAAAATACAAAAAATATAAAGCGTCCAAACATAGCCCTTAATTATTCCATCCTAATCCTAATACTGGAAATATCACCAATGACCTTTAAAGGTCAAAACTAGAAATATTAATACTATAGTTCATTAACACCAATAAGTCCATAACAAGATATAAGTCTCTCAATTAACCAATAAACCACAAAGCAAATACCAAAGGCCATAGTCAAAAGCTCAATATGAATCATGTGGGTTCATGGGGTGGGTTTGGTCAGTGGGTTGAGTGATTCAACTCAACATGGCTTGTTCAACCAATGAGTGATAGCTGGCCAAGCCAATGAATGAATTGAATCCTTTTTGCCATTCATAATTCCAGGACCCTATGTTTTTGTCTATTATGTCATAATAATTATCATTTTCTGCTGATTGGCTGAAGTCCCTAGGAACTTATCAGTGTCTTGTTATGTTTGAAATTTAAAAGTATCACATTCTCATTTGCATTTTTGTTTTTGCCATATTCCTATTGGGTCTTGCTCCAGTTAGCATGTATATAATATAAAAACAATTAGATTTGATGTATGGATTAACCTAATAATCTACTTATAACTTGTATAGCAGGTATATGCAAAGATTTGATCCTGGTTTTGGGTTCAGTGGAGGATCATATGCCATACAGCCAATGTATACAGCAGTATTGAATTACAACACCGAGTTTCCACAGCTTGGATCCACTCATAGACCCCAGCTTTCAGCTGAACACCAACCAAGACCTCTTCCACAGCATATACCTGGGCCATGGGCTGCACAATCAACACCTGCTGGAATTGGATATGGACATCCTGAGACCATGATGCCACCATTTAATCCTAATCAAGTTGGTGCACACTCCACATCAGCCATGTATCTGCATTCATCTCAGTATCCCTGTCAGCGCCCTGGAATGCCATTTATCCATCATGAACATATTCACCAACCCTTTGCACAGGTATAAACAACCACCAAAATCTCCAATCTGTGATTGGTCAAGTCATATAGTGTTTTAACAAGGTCCATAGCTTACATGTTAGTTGCTTAATGTCTTGCTTACAGTATGTTTTGTAGCACTTACATGAAAGGAAAGGAAGCAATTCTAAAGCATTATGTAAAGCTTTAGTTACACAGACTTCCGCAATGTTTAAAGCTATTAAAGGAATTTGATAGCAGTTATGTAGAGATGTAGATCAACATTCTAATAGAATAAATGGGTATCTATAAAAGCGTGAGGCAATTTACCTTTCTTGGTCCGCCAATTTTATTAATATACATATTTGTGCATGATTATAAACTATTAATATTCTATAAAATTGTGCTAGAAACATTTGTCAGTTATAGAGAAATAAAAATATAGTATATAACATCAATGGTTATATAGTAGTAGTAGTAGTAATATACAAAGTACAGATTGAACCTTTCAAAATAAAAATCAAATTTCATCATAAAATGACACTAGAATAATGAAATTAGCCAAGTACCATGTTTAGTAATTACAAAACATTCAATACTAACAGATATAATGTCAATCATACTTAGCATTTTTAAACTTCGGAGGTGTGATTCCTTTAAAAGGCCTGTTCAACTGAAGTCATGAAACAATAGGTGGTCATTTGCTATAATTGATTTGTTTATCTTTTTGCTACTAAACTCAAACTAAAGTAAAATATATGTTCTTAAACTTAGTCAAAACCTAACAAGGACTAACTTGAACGTTCCCAAAAACTAGAAGGATATACACAGCAATTTAACCTACGTATTATCTTGCACCATAAAGCAAATTTTGCTTGAACTTGTTTTGGATTACACTTGAAAATTGTCTGTTTAGTCTTCAAAGTTGGTTTCCTTTAAGTACTGTATGAGCAGCACCCCTCTGGCAGTTGTGGATGGTAAATTTTCCTTATGTGTTGTAAATTCAATTTAATTCCATGTATTTTTATATTGAATGCTTGTGAAATATTATTATTTAGTTTTTCACTTTGCCTTTGAAGTTTGAACCTAATTGCACTCTTTCATTTACTTGATACTGCAGTCTCATCAGCCCCCACCTGATGCAAGTTTTGGATTGGCCCGGCCCCGGTGAGGGGCATGGGCCATGCCTGCACCCAATCAGCCGGAGGTACAAGATGTAAGATCCCGGGCTGCTGCAGCTCCAAATTTCTTTAGCTGATTGGAGTGCAGGCATATAGGCTGAGTTTGGCTGGAATGGATTTGCATATTTCCTAAAGATCATCCCACCAGCATATCCCTCCAATCTCAGCTTTGCAAGGATGCTTCCTGCATCTTCTACCAGTCCGTGACTGTGTCCCTTGTAGACAACTGAAATTTTTGAGGAGCTTTAAGAGCATATCTACTGTTGATCATGAGGACTTCCTCTTTGGAAACGGACCCCAAAAAACTTTGTTCTTGACTTGGATGAAGGTATGTGTAAGCATATATAAAAAAATATTTTATCATATCTTTTTAATTCTTAGAGTATCCTAAGTTTTCTTTGGTTATCATATTTCCTTATCGTACCATGATTTGTTTTTCTAGGTAATTAGCAAGATTATGTATAATATAAATAAAGGTTTGATTTTATGACACAGCAATACATTGTAATACATCTCGGTTAAATATCAATTAGTGTTTCATTCTCTTTCATTTCTCTTACTCCCTCCTATAGTATAGTGCAAAACAAATTTTACATTTGCGCTTGTCAAGCGGAGGTGTGATGCAAATGGAGCATTTGTTAAAATGACCTTTTAAGGAATTTGTTTAATTTATATTGTGATTTTGTTGTTTTGGCTACAGCTCCCTCAACAAGCTTTAGGGGTTTCAGTTAAAGAGATGAGTACGTCATCTGCCTTGAGGTTGCAGCAACTTTTGATGCTCTGAGATTTAACTGAATTTTCCAAGCTGTAGTCACGAGTTGCAATCGCTATACTTTACTATATATGGTCTGGTGAATTATCCTTCACCTCATGTATAATACATGACTAACTATAGATTTGAGTTTGTATATTTCACTCAGTTCTAACATTTCTTTTTCTGTATGCCCTTGTTATCTACATATATTATTAATTTTTTAGAGTTCTCTCGGCCATTTGCTTCGTTCTTTACCCTCGTCTTTTTGTAAGGATTAATGTTGCATACAATGAGACAACTGATACCCGGTACTGGTGGGAGTGAGAGTGAGAGTGGTGGCGAACGGACGAACTTAATAGTGGTGATGAATATATTTGAATAATTTTTCAAAAAAGTTGAAATTGTAAAATATCATTTAAATTTAAGTGTTTTTTATAATTATAAATAAAACAGAACACGGCTTCTAGTTTTCATAAAACTCCTAAAAAAAATAATAAATTATATTTAGCACATTTTTTATTTTTTTAAACAAACGAGTCTTTGACTTTTAGTAATGTAAATATTTTGACCATTTCAGAATCTGGCAAATATTATTGCAAGAGGTTTTTAATTTTATTTTGATTAATGAAATCTAAATTAAATTAAACATATAACTCTTAGAAACACAAAGAAAAATTAAATCTATTAAATACGAAAGTCTCATTAACTAACTTATATAACTTATCCTAGTTAAAATACGTACTTCCTAGCATATATCAGTAGATATCAGCGTACGAAAGTTAGACCACAGTGATGACGGACAAATATTGATGCTGTTGGGGGGATTGTCCCAATTTTTGTGAACGATTGAGATCAGAACAATGGGGTTTGCACTTTATTGGCATGATTGACGAGCCTCGTGATGACATATGTTCCCATGTCGGTAACTCAGGATGTCAGGAGGTAATCACTTGTTGAATGTGTTCGATTTAGAGGTCTGAGTTAGCAGGTTTAAAACTGAAATCTCCCAAGTTGGTAGTATTTCAACAAATGGACTTCCCAACTGATGCCTCGCTGAGTGATTAATGTACTTATCAGAAATTTCAATGCAATAGTGAGTTGTATAGTATGTGCATCATTTTAGAACCTTTTTTTATACTGCCATCGTTTTCTATTAATAATGTGAGGGGGGGCTTGACAAAATAATGTTTATATGGAAAAATATTGCACTAATTATAGTATTGGATAAGTAGTCTAAGCACATCATAGTTCTACCAGCAAATAAAAATATCCCACACCACACATTTGTGTTTCTGGTGTGCATCGCTTGAAACAATCATAAGAAATAATATGCATTTCATAGACAAAATTACTGACCAGGCTTCAAAGTGAAAAACGGGTAAAAATTCAAGGGGACACGTGCCGATAATTAAACGTGAATATGAATAGACATTGAGATTTCACGGTGCTACTGTAATCATGTACACCAACATTGTAAGAACCCCTGACAAGAAGATCCATGTTTTAATTTAATGTATTTACAAGTACCCTTTGGGCAAATTAAAAGAATTGCAAAACAAAATCCTCTCGTAATCCATCTAAACGTCTGATAAGAATGTTCATCTGCTTGAGTGCGAGTAGGAAAATCAGGTTTTGTTCTAATATTGAAGCAGGAAGGCAAAGCCACCATAAAACATAGTGCTGATTTTATTATCAGCACTAACTCGGAAAATGCTACTATGGTACAAAACAGGCTAAAACCAGAGCTCAGTTATCCATATTGAGCATCTTGTCTACGCTTGAAAAGCTTTGATAGAAAGCTTTAAAATGCTTGTAAGCAATGTCTATATCTTCCTTCCCACACATTTCCCTTATACTGCAATCCAAGTAAAATCAGACTCAACTCATTAAATTCTTGTAGTGGGCTAGAGATGAATAAACAGGAAAATTAGACATTTGCTTCTTTTCTACTCCAGCGACTTTTTGTTTATTTATGAAAGAAGAATTTCAATAGGAGGAAGGCAAGAATCTGACCAGAAATGCAGCTAATGTGCTTAGTGATGATAAGAAAAGTAAAATAGAGTCAACATACCAACAACTTGCACGTGATTCTACAAGAGAAATTCAAGCCTTATGTAAATACTAAATGCCGCAAATTGATTTCCCCCCCAGTTTAAAAATACTAACAACTCCTATGTTTTGTTGATTTTCATCTTAGTTCATTTCGTATGCAAGATGTATTTGAACTGACTACCATGCTCGTTTGTATAACCTTTTTGGTAACAAGGCTGACTGGCTGAGCATATGACATGGTCACAAAGGCTTTGATTAAACATAAGGCTTTATTTTATTGTCCCCCTAAAAGAAGTTATCATGGTAAAAGCATTGATACCTGTGCATTGAAAGTTGAGCAATTCCACAGTCAACAGTACGGATGCCAACACCAGAAGCAAGTATTGGACCTATGGTCGATCCACATCCCATGTCATTTCTAACAGCAAATTCCTAAAATTTGAGTAAGCAAAATTTAATTTTTAAGTACCTCAATTATCTAATGTAACAAGCAACAAATCAGAGAAAAGAAGACACAACACTCTCGTCTACTAGTTTACATTTTCATTATTCATGCAAGCTTTACTATCTGTTTTCCTGAAATGATTCAAAAGTTCCATTCACAACGAGAAAGAGGTGCCTATAGAAAGGTATACTACCACAGCTGCATTTGTAAGTTATCTCGAATGGTCTGTGATTAACAATATAACTATAAGATGCATACAACAATTGCTGGAATGGAAACTATATGCTAATTCATAAATGGATGGTGATCTCTTGCTAAGCTGAACACGCACATAGAAACTCCCCACCAAAATGCTTATGATAAGTGCAAGAGTTGATGCAGACATACAAATTTGTTTGTCATATGAAGTTCAAGATATAAAACAAATTAGAAAGGAGAAGTATATACTCCCCACCAAGCATCACTAGTCTTTTTATTGGTTGTTTTTTTATTTCTGTGCATAAGGTAAATAAATCAGTCATTTAATTATATTCAATTAAAAAGTAACTTTTTATTTTTATATTTCTATATTGCAAAAAATAAAACGATTACTTTTGTAAATGATATTTTGTTAAAATATTTGTGTACATTGTAGATATGAAAAAATAATTGAGTAAAATCTCCATAATATTGGATGAACCTTTAAGCTAATATATGGAAGATTAATTCTAATCAACAATGAGCAAAATGCAAATATCGTTAAGACTTCACCAATGGTGATGGATATGAGATAGGTAAAAAAAGACTTCATGATCTTTTCATTGAATACTTGATCTATTATTCTTGGTTATGGAGTTAGGTTGCAATGTGAAAAGTTTAAATGTAGTAACTCAAATAACTAAGATAGGTTAAGGAAAATTTAACAAATGTGGAGAGAAGTAATTAAAGAAAATTAAGTAAATCAAGGAGAAGCTCATAGATTAGCTTAGTATGATGTGCCTATTGAAGAGAATTTCATATTTTTGACATTTCAATCAAATAACTCGTAATCAAATAATTTGCACTTCAGAGTTCTTTATAAATATATGTATCATGAGTATAAATTAATGCAACCTAAAAGAAGAATAACCTGTGTAGGAAGGTTGTGGATTTTTCCAACTTCTTTGAAAAGAAAAGATGTGATTCCACTAGTAGCATAGCGCTGGTTTGCATTGTGCTTAATAACCAATCCTTTCTGCAGCACTGGTCGGTGAAGTTCTTCATGCTTATCCTTAAAATTTGGATGAACTCCATGGGCCATATCAGCAGACACTATTAAGGATACAATCCAAAAGATACTTTAGTGATCCCTAATATAAAACCAATGGATAGATAATGAATAGTATTACTAAATCACATAAAATACACATGATACAGTAGTAGTCGCTGTCGTAGAGTAACAGACTCCTATAGAGATGAGTTCCCAGTCCACACTAAATGGATATAATACACATAAGTGACATAACAAACTCCCTACTACATAAATACACACACACACACACACACACATATATATAGAGAGAGAGAGAGAGAGAAAGGATCCACTTACTCTAAGAATAAATCTCTAACTCGTATTTTTAATGGATCCCTCCTTAATATATATATATATACATGCCCTCTTCTGATATATACTTTGCAGATGGGTTATTTCTTCCTTGGGACTGGATCTAACAATGAATTATTTCCTGGCCTACTTGGATCTTGATTCCCATCAGTCCTTTTCAAAATATTTCACTAAAAGAACAAGGACATCAAATTTACTGTTGTTTATTAGTATTTTCCACCGAGTATAATCTTTTATCCTAAATAGAATTCATATATAAAATCATAAGCACATTGTCGTTAAACCCAGAAACAAATCCATGCTTAACCTCTTTCCCTGCTTTTTTTTTTCAAAATTTGCTTCATATCCAAACTATCAAATTAGCATTGTAATAGATCTGGCGACTAAATAAGGTCCCACACCACACTATTCTTATGTTATGAACTTTCCAGCCAAAATCCATAATGTTCGAGCCCTAAGCCTTCCCAGAATCCATTGTAATTAGGAATATTCTAGTAAATTTATAACACGTGATGGACAACTGAAAGTTTGCAAACAATCCATAACCATAATATTAGAATCAAGGTGATGGTATCAACCGTTGTATATCATTTGCCTCAAATTTACTTTAGAAGGAAGACAAGTGGATGGTATACCAAGAAATGATTGACGAATAGTGCGCTCAAAAGAGCCTTCGCCAACATAGTTTTTTGCTAAGTCACCAACTATACGTTTCATGGCCTGAAACATGGTGGGTGCTCCAGCTCCTTGAATAGAACCTGAACCCACCTAAACACCAGCAGTTAGACATAACATTGAGAAATCAATGGTGATCATATGATACTTCAATAGAAAATATACAATGAGAAGTTAAGCATATTACTTCTTAAATCATAAAGGATTAATTTTGTCCACCGTAAAAGTGAAGAGCAAGTACTTGAATTGAATTGGGATAATAGTCATGAATCGGAAAGCCAATTTTCCGTTGTGAATTGTAAGATTCATTATAAATAAATAACATCGAATAAATATATGTATAATGCATATAAAAGCCCAAATATAACATGCATAGGTATATAAGACATAAAGAAACGTATGAGGAATGAAAACATACATATGTATATTAGCATCTTGAAGTCAAATAGCTAACAACGAGTCATATCATACAAAACAAATATTATGTAAATAATGACAGCCAGAAGACCAAAAATTGTGGCTGCCAACTGCACAAAGTCAGCAAATAACTATTGTTTGCTGCAGCACAATTCAGCAACATATACTCCCAAAAAACCAGTGATGTTGCTGCATAACACGGGCTTTTTTCTGCTGCCCAAATTCAGCAGTATAGCCTAGCAAAAATGGAACAAAATCTGACATAAATAAACATTAAGCATACAAATCTGAAATACCTCCTCATTGTCAAATAAAGCAACCATCCGAATTGCATGATCACTTGCTAAGTTTCCAGGGGATTCACATGAGTCAATAAGTGCCCTCAATGCACAATAACATGAAGCCAGATTATCTAATCTTCCAGAAAATATAAATTCATTGTTTCCACCTCCAAGGCAGCTAGGTTGAGTATCACAAACATTCAGTTCAATATTCACTATGTCATCAACATCACATTTCAATTCATCTGACAGTACCTGAGAATTAATATAAGGGCTACTGTAAAGAATAGTAAGCAAAGGATTGGTAGTTCTGTCATTAACAATTAAAACAACAAATAATTTAAGATCATAATGGATAAACTATATTACAACTCCATTCTCAGACTAAAAGTATTACACTTTACCCATATCAATTCATAGAACACCTAGAAATCAATCTTGTTTGATTCTGCAACTGATTCCAAAATCCAACCTACTAAACTTGGGCTATGAAATAAAAAATCGGTGGCATGCAGCCATCCCATGTGAGTTCATGTTACATCATTAGTAGTTATGCTATCATTTCACAATACTGTTCCTTGTTGCCTCCTTTTTTCTTATTACCAGTTACTCTAATTAATTCATTTAGTTCCTTCTCACATATGTTTTAATTTAAGAACTAATATATGTAAGCAATAAAGCATCTTGGTTTACAGTCCTTATCTTCTTCCCAATACAATCATTCGTTTCTCTGACTGAAAATCTTCATTCCCCATCTTCGCAAATATTGCCATGCTTTAACAAACCAAAATCTAATGAAACCAATTGATTGGTAAATTCCTTTGAATGACTGAAGACAACAATATACAGAAGTTACATTTTCTGTCACTAATAAAGTACTACTAAAATAGAAGAATGGTAATCTGAAAGGAAAAAAATGTTTCTTATATGATACTCCCTCTCATTCTTAATATTAGGCACATTTTTAGAAGAAATTGGTGATCATTTTTGTAAGGCATTTTATAATTTCTATACAACTTCAAATTTCTTTTCCTTGTTTACCCCTATTAAATATTACGAATATCTTGTGTTAGGGAGAAGATAATGTTAAAAGTCATTAATAGTGAAAGTTAATTTGGTACATTGGTAACATTTTTTTAACATTCAACTAAATTAATTACTTCTATTTGTTTGTGCGATTTTGTTAGAAGTGTCTTATATTAGGGATGAGGGAGAGTAGTCAACATCAATTGAATCAATATCACCACATGTACTTCTTTTGAAATCAAATCAACGAATCTATAAGTTTTTGAAATCAATATCTTTTTCATGGGATATGCAGGGTTTCCTTTCATCTGACAGTTACAATAAATAATATTCAAATGAAGTGCAACTAGTTCGAACCCACAAACATGAATTATGTTCAAACCTTTGACAATACTTTCTTATTCAACTTGAAATAAGCAAAGACAATAGGTACCTGCATAAGCAACGAATGATGATAAGATTTGGATGACAATGCACTATTGTTCTCCTTGGATTCCAAAGAAGTGTTCTCAGATTTTATCGAGAGTAAAGGAAGAAGATGAGTCTCTAGATTTGGTTTAAAACCATCCTTGTTCACTGTGCTAAACAATAAAACAAATAAGAGAGGGTGATAGTATCTGCTGTTAGGTGCATGTTTCTATTGCAGAACAATGGCAGATAGAATACCAAGAAGTAATGGAAACAAAAATACTGGGGCGAAATAAGAAAACCAGATCAATTCCCCAAGTTAACAGTAACAGTGTTTTGATAGTTACAGCACAATAGCCCACATATTTGAACAACTTTAATTTTAGAAAGCCCAACAAAGTTGCTTCAGTCTGGAAAACAATACCAGCATCTGTATCAGTATAAGTACTCAAGATAGCGATAATGTTCGTTCTGTACAACCACACATTAGACTCTAAAACCAGAAATATCAATGTATCGCCTCAAATTTGATAAATGTTCATGCAAGTAACATAATCCAGACTCATGATCGTTTCACTCAAAATTACAAGAGTATGCTAGTTGCGTTGTATTTTGTCACTTTCTAGACCTAACATCTAGTTAGTTCTGTTGTATTTTAAAATCGACCAAAATAGAACAAAACCCATCGAAGATGTCCACCAAACGCCACCTAATTGACAATCATTCTATGTAATGAATGTATTGAATCCAAAACAGTTTCGAATGAAGACGATGAAAGAATAGTGAACAGTGTTCCCACTGCATAGTCACAGGACAGTAAAAATCAGCTAAAAAGAGCAATATAATTAACTCAATTAACCAAACAGTTTAATAGAATGGCATAAAGATACACTAATATATACCGGTCCAGATGAATGGCGAGTGTGGGAATCCGCAAAATGGGTCTATCGACTTTGACAAGCTTATGCACATAAGAATTATGGCCATTTTTGAGAATGACCCTCCCAGCAACACTCAAATCCCTATCAAACCAAGTGTACCACAACCCAGCTCCATAAGTCTGCACATTCACCATCGAATAGTTACACTTGCACGACGCCGTTTTGGGTTTCAGTTTTAGGCAGGGGCTGTCCGTGTGCGCCGCAATCAAGTGAAAACCGTCGCCCAAATTGTACCTTCGCAAAACGACGCCATCAAAGAGGACCGTTAAAGAATGACTACACAGTGCAGGAAAGTGAAGAAAGAAGAAAACTCACTTTTCTCCGACGGCGAAAGCGACCAAACAGGACATATTGCGCGTGAAGAAGTAGCGTCCGCCAGGCTTGAGGTCCCAGTCTTGGCTCTCGTTGAGCATTTGGAAACCGGCGGCGAGTAATTGTTGTTTAGCTTCCGCTGCACAGGAATGGAAAGTTAATTGAATTGTCGTTTAGGATAGGGATATTGATTGTCGAGAGGTGTGAGAAGAAGACCTGTGGCGTGGAATTGAGTCCATGAATGGTTGAGGTAGTGGAGGAGATCGGGGACGATGGAAATTGAAGCGTGAGGCTTGGAATTGGAATTGACGGAGCATAAGGCGCGACGCGGAGTGTGTTTTGCGGAGAATGGTAGATTTGGGAAGAGGAGAAAGGGTGAATGTTTGAGTTTGAGCTTGAGCGATGGATGCCGAGAGTGCAGTAGAATCTGCGGTCCTGTAATCGACGCCATTTTTCTCCTTCCGTTTGGAAAATTCACCACATCAGATTTGATACATTTGATTTCGAAGCTGTTTGTTGTATAAATATTTAATACTTTTTATATCATGAATTACAATTTTCTGAAAATTACTGATTTTAATAGTTTTATGTTTACATAAAAAGTGAAATCATTTTAATAAATATTGATTAATTGACTATTTAAAAAAATATTACAAACTACAGTAGTAAGTAAAACTTTGTCAAATAATTTTGTTATATACAACAAACATTTAAGTTAAGCAAATAGGTTAAAATAAAATAGTCCACCACAGTAAACTTTCAGATATTGTTTTACCATTACAACAAAAGAGAAGAAGACAGTAGAAAATTGCTACAACCTACAGCTGATCAAAGTAATTAAGATCTAATTAATTGATCATCTAATCCAGATTTATTAACTGGATTAATTATACTTGCCATAATATTAGGGCAATAACATATAATCGTCTAGGTATAGAAACTATAACTGGACGCATCAGCAACGATATTCCTCAAGCCTCCAATGGTGGATGCCAACATAATGCATACTCCTATGTATATTGCAGCCTGAAATACACATAAACTGAGGGTCAATGCATGCAGGAAACAGCTCAGAGATCCTCTGAATTTTGTATTCTATTTTAGAATGTTTCATTTGATGCCTGGCAAAGGAAAAGTTGCTAACTTGAATTGTTAATCATTACCCAATTGATGAACCAGTTGATGCTGAATCTTCTTGGCTTCTTGATTATGAGCCACATTATACTAGGAAGCTGAAACAATTAACATGTCAGATTATTGTTTTCCTACTCTCTCTTTTTTTTTGGCAATTAAATATGAGCATGGCATGAGGAAATTGAGAGGGCAAGAATCCTTACAAAATATGAAGTGGGAGCAAAACCAAATCCACCAAAGAACCCAAGAAGATCGCCAAAGAAAGGAAAAGTGACCCCAATGAATAATGTAAAAGCTGAAACATTTTTTAAAAAAAAAGTCACATGTAAGACTTTTCAGCACTTTACAGATAAACAATTTATTTTTAGCATGGATAAGTTTTGAGTCTTGACATCTCACCAACATAAGCAGATCGAGCAACAAGTCTGAGTGCTAATCCAGAAGGGAAGTTCAATCTGGTAGTCATCATTCTCTCAATCAAGTCAAAAACAGGCATAGCATAAACCTACATTGATAACCAATTATTAAGCAACATAAATAACTTGGGGTAGAATAGAATCTCTTGGTTTTGCATTCATACCTGGTAGCTACCAACAACATGGACGAAGACCATCAAGTTAGCAGAGGCAATAAGCCATGCAGGCCTTTCAAGTGCCATAAGCACATTATCATCAACAACTTGTCCAAAAGCCCAGTATCCTATAAGTGCTACTGGGAAATAGCATATTGCATTAATAAAATAGGCACCAAGCGCACCGTGCCACATTGGTATCTTTGACGGTTTTTCACGGGTTGATGGAATTGTAGCCTGAATTTCAAGGGCCACTGCATGGCCAGCAAATGCAAATGAGATTTGACCTAGCGCATTGAAGACCCGGAACATGAAGTCAATGTTGCTGGTTCTCTTGTAAGCATAGCTAACATTCTCAATCCGACCTCTAGTCAAGCAAGCCAACCAGGCTATAGTTGAATAGCTGCAACCAGAAACCCCATGAAAGTAAGGTATAGAATTAATGAAATAATAATAAGGACAAAACGTAGATGCAGTTTCTTAAATGATTTGGTGTTGCTTTTGTCAATCAAAATTAGAGTTTACTTTGTTGATCTGTGTAATAAAAGTTTACATAAAATGTCAACGTAGATTATTGAGGTAAAAATCTATTTCTAATTGGAGAACCACAAAAAAACACCGAGGTAACTATATAAAGTTTTGTCCTCGTAACATTCACTTCTTTACTTGCTTTACTTGTACTTTCATCTCATCACGTGTGAGTATGTCATGGACACTACACTACGATATCAAGGAAAAGACCAAATGTTAGTGACTCATTTCTCAGACCTATGAAAGTAGTATTATTAAATACTTTAAGTACAGTATCACCTACTAACTTACTTGTAATAAAGAACCAAGATCAAGAGTTTGCTAAAGTATGTTAATGTCTAAGCAAAAGCTGAGTAACCAATTATTACCTTGGGCTTAAAGGCGACATACTCTGCTTCTGAATTGTTTTCATTTTTAGAAGCAAACTTTGCATTCATACCGACAAGGTGACGTCTTACATTTCATTATCTTTTCTAAAAATTTCTTAGTTCCAGAGATAGATTATTATGCATATCTCATGTTTATTTGTTTGCTTTTGGAAGAATCCAAATTATCAAGTTCAAGGCTAGTATTCAATAAAATACTACATATATGGGATCATGAAGCACCTTAATGACATCACAGCTGCGGCTAAAGAAACCCCAGCAACAGAATTGAAATTGGGAAGCTGAGACAGAAAGAAATGGATGGCACCAAAGATCAGGATCCAGTAAGACTGCTTAAGTTGTGTGCAATCGATGCACGCTATCTCCATGAACTTCTTTAGGCACTTCCCCCCGGTAACCATGTAGACAATGTCACACCCAACCTGGACTATTAGCTGCTGGGGTAGCACAATCCATGGGCCAAGTTTTGGTCCAAAAGCATGTCTACCAAGATCAAGGTAGCGATCAAAACGAGTTCCAGGAACACACTCATGTAACTGGATCATTTGCCACATTGTGTTTAAGGTCAGGCACCATGATAACAACAACATCAAGATCCCTGGACCCCTGCAAAGAAGAAAAGAGATAATAAACATTCAGCTATAAGTCACGTTGCCAACTTATGCTGTATATTACGTTCTTGGGCTTTATTTGAATACACCTCTCCAAATGTATTTTAGAAGAAAAGAAAATATGAATTGAACATCTCTTATAAGCTAAAATCAATATATGTAATTAGCTTTTATAGAAACTCTATTCACAACATCTCCGTCCGATTTTCGTTTATAAAGAAGTTCAATCTGTTTTATCGTTTTTATTTTCTTCTCTTCAAGTGTTTAAGAAGAAACTTGTTCTAACATGTGATATTGTGTTCCAGCTTACCATCCTAGATATGCCATGGCATTGGGCAGGCTGAGAACACCAGCACCTATCATGGCTGTCACAGTGTGGAATGTTGAGTACCACCATTTTGCCCGGCGAGAGGATCCATTGTCCATCCATTTGTGGTCTGACTGAACTTCCTGCAATTGTAGCAGATGCAAAACAAATTAGAAACTATCGCAAGACGAAGAGCATGGCCATGCCAAGAGATTATATACACACACTAGAACGTATTAGAAGGTAGAGAAGAAGCTGATACCATTTTAGCTAAATCACAAAGAGTAGAGAAAGAGAACCCGTTGAGATTTTGGAGTTAAAGTTAGTCTATTTATATGTGGCTGTTGATGTGTAACAAATAGAGGTTCAAATAAGCACATAACATAAACTATGCTCCCTACCATTAGTGATTTCTCTGGTCACTTGTGCACGTATTATTGCTGCTTGTAGGACCTTGAATTGTGAGATCAAAACAAGAGAAGGTGGCAGAATTCAAAGAACAAGTATGATAGGCACTGTAAGTCTTACTAGATAAGTGGCTAGATGAGGTAAACCCACTACACCCCAAAGGAAGACTGTAAGGAATTATTTTATCATTGCAGTGTGATTCTGGTTATATTTAACTCTGCCTCAGATTATGGTCAGTTACAATGTAGGAACCTGTAGTGTATATTGAGTAATGTTTTTCTTTGAGGTCTTGTCAGTGAAAAGATAATTCGGAATCATGTTTTGATGGAACATCACTTCATTTGGTCATTTTATGGTGGTGTTAGGGGCACCACAGAAGGTTCCCACTTTTTAAAGCGGGTTAGTTGGAGAATTGGTGAGAATCAGAATTCAGAAGATCACAATCAATCCTGAAGCTAATGATAAATTTGAAAGATTTCTTTGATTTTGGGAATAATGCGAAGGTTTTGACGGCAAGGGAAAGACATATAACCTGTAATCATTACGCCTCTTAACCATGGTTCTTTTTATATATATATATATATATGTTTGTTTTGTGCTTGTGTATAAGCCACTAACATCTATGTGAATGAAACCTTTAGCCCTATTGGGAGAAAGATCTGGCATGGATTACTTGATTTAAGATGATTTAATGTACCAGGTCTTATTTAAAATTTATAAAATAAAATAAAATTACAAAAAAAAGTATTATAAATATCTTTATATATTATCATTAAATATTAGATATTATTGTACAATAAATAAACATAATTAATTAGTAATTCATTACATTACGTAAATGTAATAATTGATCATGTCTTCTTTTAAGTATAAATTAGTTATATTTTAACTACCTATTAACATTTTTTTATTTAAATAAATATAAATCCTCTTATTTACATTAAAAAAAATACGGAGATGGTATATCATTATAAAAAAAATAATATTATTAATTATTATTACTCGTGAAATCAGTTTCTACATCCTTTATATTAAATTTTTAAAAATATCATTTAAAATTTTATTTGAGGATATCTTTAATATAAATAATTTATATGAAATACTTTTTATCTTAAAAAATATAAAATATAAATTTATTACGTTACATTATTATTAAATAATTTATCATTGATTTTATTTCAATAATTATTTTTTTACAAATTTTAAAGAATTTATTTTTATTTTTATTTTCTCTCATCATTTATTTTATTTTTTATTTGTGTAAGTTGAATTATAAAAAATTTAAATAATAAAAATTAATATTTTATATAACCAGTTCACTAGATAACTTTGATCAGACTTTTTTCATTATTATTATTATTTCTACTATTTAAGTATACCTATATTTATTCTCTTTCTCATATTTTTAATATTTTTTAAATATATAAACCACAATAACAATTTGTTTTAGTCCATGATACTTTTATTTTTCTCTCCGATGATATAAATAAAAATTACAAAAAA